CAATGCAATCGGATATTCGTGGAAACAACAGGAGCAAAAAAGAGCCGCGTAATGCGACCCTGCGCGCGCGCGCGCGCTCGTTCTCTCTCTCTCTCTCTCTCTCTCTCTTTCCGTGGCAGGGTTAGTAACCCCTTAGAGGGGAGGAGGGCACAGGGGCTGTGTGTGTACACCTCGTATCGACCTATTCCTCGCTCTAGGACAACGGATGTTCCGCGAACACGTCGAATTTACCTGCCCACGTGCCCGAATTCCGTCCTGTTCCCTTCCCCCCACCCCTCTTTCGAACGTTTCACCCGCTACCAGGACCTAATTGGTTCCACTCGCGTCGCGTCCTGAGCCAGGATTAATCCTCGAACCTGTCGACCGAATCGTCTTTTCGATCGTCAACGATCTGGAATCGAATCACGTGTCTGTCGATTTCACCCTGATGAAACAGTAAACACCCGATAGTTTCGGGGCCAGTGATCACCGAGAACGATAATTTTGCGAGTGAAGATTTTGGGTGAACGGATGGTAAATTCGATCGGTTGTGAACTGCCGAACCGGGTGATCGTTCTTCTTGGTTACCGGACGAGGAAACTATCGGAATGTTGTTTCAACCCCGTTGCCCTATAACATCGTGTCAGTCTTTGGGTCGTAGTGAAATGCCACGTTGCTGGCATTAATATTAACTTTTACGGTAAACATACAGTTTCGATATGTACAGAATTCCTTTTGTTTCTGGGAAAGTATCGACAACAATATAATCCTGGAGTCTGCAGACGTTAAGGAAATCGTAGGGCAAGGAGTTAATAGGGGGTGTGATCGAAAGCAGATCGTTATTGATCGGTTTTGATCCCAAGGACGTATGAGACAATCGCGACAGGATATATGTTCGGATGAACAGGCATCTCCCGTGCTTCTTTGCGTTTACGTAACGGCGGATCGGGCCAGGAAGCTTTACGTTCGCGAGCCAATGCTTCTCGGCTCGTTGAAGCTCCCGTCGTCCCGTTCCCTCCCACACACACACACCTTTATATATATATATATATACACACGTACAACCTTTGTGTCGGAGCTTCCTCTCGCGACTACGAGAATTAAACCGGAAGCGTATTAATCCACCGAACCGTTTTCCCATTTCAACCTGGCACGTTCCGTCGAATCCGATCGCAGTTCTCTGTGTTATCGACGCTACAAGAACAGCGCGTCAGGATCTCTCTTCGATCTCCTCGAACCGCTACGACACACACATCCATTGTCCCCCACGTTTTATTTGTTTGTATTCGTCGCCGAACGGTTATACGGAGATATTATTGTTGTTGTTTCATGTTCGAATTAAGGGGAACTTGTAAAACTCTGGAGAACATCGAAAAGCAAACGACGACGATGAATTTTTTTTGGGTTCGACCGTGTGCTCTCTGTGTTTGAGCGAGAAATATTTGCCACGCAGGAAATACACGTAAAATGTTGGCCTGATGATTGGTGTGCGAGTGAAAATTACACAATTGATTTCTGTATGCACGTTTGATTGTAATTGTTTTTGCAAGTGCGACCGGGTTTTGTCGTGTACCGTTTGGAAAACTTTTTGATTGTTCGAGCTAAAAAGAAATTCGAACTCCGCCATTTAACAAGCAGGGAACGAAGAGGTGATCTTTATGGATCCATCCATCCAGGGTGATAGGAAAGGGCGAACGAAGGGAGTGGTTCTCCTCTGTGCGAGCGTCGAGCTCTCGCGATCACGAATCGTCCCACGATAAGACGAATCCCCCCCCGGTTCGAGTTGTACTTGTAAATATGCCCTGACAAAGGATAACAGGAAACCGTTCGCGATCGGCTTCGTTTGTAATTAAACACGATTTAAGCATAAGTGAGCGTATATCTGTAAAATTATTCCTACGGTGAACGTGAATGCTTTAGCCAATGTTTGGAGCGTGTGTTAACCGATTTACGCGCATTATTATTGTTAACGATATAATTGTATTTACTTTTATAAAATAATGCCGGATATTGTAATTAAAATTCTATACTGAAATTACTCTGTATCCATGAGAGACGAATAAATAAAATGATCAAAATGATTCCGTCTATCTATCAGTCCTCATCATTCCTCTAATGTGCCTTATACATTAGTATTAAGTATTATAGTAAGAAGAAACTTTTCGTTTATTTTTATAGTTCCTCATATTGTTAAATTGTTATAAGCCCTGAAATAAACATATTTTGAATGAAAAAAAAAAAAAAAAAAAAAAAAAAAAAAAAAAAGAAATCTTCATTTCGACGACCATCGACGAACGTATAAGTAATGAGTCGTTTAATACATATATTATTGGATTAAAGCAGGAATTGCGAGGTGACAAATACTCCTGTAATTATATAACTCAACGTTCCCTATCTTTTTCTGCAAACGTTATCTCGTTTGTCTAATAACAATGAGTATGTAATTAATTACAAATAATTCGCGTTGAAAATTGCCAATGATCCATGTTACGTTCATTAACTGCATAGAATCACGAATAAATGTTACAAAGCTGGAAAATTAATAAATAAGCAGGGTATGGTCATACATATCATGAGAAGTCACTGGAAAACAATGCATCAAAACAGTAAATAGATAACTCATTCGAAAGAAACACTGTCCGAAACCATAGTAAAACACAACAGTAGAGATTCCGAACAGAGAAACCACGCTGTCAGAGCGAGACCAAAGATACTAAAATTCCCGGCACATTTAGTAAGAATACGTTGGTTTTTCCTATACCTGTAATGTGTAAGACAAGGAGAGGCGAGGTGTGCGACAAGGACAGAGATAGTATCGTGCGTGCCACCTACTCTCAAAACGGATTCATAATCTCCTGGTACGTATTAGGAGAACAGGATGACCGAAGAGGTATTAGACAAAGAGGGCGATATACGAACGTCGAACGTGCGACAAGGATAGGCAATTTTCATCCCAGAAGCTTTAGCAGTGAAAATCGGCTGTTTTTCGACTCCTGGTATTAGGAATACAGAATAACCGAGGAGGTTGTAGACAAGGAGGTCTATCTACAGAGAGAGACAGAGATAGTAAATTCCCGCCAAATTCCATATCCCATCTAACGTTAGAAAATTTACCAATATCTCAATGCTTAATAACAATTCATAACTATTTGCAACTGCAGAACATAGAATAGACCCTAAGCAATGTTCACATCCCAGTTTTCGGTGCCTTTGCCATCGAATTAATCAGTTAATAAACATTCTCTGAAGTGCTGCTCCCGGATGACGTAATGAAAGTAGACACTGCCGACAATAATAACTAATTTATTGACTAAACATACACAATTCATGTACTTTTCCAATCGAAGAATATAGAATGGACCTCTAGCTAACTTCCCAATCCTCTTTCGAACAGTTTTGAGGTTGAATTAATTTGTTATGAACAAGTCTTTACTACGTTGATCGCAATAACCTCACACAATTCGACAGTCTCCCGTATTATTCATTATTTTCCTACGTTTACGACATAATTAGTGATTCTATGCACTCAGAAAGTCTAGTGTGGACCTCTAGCAATCTTAATATAATTATTTTGAACACAAATGGTTTGTTATTAATCAGTTATTAACAAATTCAGCAAGTGTTATCTTCTCTCCAATACCTGTAATGTGTAAGACAAGGAGCGAGGATATGTGCGACAAGGACAGGGATAGCTTCATACGTGCCACCTACTTTGAAACTGGATTCATGATTCCCTGGTACGTATTAGGATAACAGGATGACCGAAGAGGTATTAGACAGAGAGGGCGATATACGATCTCCGAATGTGCGACAAGGATAGACAATATTCTGACCAGAAGCTTTGGCAGTGGAAATAGGCGATTTTTCGTCTCCTGGTATTAGGAATACAGAATAACCGAGGAGGTCGAAGAAGTTGTAGAAAAGGACAGAATGACTATAGAGCGAGAGAGAGATAGTAAATTCCCGCCAAATTCCATAACCCAACTAACGTTAGACAATTTACAAGTATCTCAATATTTAAGGACAATTCATAACTATTTGCATCTGAAGAACATAGAACAGACCCCAGGCAATATTCACAGCCCAGTTTTCGGTAACTTTGCCATCGAATTAACAAGTTATTAATGATTATCTGAACCGATGTTCAAGGATCGCATAATGTAAGTGGACACTGGCCACATTAATCATTAATTTATTATTCTAAGATACGCATTTAGTATACTTTTGCAGTCGAGGAATGTGGAATGAACCTCTAGCTAATTTCCCATACCCCTTTGGAACAGTTTTGTGGTTAAATTAGTTTGTTATGAACAATTTTTTACTACGTTGATCTCAATCACGTCACGCAATTCGACTGTCTCCCGTATTATTAATTATTTTACTAGTTTTACGTCACAATTGGTGATTCTATGTACTCAGAAAGTCTAGTATGGGCCTCTAACAATCTTAATATAACAATTTGGAACACGAATGGTTTGTTATTAGGTAGTTATTAACAATTTCAGCAAGTGTTATCTTCTCTCCAATGCCTGTAGTGTGTAAGACAAGGAGCGTCGATGTGTGCGACAAGGACAGAAATAGTATTGTACGTGCCACCTACTTTGAAAACCGATTCATGATCCCCTGGTACGTATTAGGATAACAGGATGGCTGAAGAGGTATTAGACAGAGAGGGCGATATGCGAACTCCGAACTTGCGACAAGGATAGACAATTTCCGAGCTTACGATTCAACCGTGTAAATCTATCATTTTTCGGCCGATAGTAGTAGGGGCACAGAATAACCGAAGAGGTTTTTAACAAGAATATCACACTACAGTAAGAAACAGAGCCAAATGCCCGCAATATTTTTAATTTATGCAAACATAGCAAAGTTAATAATTCCATTTTTTGATGAAGATTTATTAAATTTCAAAATATAACAGTGCCAGACCTGTAGCAACTTCTAAATAATAACATGTTGAGCAGATACAATTTGGAATCTTATTAATATAAGAGGATTGGGATTAATAAATTCAAAAATTATTTTTAAAATCTTTATTATCCACTGCATGCAACTCCAAGTTAGAATGATATTACTGAGCAGCTGCAGTCGATGGGGCAGATGTCGTAGCTTTAGCCTGTTCTTCACGGATACGATCTTTCTTGAGTTGACCCATGAAGGACACCTTGTCAGCTGCAGTCTGGAAGCGACCATGTCCAAATTTGGAGCTCGTATCGATGAACTTGAGATTGATCTTCTCCAATGCGGATCGTTTGGTATGCACCAACAGAGACTGCAAACATTAATTCCATATATTGTAACAATCTTGGAACGTAAAATTTATTACAATACTGTTGCAAGCGTCAGTCCTATCATTAAATATCAAGAAAGGTGTTCATACTGTATGTTTGGCTCTTTTATTACTCATCACGTGAAACTACTACGACAGAAGTTTGAAAGAATAACTCTGTGTTTTGTTACCTTGCGTAGAGTAACCACACGTTTCTTCGGCCCCATGCAGCAACCTTTTAGCATAACGAAGTCATTGTTCACTTCACCATAATGAGGGAAACCACCCATGGGAGTGATTGTCTTTTCGGTACGATCGTACTCTGTTGAAGCGTTGTTCTTCACGATCTGTAATAATTATCACATGTTAACAAACTGCGTCTCTCCTAATAATGTATGTATATGTTGCTTGCTTTGAGGCCTAAAGAATAAGTACATCTTTAAGTACTATGACCACATAGCGTTTCTATTAGCCTCATATCGTAGTCAATCTTCATTGAAAAGATTAACATTGGAACGAGGCTATTGTGAAAAATGCTGCAGGTAAAAGTACCTTTCCGTCCTTGGTGTGAATGCCTTGTCCGATTCTGTAGATCTTCTTGTTCATCTCTGTACGATGATGGTATCCCTTCTGTCCAGCGCGTGCAACGGTGAATGACACACGGCTCGGATGCCAAGCACCGATACAAGCAACTTTCCTCAAACCTTTGTGTGTTTTGCGTGGCAATTTCTTTGTATGCCAACGCGACGTAACGCCTACAAAGATACAACTGGGTTATTTAAATCTAACATGTACAATACAACAAACAATTCGACTGTCATAGTAGATAATGAACTTTCACAGCTCAAGACTTCAGTAGGAAGGCAGCATGATATTATCCTCAAACTAATCAGATATGCACATATCACGTTTCTTCATCATATAGTCCAAAACTATAACTATAGAAAGTTTCAGAGAAATATTTATCAAACTCACCTTTGTATCCCTTTCCTTTTGTTACACCAATCACATCCACCATTTCATCTGGAGCAAACACATTGTTGACTGGTACAGGTTTCTCAAGGTGTTCACGAGCCCACTGAACTTTCTGTTCAATAGTTCCACCATTCAATTGAATCTCCATGATGTGGGCTTTCTTCTGGCGTTGCTTCAACAATCTCATCTGTATAAAAACAAATCGCTCATTATTGTTATACATACAAAAAGAAAATTCTTTAACTAAAACGATTATTTTTTTCGAGAAATTACCTGTGTATGAGCAATGACTCTTACAACTTTGCAGTACTTCATGATCTTTTTCATGTCGTTTTCGATGGACTTACGACCAAGATCATCTTGCCACTTTTTGGAAGCCTTTGTAAATGCCTTCTTTTTGCTCTTGTACCTGTAGAAAAGTAATCGTAATGGCTGTCTTTTTCTCTAAAACAGCATCAGTACCAATCTGTAACGTGTCAGCCTCTTCATATTGAGCGGAGACTGTACACAATTTTTGGATCAACCTCTCAAAGCATATTTTACTCTGTGGTTAAATCCAAATGGTTACTCTCATCAAGACGAGCGGAGAGCTGATGTAAGGTCAGTTTTAATACACGTTCTACAATGGGACTAGCCTCAAGAACATCAAAGTATTAAGCTGAAAACATTTTCTTACCAGTTCTTGTAGAACCTTCTGCGACATCCTTCTGAAAGATGTTCTGCCCACACTGTGGTGAGAGCACGCAGACCATGTGGAGTTTCTATGTAACCCACTACACCAACCACAATCATAGGCGGTGTCTCAAGAATGGTAACTGCCTCCACTATTTCCTTTTTATTCACCTCTAAAAGTGCATGTAATGCATAAAGATCATGATACATCTTGATTCAGAAGAAATACATAATGTTTATTTAAAATTAATGGACTGTGCCAGACATGGTTTGTCTCAATGGTCATCACCCAATGGGTTCCCAAGAGGTTATGGAATATGCCGTGCCTCCTTGCACTCTGCACAAGCAGGGCATAGAGCTACTCTTCGACACTGCGGTGAAGACTGTACTGCACAATATCAAGCAGCTCTTGAACCGCGACCAAAGTCGACTGACGCATTTCTGCACCTATCAGACTTTGGCCACCGTGTCGATAATTATTCAATCTGTTAACTATGGATTTTTCAGACGCCTTTTAGAGCGCACTTATAAGCGTTGTTTATAGTCAAAGGGATACAAATCGAATTGCGAATTTAAGATAAGACGAAAAATAAATGCAAACAGAGTATTATTACTCACTCGATCCCGGACGATCAGCCTCCCTAACCACGTGGGTCATACCAGCCTTGTAACCGATAAAAGCGGTTAAATGCACAGGTTTATTCGGATCATCTTTGGGGAATGCTTTAACTTTTCCACGATGACGCTGAGATCTCTTCTTGGGATAGAATCCCATGGACCCATGTCGGGGTGCACTGAACTTCCTGTGCGACTGTACAATGAAGCCTTACGTTAAATTTACAGAACGGGTGAATAGAATAAAATACTTGAATTATTTTAAAAATCAGACCGCCCTAGAATTATCTTCAAGGTTATTCAGATGAAAACCATAAACTGTACACATCTAGAATCATCATTTAATAAGAAAAAGAAATTTGAACACGTGCCACGTGGTAAACGTACTCATTTATATTCGTTTTACGTAAAATCTGATTAATTTGTTACAAATTATCAACGAATCACGAAACGATAATTATTTTATTGATTATTCAACGAAAATATTGAAGTATTGTAATAGTTTAAACATACGTAGAAACTGTTAAAGATACGATTTTCTTGGATACAAACAACTACTCACCATAATGCTCGCAACGATGAAAATGGAGGACAATTTCCGTTAAATTTCCTTTTATACCATGGAAATAAGTCAGTCTTGCAACATTACAAGAAAACTATCTCTAGATCTAGGGATAATTTCAAACTGAAAAAATTATTTCTTTATTTATGTATTTAAAGTATATAACATTAGTTTCTACGCATTGTATGCCATTTATACATATATACATATAATTTCTTGTTTATTAATGTATTGTTTGTAAGATATAATGAAACGTTGAGTTTCACGATGTAATGGAACCTAATAATATGAAATTATGCACTTTACTCAAAGATGGCAAAAGAAATAGAAAATTAGGAATGATATATTGCATAATATTTACAACAACGATAAATGTTTGTTATACATTTAACACCTTCTGTAATGACTATACCCAATCGCCTTCTTTTAAAGAACTTGTTCCATGGTCTCTGTACCAAAGTCCGTGTAATATCAAACTACGCATTTTTGTGAATTAAGTCATTTTTCCGGCAGTTTCTTATAAATTGAATAATTTAGAATGGAAGAGGAAACTAGCCCATTTATACGATTTATGCATAAATTGTACTACATGTTCGATACACCAGTTGTTTTCTTTCGAAGTATTATCTAATCAGCCATTGGGTTATGTTGTTGTTATAACAGGTATATAAAAGAATAAAAATCCAAGTAACTATAAACTAATTATTTTTCACAGAAAATATCGTCGAAGCAAATCAAAAGAAGTATCCATGGTACCATCAACAATTCCGTCGCGTTCCAACAATTGATATGTGTCGCCAATTGGACACAGCTTGTATTTTGGAAGCACATTACCAATTTAAACGCGAAAGGTAATTCCTTCTTTTGTTAATATTCAAACAGATCGTTCATTATTGTACAAAAGATATTTTATTATTTTCTTATTTGTAGTATCTAACGTTTGGAATATGTTATTACTTTAAATTTGTTTGTAGGTTGGTTGACAATGAAATTCTTCATATATTAAGAGAACGATATGAAGAGTGTGTATTCAACAATATTAACGATAAACATCTTTGTCAACATATGAAGAAAGCATATGATGGGGCTGTTGCAAACTACAGATCGAGATGTAAGAATTCATAGTTTTATTAATTATGGCGTGACTAGACTGCAGATTTTATGCATTTATAATACATACACGATTACATGCACCAACATAGAGCAAGAACTTAATAAAGTTCAATGTTACTTTGCTTAGAACCTGATAGAAACCTTAATAGGGTAAATAGATTTTTATGTATGTCAGTCTTTGTAAACTGGCTCATAAAGATCTATTTGCATAAATACTTGTAGCCTAGTTACAGAGTTAGGTATGAATTATTCAATATATGTTTTACTGAAATATAGATGGAGATCTTGGTGTAAAATTTAATGTAAGGACCGCATTTATGAAACAAAAGCATCGCATGATTTGGGAACGACGACATGGACCTATCGGTAGTGGTAGGAAGGAGACATATGCCATATAATAATAATAATATTAAATTTTGTAGATTATTGATACACAAGGTATGTGTTTACATTCTTGTATAGGAAAACTGTAAAACAAGCTGAATAAAGTATTAAATTTGACACAATACTTTTTACTTCTATAATAATTCATGCTTTTATACAGTTAGTAAATTATGCTGTATCTTGTACGTTTCGAAACCAGTTTTCCTTTTTTTCTTTTCCTATTTCAACAGTGTATAAAAACATCGATATCTATTGTACATGTATAACAAATTATTTTATTAAATACTTGTTTAGAAGATTTCACTGAACATTTATACTTAACAATTTTGTTTATGTTCGTTATCACAGTAAAAATTTCTGATACAATCATTTCTTACGTAGCTTCATGTGTTTCTGACATTTCTTGCAAGGATCAATTTAATTTTCTATTAGTCGGAATAATAATACCAAATTGACGCATAAAACAATACGACACTTATAGAAACGTAAGTGGATAATATTACAAATTTGGAACTCGCGTAATAATCAGTTAAAATTATGTAAAAAACATTATTTATGACTAATAGAAAATCCAAATTGTCCAATTCATACGATTTAAAAAAAAAATAAAAATGATCACCTTTTATGTAAATATAAAATACAATATAATCCGTTCTTACGTAATAAATATATAACACGTAACAAAACTATTTCGTAAGATGCACATAAATTAATCGATATCGCTTATTGATCGCAGGATACCAGGAAGTCTCATAAAAATACTTATACATGATTGTCGACTAACGAATTGTGAATTTTATGAAATTGATTGATACCGCATCATTACTTTTTTTATGTTTTTTTTTTCTTTCCTGGCAATGTATAGAACCTGAAATACGATACATAGGGGCAATTTCTGTGCCTTGAAATCAACAATCCACAGTTGCAATACACGATTTCGACTTCCTCACACGTCTGCGAGACTGTACACACATTTCATTTTCAATAAAAAAAACCTTAATAATTAAAGTAAAATATGAGATCAATAAACATCGTTTTTACGTATAATTCAAAGAGAGCAATCTTTTCAGCTGCTACGTTCTCGCGTTACGCATTTAAATCTACTAATAATGTATTGTTGCTGATAATGAATGCCATCATTATTATTCCTTTTCTCTAATTGTTCTCATTTGACACTGAAAACAGAAAATGTTCTAGTAAAATAGTACCGTTGTTAAAAGTAATCGTTATTTAAATGCTCTACGATCTGATCGATACAATTCTACAGAGTCTTTGCTTTGTCTTATTCTCGCTAAAACTTTATACTGCTTGTCACCGCGTAACAATGTTTTCAATGAATTAGTCTCAATTAGAATTCGTAAAAGTCTGACTTCTTGTACCGTACTTTTCTCGGTTCTTGCGATTTTGAGCTATTTGGCATTGACTATTCTGTGAAAATCTATAAATATTCCGTTCATTTAAAACCACTTTCTTGTACACAATGAAACAACATGACACTTCAAAATATCATACGAAGCCTTTAAATTATTAAAATATTCAAAACACATTCATTCGTAATACAATTTAAAAAAAAAATTACATGTACTATAAAAACAAACAGACTATAATGAAGGGAATTCACTGATACAAATGGAAAGAATAATTGTATAAATGAAGATACAGGGTAGATAAACGACCGATAAGAATGAATTATATTCGATTTTGTAGTTGGATAACGACACTATAGCTGGACACGACAATTTAGTTAGTATGTCTTGATTCTCTAAATACAATTCGTTCTTTATGACAATAATTTACAATGATTGATAGGTCTGGGCCAATCGATAAACTCCTACTGCAATAAATAATGAATGAATGAAGGATAAAAAAAATGTAACAAATACTTTACGCTTATGTTAATTATAAAAAGTATTTAATTTTCAAAGCGTGCTACTGCCAGTGCTACTTCTCTTCACAAGTAATCCCATTAAAAGTTACTGCAATTTGTAATTTGTATAAAATTATCTCTAGTCAAGACAGAACTGTTTCATTAACAAAAAGCAATACCATTGAACATAGGAATTGGCCCATGCCTATGAAACACGCACAATTATTGCTCATTTGCAGTTTTCCCTTGTGTATTACTATATCATATGCATTCTCTTTCTATTCTATATCACAGTATGAAAAAGGCTATATGAAATTTTTGACGCAATACAATCGGTACATATCACTCGGTATAAACGCCGCACACTTATTCACATTTTCGAATCAGAAATCATAGCTACTTAGTATATAGGTATATTTATACATATATATATTTTCATACTTCTTGAAAATAAATTCTGTTTTTTGTCGCGGATGTATCAAATCGATATATTACTACCACATATTTCCAATATAAATGAGGAGGGGTACCTACCATTCAGAAAACGGTGTATAGGTATTGAGCCCGCTGTGTGAAGCCTACCGAGATGCTAGAAATCCCTTCTTTTATTAATCCCAAAGAACACATTTCGAAACTGTGAAATGTGTGTACTTCGATGCCAGCTTTTCGCGCCCTTTAGCGTACACGACGGCGTTTATCAGTACATTATCAAACTTTATTCCATCTTTTAGGATTCAATCGGCTGATTGAACTGAGCAGCTAAGCGACGCTTGCCCGTAAACACTGCAAGAAACCGATGTGTCAATGTACAAGTGATCCAACGAGTAAATTAAAATACGCTAATTACATACTCTGTTTGGTGGGAGTATTCTGTTTCTCGTTGTCAGTATCACCAGCCTCCGTGTTGCTGCTATCGTTGTCAGCGTTCTTAAGAGAAACCTTTTCAGGTGAAGTATTCATCATCTTTTCTTGCTTGACCACAAATGTTTCCGCGGTTACAATGTTCTCCGACGACACGCTTTTCTTAGGAGTCAATGATAACGAAGGAAGCGGCAGTTCAGATGGATGAGGAGCCACGACCAAGTTGCGTTTGGAAGAATAGTAAGGGGAAGTACGGGGATTCAAAGGATTGGCAGCGGCTGGTAATAAATTTTTTGTTGGCGACAACAAGTTCGATGCGCTATCATCAGATACAATTTGGCTCCAAGAAGCAGGTAGGGTTAACGGAGGAACCTGTTGACGCAAATTAGAATGAAAGAAACTGTGCCAATTAAATGTTGTACCGTGAACAGAAATTACATTTTTTTTTTTACCTGTACATTAGTATGTTCTTTGGACAGAATTATAATTTCTACGTTACTAGCAAATTTGTACATTGTACGAGATAACAAGCTTCAAAAATTACCTCAGGCGGAGAATCTGGTTTAGGTGGCGGTGGTGGGAAAGCAGGCGGTATAATCGGTGTACGCATTAAGCTTTTAAGAAAACTTTCGCTTCCGCTCTCTTGCAGTGACCAATTAATTAACTGATCGTCCGAAGTTGACATTTTCCAGTGCATGTCAGGTTCCTTCGACCATAAAGTATTCTCTTCGGATCGCTTCCAAGAATTCTGGTTTTCCATCGCTTGTCCTGCCCACTTGACATGTTCCTCCAACGTAATTGAATGATTAGAAACGTTGACGCGGGACGAAGAATCGCTTTCAAAAGATTCGTTACTAGAATCTGTATCACGATAGGAGGATGCTGATGTAAACGCGGCTGGCAATGGTATACCAACAGCTACTCGGAAAAGAAAAAGAAATGTTGTATTTTTAGATTATAAGCATTGACTTTCGAGCAACTCTGTAAGTCATTCACATACCAGCAAGCTTCTTATTGAGGTGTATAATGGTTTTCTTTCGTCGTGTTAACTGTATTGTAACTGTACAAGGTAAGGCTTGCAAAAGCGCAAACACTGTTGAAAAACCGTACTCCGCAGGCTTACAGACAGAACCTATACTTGACAAGTATGCAGTCTCAAACTGCAGGAGTCTTAACGTTCCTCCGTAATTCATCAGTACGCGATATAAATCACAAGCAAAACAATGTAACGGAGTGAGCTCGATGAATTCTTCATCTTCCACCATTGTAAACTGAAATCACAATACCGAGTAGAAATGAATAACTTTCAACTACTTCGAAGCAACGGTCATTTGCTAAACTTACAAATAACTTACCCGAACTACGTTAGATAGATTCTGCTTAAGTTCGTCTACGTTGCATAGCTTTAAATAATACTGACTATAAAACTGTTGGAACTCTTTAAGTGACACTCTGTGCTGAGCTTTATCCATCAATATTCGACGACATTGTAAAGTTAACAGTTGCAAATGCGACTTATCTATCATTACAATCGCCGGACCAGTTGCTAAATATATAACCTGAAATATTAATGTATTGCGAATTGAAATACGTTGGGTTTAACAGAAACCGTGAACTATAATTTTAAGACGATCTACCTTTATAGTATCCCCAAGCTTCTGCATTAGCTGTAACACAGATGTACAGTCGAACAATTCAGGTTTCAGCGCATAACCAAACTGTCGGAGAAAATTTTGTGGAATGCTTGAAATGCTCAGACAGCCTCTCGATCGCGTAACTAATTTTGATATTTGTTCGGATAGTACACGGAGACCTTCTTTTTCTGTCAGGGAGATTTGCCTTTCTCCGGAATTATCATCTTCGATTTTGACAACATCCGGTATCGCTTCGAATAATTCGATCAATTTAGTGAAACCGTAATCGGACACTCGACACTGATGACCAAAATGATGATGATACGATGGCACAAATTTATTGAACTGCATTCTACATTGAGGTGCGTGTCGCAACAATTCTACAACCTATTCGAAGGACAAGTAGATTTTCATTATAAATCAATTCATTTCTTGGAATATCATTAACGTTGTTACACTTTTTACCTCTACAGCGAACTGTTTCGTTCGTTCAATTTCTTCCGCAGTTTGTTCCCGTTTAGGTATTGCTATCATCTTATCCCCACCATTGATCGTAGTGACAACAACTGTGTTCTCAGATACTTCGCTGAGGATATCTTCGATTTCACAAACGCCATAATCCACAATATCCCACGGTTTAGCTGCGTAAGATATTTTTCTTAGCTTCATCTACGTATAACACTACTACTTCAGAGGATAGAAAAATGTATATACCTATTACTCTGGCATAAACGCTTGGAAATTCTGATAGAGCTACTTGTTTACTGGCCTTAGACTTTAAAACTCGTAGCAGATCTGAAGTGAAACGACGCACTTGAGCACGGTGAGACAATGTTACCACACGATTATTTCCTTCGCCCATAACCTGAAGGACATAATAATGTTTCAGAGATAATGTAAATTGTACGTCAATTTTTTTTCGTCTACTTACTTGTACAGTATGGGTAAGAGCTTCCAGTAAGTCGATGAGTTTAGTAAATCCGTAATCAGCAACTCTACATTGTCGTCCAAAATGATGGTGATATGCTGGTATAAATCGATTGAACAGCAATTGGCAGTGGGGAGCAGTTTTCAGAAGATCAACCAATTCACGACTGGGGAGAAGCTGTCATATTTGACTAAAAATTCTACCTTCATGATTATTATCATGTGTTTTATTTCCCGCCCAAATAAGATATTTCACGCTGCCAATACCCTGCTTCAATTCTACGCACGATAAGCAGGATACTAAATGTTCCAAGGGCACCCCAGTTTCAGCCACTTGTAGCTTTTCTTTGAACTCGGCTTCGTAACAATTTGGCAAGCTGAAATTATTTGTCGCGAATAAATTTACTTGTTCAGATACAACATTATGAGATTTGTAAATAATATATACCTAGGCAATGGTAGACTTCCATTATGTGTACTTAATAACTGATGTATACGTGGATCAAGAACTTTCAAAGATATTTTTACATTGGGAAGAGAAGCTACTTTCTGCTCAGCCCACCCTTTATCAGACCATGGTTTCAACGTATGAATGGTACAGTATGGTAATTCTACTTGTTCTTCCTAAAAGTAAAACGTATATTTTATGTTTCGTGTACACTTTATAAATATATCTACTATGTACTATGCTTATTGTTTCAGAAAATATCGCTTTAAGACTATCGTCATATCTTCTCAACGGTAAAAGGAGCAGTAGCTCTACTATTACCGGAAATGTTCAAACTCGGCTTTATATACATCATTATCTGTTGTCATTATTAAATCTATTTAAGATTAAAAAATTCTACGCACCTGAGTTGTAGTATTGAAACAAGGTGACGGTGTGTTTCTGTGATCTGGATTTAGAGAAACCATCCTGCCACCAGGATCTTCCGTAACGATACACACATCTTTCATTTTATATAATTCCGAGACGCTAATGGAAATCAAAAATCGACTTTCGTACATTTCTCGGAATTTAAAAAGTGGAAGCTTATGCCCCGGTACTTCTTGCAGCAACATCACAATCTGCGCTCGTACAACCTGAGGACTTGCTCTACCGCTGTGTGCGTAGGCTATTAAAATACGTTTATAGCCAACTTTACGCCGATGTAATTGGGAGATTGCGTATTGCGCGTCTGACAAAGAGGGTACCTTGACACTAGCAGCAAAATTACCATCAGATTGTGTAAAAATTTATATACATTGTATATAATTATATGAATAATAAATGTACCATCACGTGTTCCAGAAAGATTGAAGCGAGCATGTGCCTCATTTTTTTTGGATTAATACTTTGGTCCAAGTTGGTTACTTGCAATTCAATAGGTGTACATGTTTCGTTGTTCACTGAAGTTCCAGCGTGACTATTTATTGGATTGAAGAATTTCTAAAAGGCCGAAGATTATATGTATATAGATCATTTATCAGACATACTAAATGGAAATTAAACAAAATTCAAATACCTCTACTTCTTCGTTTTCTGCATCATTTGGTTGATAAGGAGATGTGCGATTACTCTGTTGGTTCATCGTTTGTACTGTATTTTCGTATGGTGAAGGCGTTCTGGTACTTCGTACAGACGCAGATTGTTGATTCTAAAAATAAAGATACAAACAATTAAGATATATGTAGGTTGTTTCTTTGTCCGTTGTGCAGATTAACACTATACCTGTCCATTCCACTGATTTCGCTCTCGTGGCTGTAGATCGCACATTGGAGATGGACTGCGACGTTTGAATGAATTTGATTGCGAATGGCCGTTTCCATTGAAATTCGCTGGAATATTCAACGGTGGATGCTGTTGCCTTACTCCACTCCATTCCGGAGGTTGAACGAAAGAATTATGTATTCCTCTTACACGTCTTAGGCCCTCTGGAGTTCGAGAGGACACATTATTTGAAATTGTATTATCCCGAGCCTGCGGGATATGAATTCTTCTACTAAGTACTTTTGTCTTTTCCACCTTGAAATTATTAATGATTACTTGGTAAAAAATAATGGTTAAATTTGAAAATGGTATAAAAATATTACATACTTTGTATTGTTCTTCCCACATATGGCCAAATTGCTGTGAACCAGAAATTTGCCAAAATAATGGAGATTGGACCCTTGCAAGCTCATTATATGCTCTATTAAAGGTTACATGAATAAATGGAACAAGGGTAGGGAAAAATCCATGCTTGATCCATCACTATTTCTCTCCGTGTTACAATCAGATAAGATCAAAGCTTCTTAACGTCACAGCCCGAATCAACAAGGACACTGTGTGTATCTACTCGCGAACTCCAAGGCTCTTTCTCGGAATATCATCATTTATGAGAGATCATTTTTCTATGTATATATGTTATATATTATATACAATTACCCTGGTGGTGCAGAGACTGGAGCACAGTGAGCATTCCATGCTGACGCATATGTTCCAATAACTGGAGACGACGACTGATAATGTGGAACTTGAAGGGCTCTTCCACCCGCTACCGAAGTACCTGCACTATACATTTGTTTTGACGAACTAATAGCAATTTCTGACTCGCTCACTGCACGATTTCTGCTTGTAAAGCTTCCTAGAATTACAAACGTGTATGATTAATGGACATTATACTTTAATACATTTTGCTCTTGGTATTTTTGTAGCTTTATACAGAAGATATACATATACATTTCAAATCAAGAAAAAACTACAGAATATATATGCAGTAAATTACCTTGATATTTCGGAAAATAACTCCCGTTTTCTTTTGGAAATTTCACAGAAATTTTCGAACCAAGGACAATTGTTCCATCCATACGCTTCCGAGCTCTGGCAAAAAAAGTCACAATGTTATTGAGCATAGCCGACTAACTGTAATTACAAGGAGCCAATACACAAGATAATCAAATCTGCCTATAAATGACCTTGGCGAAAATAGGACATAGTCATATTTATAATACAAATTCAGAAATTTGTTAATTTCCCAAAGAAATTTATGCTTTCTAAACAATATGCACATCTTAGCAGGTGCCTCTTACTTATTCCAAGTAATAACTTTTTATTGTCAAATGTATATGTTAGCAACTTACCTTGTGTATAAATAAAATCATTGGATCAAGTCAACATTGTAATAGATAAAATAAAACCATAAATAACAAGAATATATTAGATATTTTACTACAATAACAGCTACAATACACACAAATGAATCAAATATGTTATATAAATCAAAATTATAATCTTTCTACAGTGCCACTATGTTCGTTACATTGCTGCTCACTGTTTGAATTCTATTGTATTTATGTATCTATCCCTACTACTTATAGTGTTGTTTTTTTCTTAACACAAACAGTCCAATAGGATATCAGTAACTAGCAAAGAGTGATTGGCTGTGCATTGAGCGGGCTATTTAAATATGAGAATACTGGACGTGTTACTTGTTACTTATGTTACAATCAAATTCAAGACACTAATTATAAGAAGTTATAAGTAACTGACAGGGGGCACTACACACAGAACAACATCTATTAAAAATCAAAACATTAAGGATGTATACCTTTCTGCAAAGACTTCAGAAGTGAAACGTACAACTGCAACATTTGATTGGATTTCCAGTACACGACCACCACAGTTTTCGGACAATTGTTTAATTCGACGCTTAATGGACACAAGATCTTGATCTTTAGGAAGGTTACAAACTAGAAGGTCATAAAATACAGTAACCTAAAATACAGTAAGAAACACGAATTTTACAAAATGTCAAAAAATATCCACTTTTTGTATACAAATATACATGTAAAGAGATAAAAACTTGAAAGCGTGTTACTATGATTACAGAAATGATATTCATTGGTTTACAGTTAGTCTTCAGGAAATTAATATTTTAATCTACCGTACAGAGCACATATGTTAGTATCAACAAAAATATTAGTGAAATTAGACAAATTAACAAATATACATGAATTAAATTTTAAAAAAATAAGAAGCCATAGGATTTATGGTGGAGTAGTTTATTGCAAAAAGAAGAAAATGTGAATAACAAGAAGTGAAAAGAAATGAAAAAACAATGCGTATAAAAAAAAATGAAATACTAATAAGCCCTTTACCTCTACAGTACTGGACGGCAGTGATTCCATGAGTTCTGAAAAATCATAATGCTCATTGGCACACAGTATCAACGCCTCAGAAGTCTTCTTCATATGTAAAAGTATCACATGAATTTTCTTCCTATAACGTAAATCACTGAGATCAACAGCAAAATTAATATCACTAGATATTAAAATAACTGCTGCTGGACTTCCGTGAATATCAGCAAACCTCCGAATAGACTGTTTAAGTTTTTCATCTGCAGCATTTTTGCAGCATCCAGGAACATGTATTAAATTAACCTAATACATATAACATTAACCAAAGATGTATTATATTGCATAAAAACTTACAAAGCAACATGTAACAAATAATTAACTCTCACAAGCATGAATTTACCTGAGCATCATTTAATTCTTTCACAACCTGACTAGTCTCTTTCCAAACATCGCACACAACAATAAATTCTGCTTCCCTGTAACCGCTAAAAAATTTCTCTCTAATTACTTGTGTTGCAGCCATAGCAGATCTTCCTTTTGGAACCTGTAATAATTGTATTTTATATGATACATGTATATGTGCCTTTATCAATTGATTAATTTTGTTACAATCTATCTCATTTAACTGTCAACTAACATGACAGTTTTCTATGTCCCAAAATACACCAATGGGTGGAAGATATGTTGGTAAAGTTGGCGAATTGACTGGACTATCATGGTGTAAAAGGGAACAATCATGTTTGCAATGATTAAACAGTGGCGGGGTAGATGTATTATTTTCAAGTTTAAGGCTCCCCTTGTTGGTATTAGCATCACTCAATATTCTTAATGTGTTATGTTCAACATTTTGCGATGGAACTTTCTGTGCAGATATTAACTGTAACAGTCTCTCATTAAGACCTTCAATTTCATCTTTATCATTTGCACAAAGTACATGATAATCTCCAGTATCTTGGTCTGCCATGTGTTTCACAGGATATCATTTAGCATTCCAATACATAACCTACGAATATAAAATGTATAGTTTATACAAAATAAGAAGAGGAAACAAAAAGCATTTTTAAAAAATTAAAGAAAAAATGCGTGTTCGTATAACCATGCAAATTTCGTGCATTTACATCGTACGTGATTAGAACAAACACAATAAAATAGAAAGATACTATGTAATATAATAATGATATTAGTTTATTCTTAAATTAATAAAACCCTTATTAAAGAGTAGGTGCAAGCTTTCATTTATTATCCGTTTTTGTAAATTAATCTATAAAAACGGTTATTTGCGTTTAGTATCCACAGTCTATTGATAACAAAGGCGTGGAAGCGTTGTCTCTCATATCGCCGAATAATGTATAAAATTAATGCGAATAGCATTCACAGCATAATGCAATGTAGAAAGAGTCATACGTTACCTAAAACATTAACCCATTACAGTCTGACGAGTGTCTGTCGGAAACGCAGACTAACCGAGCGTTGTCAAACGTAAGATAGACGAAACTTTCTCAACGAGTTCTAGAAAACGCACAAAATATCCTAAAAAATAGAATTTTAAACGTATGCATGCCTTGTATTCGTGACGAAAATTCATACCACATACAGGAAGCAAACACCGAGTTGCACCGAGTAAACGAACAAGCAACTATTTATCCGATTTGCTATCTCTCCCGCTTCGTGCGCAGTGCGAAAACGTACAACACATTAATAGACGATGCATGGAACACTGATTTTACGTCTGGAAGTCACTAGTCCAGAGATCACTAAACTTTTCAGAAGAATATTACCACAGGCAAGATATCTATTTTATACCTAAATCTCGTTTGTGGTAGAGGACAGCAGAAAATCTTTAATTTTTCGCAAAATCGGTATTCCAGAACATGTGACAGAAAATCGCATATAATATCAGGTCTATTTTATATCCCGTCTGGATAGTACTCTTGTACATGACTCTTGTACATACTTCATGCTGCTTCATGGACACCACTCCGCGGGTTCCATGACTGTTGCTGCGCGGTGAGTTGTCCGAGTTATGGTCACTTCAAAAATTTCGATAACATGGCATCGTTAGAGGACGAAACGTTTCGTGAAGTTAAATCACGTCTCGTAGATACTATGCAAAAAACAGAATGGATTCCTTTGTCTCTCACTTTAGTCGAATATCCCCAAGGTAAGTACCTCTCAATTTATTAACAACATTTGTGCAAATTTCTACTTTTTGATTACGTGTAAATTTTGACGGTAATTACGTTTCTTTTGCTTTCGAAAGATAGTATTTTTGAAAGAAATATTTAATCAATACTACTTTTACCTTTTTATCGAGAATTTTATGTTTCTTAAACGCTTGTGCCCGTTTATGAAATTAGTGTTTATATCAATCTTACACATACGCGAATGGGCGAATCAACAATTAAGGATTTCTAGTAATCATTTGGAATTCCTGTAGATATTTTACAAAAATCTGTGGAGCTTTAAAAAGTTTTCACCTGCAATTTTTCTCATTTTTTCAAGCAGTATTGAATGTTGTTTATTCTTATGTTTTGTGTTGTTTGTCTAATCTGTGTTTTATGTTTGTAGGTGATTTTTTTGGAAAATTGTTAGCTTTAATAAGTTTAATACCATTTGCTATTATAGCTGGTATTATAACATTGATTCTGTTTAGAAGAGATTTACATACGGTAAGTGATTAACTTGGAATATATAATGATGCTTTAAACTTACATGTGACCTTATCTTTTTGTTTCCTTCTTTAGATTACATTTTTTAGCGGTATGATAATAAATGACATCATAAATTTTATATTGAAACATACAATTTGCGAAGCAAGGCCAATGAGACGGAATGTTCATGTTGAATATGGTATGCCATCATCACACGCACAGTTTATGTGGTTTTTTGCAGCATATACCACACTTTTTATATGCATCAGGTAATTCCTTTTCATTCCATGAATATTCAAAGAACTTACTTTTACTGTTTTTCTGTTCATAGGTTACATCATAACAACAATAGCAGTGTCTCAGAAAGATTCTGGAGAGTCACTAGTATAGCTGCTTGCATAATTATTGCACTTTTAGTGACATATAGTAGGGTTTATTTATTGTATCACTCTATTTCTCAAGTCTTATGTGGTGCTTTCATAGGAATTATATTGGGAGTAGTATGGTTTTTAATAATGCATATAGTACTTACACCATTTTTTCCTATTATTGTTTCATGGTATGTTATTGTTCTAACAATCGAAACTTTATTTTGTTTATGGCATACATACATGTATTACATACCATATTATACTTTCAGGCGAATATCAGAGTACCTACTGTTACGTGATACAACATTAATTCCTAATATTCTTTGGTTCGAATACACAAATATTCGCACAGAAGCACGGGCACGCTCGAGAAAACTTGTGTCAATGAAATCACAATGACGCCTAATGTCTAGGCATGGGCTGACAACAAATAGGAAATAATTGACTGAATAATAAATATTAAAGAAATAAAGTGATATCATTCCTTCAGTCAGACGAAACTAGAAAGATCCGAAATTCGTTTGGCTCAAAGAAATATGTTCAATAATTAATGGCAGTGTCTTTTGCCATTAGTAATATTTAAATGTATAAGGTATTAGTACAAATTTTGCATACGAATTTTCATGTTTATATGGTCAAAATGTGTACGTTTTAATAATTACGTTTTTATAATTTTGCATAAGTTATTTATGATCTATACTGAACATGTAACATTACTATTTTTGTTAGTCGTCAAAATGAGAAGATATATATTCATAATAGAAGTAATATATATCTTTCTGCTCTGTAAAGATGAATACTCTTTGTAATTTTATAAAATTATTTTAAAATATAAGTGAAATCTAGTGCAATAATGTAATAAAATATATGGTACACACAATATCAACTGAAGATAGATAATAATACTTTATTCAAAATTACAATGTTAACTCTTTGTCAATCGGAAAAACGGAGTTTAAATGGAGAATATTAGTACAAACTGTAAACTATGGCTATGACTCAAAATTACTTTATTTTAGTTTCAGCTACAGTTGTTACTGAAATGTTAATATTATGGTTTTCTAACTGCAGTATAGCTGTGTCATTGTTCGAGTATTAAATATTGTACATAGTTCCTTTGTTTACTACTAAACAGTTAAATGATTATTATTAAAACACATGTATGTACCTCGTATTAAAGGATTAGTAAAAATGTAAATAAGACTAAGTAAGCAACTGGAACAAGATTTTGAAGTTTTAACATTCGAAACGAATACTGAATCAAATATTTTCTTCAAACCTACTGACTGTATTACATATTAATTTTTTAATAAGATAACATTGTTTACCTCAGCAATTTAACATCTACTTTTATGCACTGCTTTGAGTGAATTACATATGTAAAAATTACTTTTATATCTAATATAAAAGTGATGACTAGACTGCGGATATTTATGCAAATTCACATTTCTATAATCTAATTTATACAAGCCAGAATTAAAAAGACACTTAGTTCCTCTATTAATAATACCATTGTATAAAAAAATAAAATAAAGCTTATGTTAAACATTATTAGTGTTTCCATTGTATTGTGTTTCATACAGTAGTTGCATTTACTATAAATGCATAAAATCCACAGTCTAATGATAACCTTATAAACAAACTATCATTGTGTTGCTCAATTAAATATTATCATTGTAGTAGCTATATAAAATTTGACATGCAGCATAAATGAAAAATGAATCTTCCATTTGTGCAAAATCACTATAATGTAAATATGCAATAACATTTTTTAATGAACTTTAAATAAAGTTAATGCACTGTGCTACAGATTATTTAATTTATCTACCTCGACAGTTATAAAAATAATGTAATATTACCGAATTGAACAATTACAATTTCTAACTATTTATAATACAGATTAGTTATATATAAGTCAAAACAGAACGTGTTATTCAATAATGACTTAAACCTAATCATATACTAGTAATATTGATTCATAATGTTAACCGGATACGCGGCTTAACGATACCAGCACTCGAGATTTAAGTTTGACAAGATGTCCGAAAATTGAGGTATACTGACAAGAATTCAAAATCAAAGAATACATTCGAAATTGTCTATTAAATATTTATTGTCATACGTAAAGTCGAGGTCACGAATTAATTCATACGTGAGATCGGTGAGTTTGAATAAAGCGATTAACAAAATCTTGACGAAAACGAAAGAAATAAACAAATGTGAATCTCTGCGTCATTGTATGAAATTGAAGTTTATGGATTAATATTTCATTTTCACCTGACGTGTTAAATGTTTCAGATCTTTCTCCGAAAGGCAGATTAGTTAAGGTCCAATTTGTGTAAATTAAATATAACTTCTTCATCGAGGTTACCGTAATATTTTTTCAACTATATATACTTTCATCAATGTAAGTCAAAAAGATATTTATATAAGTTTAATGAACAATGCATAAGTAGATATTATTATTGTAATGTGAAAGCTATAATCCTGAGAAGTAATGTTTATAAAATATATGTCAATTATTAGATATGAACAAAGTATTTAATGTATAGATCAACGATATGATTTCTTGTAGATTTTAATTAGAAAATTAATGCATGAAATTGTTTCAGAATTACAGTAAATTTTTTGAATCTCAGGCGACCAGTTTTTTTGCCTCAATGAACCCTGTGCTGACATGTCTTATACTGAATTGGAACATGGTTATCAGGTAAATAATAGTAATATTTATGTTTAAAGGACAATTGGAGTTATCTTAATCAAATAATACTTAATTAATAGGGTCTACGGAATGCCAGTCGACCAATTTTCTATGTAGGGGATTTAAATACAGTTCAACCAACCCTTGTAGGTCCTGTTGCTTCTTCTATATATCGTTCATCAAAAAGAGTAAGTTTTCATCCAATTATTAGTATATTGTGCATACATAATCACCAATTTTCAATTCATTAATCTTTACTTTTGTTTTTGGAAGCATGCAATGTTATGAATAATAGAAAATAAATCAGTATTACATTCTAATATGAATTTGATTGAAGAATATTTATCTGGTGTACTTAATTTTCAATATTACATAAAAAATACTTTCATGTTTCTTCGCTGATTTATCAGAAAATATTATTTAAAGGGATTATAAACTAAAAATTTGTATTCTATGCAGAATACTTTATATAAATAGATTCATTATCAGAAAGAGTTTAAGAATTAAAGAAAGTACATGCATGAGTAGTATATGTATACTTGTGACTACATTTATTTTGCTTGAGAAATATTATGTATCTTTAAAAAACAGATATATATTTTGTAACTAAAATTTTATTTATTTTCTTGCATTTTGCCAATTGCTCGCAAATAATCTGGTGATTTGTAAAACAAAAAACACTCAGTAGTTACTAGTCTAAAAATAAATTGGCACAAAGCCTGTTTTTGATGCATTTTGGTCTCTTCTTTGAATGCACATATAATGCACATTATTAAATTTTACATAATTATGTTTTTATGTACTATGCATTATATCTTTAATTGGCAAATACTTATATGATTGTCAATATTGAAAAATTTAGTGTATGAATTTGTACTCAATGTGCTCAATGTGTTTACAGTGTGATCATTCTGAATTGAAGTAGAAGGTCATTGTCATCAGTCTAAATGTATTAGGTACTTACAAAATGCGTGTCTACATCTAAATCAAATAAAATATACCTTTGTGTAAATATTGTTACTGTCTTCTTCCTCAAAGACAAAAACAGTTTATGTTATACCCTATTTTATTAAACATACGGGTGTATTATTAATTTTTATTGAACTGTGCTTGTAAGTGAATTACATTGTAGTAATATTGTTTAGAAAGAATTAATTATCACTTGCATATGAATGCACACACAAATAGTCATTGATGTTTTGAACTGGGCTGCATAATGGAAAACATAAATTCTTCATCGTCTACAACAGTTCCTGATGTTTACATCTTTGATTGTGATAATGAGGCAGAACCATATTGGCAAATGATGGTAGAGTTGCTTTTGTCTTATTTCTTTTTGTAAATATTTTATTTTATATGTTACTAAATTTAAGTATATACTCTGACAATTGGAATTGAGTGTGAACTGTAATATTGTATGATTTTAATAATTTTTCATAATGTCGTTTACATATTTCTATTCACCACTATTGCGCTGTGTGTTTTAATAAATTTCCATCTACATATTTAAACATACGATACGAGTAGATGAACAATTTGCAAATGTACATGTGTTGTACATACTAAATATTATCGATCAAAAATATTAATGTATAATGCATATTCTGTTGTTACCTATATATATTCTATAAAGCCTTTAAGTAATGCAATTTTACTGTCACACAAAGTGTGTAAAATCAAATTTTCTAACGACACAGTTCTTTATCTTTAAGTAAACCATTCTCTGTTTGTTTACTGGTATTCGTTCTTAGTTAAACACATGATTGTTCAAGTAGTACTGTTAACATTAGAAGAATTGTGAAGTAGTTTAATACTGAATATCACTTTCTTTAATGTTTGTTTTATATTTGTGACGTCTTGTCGTGAAAGTTAGCATTTCTTGTTATTTCTTTACTAATATAATTTAATATATAAGAATAGTGATAATAATAATCTAATTGTCTTTCAATTTGTGGACTGTTCAGAATATTTAGAAAGCAAGTCCAAGGGTGGCATATGATAAGATAAAATAGATTTAATTACTACACAAGTGTTTATCTGAATGTATGCGAAAATTCTTTTAGTATTAGAAATGCTGTACAAGATACGCAAGATAATGAATTTGTTGTGCTTTAAATGAAGTGTTGGGTTTAAATACATATCATTGTCATGGATAAAATAGTGCACAATAAGACAACTTTTTTCACTTTTCAATTAGTTAATTAAATTTAATTGTGCAATTAGAATTAACTGAAATTTAATTACTAATTAAAAACATTATAGTTTCTTACAAGTAGCTACTTCTACTCACCTCTGTTAGGTAGTACAATAGTGAGATTGTATTGGTGAATTATTGAAAATAGTGTAGCTATGGAATGGACTTGGTTAAAAGACTGGTGGCATTTGAAAAAATGGCGTTATCGCAATAAGGAAACAAATTCTGCACCTGCTACCACCATTGAAGATGCTGCGGACTTGGATGAACATTGCTATTGCGATGAGTGTTTCGTATGTTGTAACAATATTTTATTGTTAGATACCATTTACGATACATTTTTGTATACAAAGTGCTTAAAATCTAAAATGCTACTGAAGACATATCATACAATTACAATTTTAATAATTGTCAGGAGTTATAGCAGTAAGATTTGGTGGATTTGTCAGAGTTCTAATTTTAGATTCTGTTTAGGAGTATATTTTTGTAATGACATTTGTCTAGCTTCTTTCCAACAGCTAGCCAACCAAATGTCTGTATGTATTGAAAAAAATAGGCATTTTAAAATCTAAAAGAGTCTTAATTTTAAATATAACAATTTATGAGACACTAGCTATTTATATTGTACTTTAAATAAAATTCTACACTGATAAATCATCGAATATTTTAAATATGAATTCAAAGCTTTTTGTTTTTATAATTTTTGATTATTTATTTGTCGAGCAGATAAAATATTTCTTTAAAAGTTATAATTATAATCTTTGGATTCCATTTATGTTTCCCTTTTTACGTAGGCAATAATGCTACTGGTCAATCTGTAACTTTTACATCTAATTGCATGGGAAATTAAGAATATGATACATAGTAGAATGAATAGTAAATCAGGACTGCATATGAATTACTCTGAAAAAGCTCTAGACAGATCTGGCTTTTTACCCTGTTTGAAAACATATTGGGTGAGCAACAGTGAACATACTGAATAATGAAGATTTTTCTACATTCATGACCAAAGTATAGGAATATGAGTTATAGTGTCTTAAATATATATACATATGTACATAACTAAATGAACACTAACAAAGATGATAATAATACTTGAAACAAATTTGACATGATTAGATTTGTTTAAATGTATAGGAAAAAGCGAGAATAATGATAGATGTAAACTATATTTAAAAAAAAATTGTTATTTAGGCCGAACTGTCGGACGGGTGCAGCAATGATGATGGATGCATGGGTGGCAACGATTTGGAAGGGGAAGGGAAGCAAGTTTTGGTTGGCGTCTGTGCGATGGCTAAGAAATCGCAGAGTAAACCGATGAAGGAGATTTTGACAAGACTAGAAGAATTTGAATACATTAAGATAATAGTATTCCCTGAAGAAGTTATCTTGAAGGTAAGAAATGAAGTATATACAAAGATTGCTTGACTTATTTCTTCGTCAAAATATGTACTTATAGGAATCCGTAGAAGATTGGCCAGTTGTTGATTGTTTAATAAGTTTTCACAGTAAAGGCTTCCCTCTCGATAAAGCTATAAATTATGCTAATCTTAGAAGTCCCTTCATCATCAATAATCTACCAATGCAGTATGATATTCAAGTAAGTAGATCACGAATAATAATGTCGAGCAATGTAAGTTGTACTATCAGAATGTGTCTGTATTAATGTTTACCTAAAACTTTCCATACATACAATAGGATCGTAGGAGGGTTTATGCCATTTTAAGCGGCGAAGGTACAGAGATTCCAAGATACGCTGTCCTGGATAGAGACTCGTCTGATCCAAAACGTATGTAATATACATATTGCTTTGAATTTACCTACGATCGTTTTATATAAAAGAGAACTCATCTAGATCATGAACTGGTGGAGTCAGAAGATCATGTGGAGGTCAATGGTGTTACATTCAATAAACCATTTGTGGAAAAACCAGTATCTGCTGAAGATCATAACATTTACATTTATTATCCTACATCTGCAGGTGGAGGTAGTCAAAGATTATTCAGGAAGGTACTATCTACTAACAGGAGATTCTTAATAAGAACTAAAAGTAGAACAATAATTATATCATTATTTCATGTATATTTCACAGATTGGAAGTCGTAGTAGCGTATATTCGCCAGAGTCACGAGTACGTAAGACAGGATCTTACATTTATGAAGATTTTATGCCCACCGATGGGACAGATGTTAAAGTTTACACAGTGGGGCCTGACTATGCACATGCAGAGGCACGAAAGAGTCCTGCGTTAGATGGGAAAGTTGAAAGAGATTCAGAAGGAAAAGAAATTCGGTATCCTGTTATATTAAGTAACGCTGAGAAATTAATTAGTAGAAAAGTGTGTTTGGCTTTTAAGCAAACAGTTTGTGGCTTCGACTTACTTAGGTAAGCAGACAATCGGTTACAATTAAGTGAATGGAAAATACATTAATGATCAGTTGTCATAAAATTCTTTATCGATACTTAGGGCAAACGGTCAGTCGTTTGTATGCGACGTAAATGGATTTAGTTTTGTAAAAAATTCAAACAAATACTACGACGATTGTGCAAAGATTCTGGGAAATATGATTCTTCGGGAATTAGCGCCTACTTTGCATATTCCATGGAGTGTTCCGTTTCAACTAGACGATCCACCAATTGTACCCACGACATTTGGAAAGATGTTGGTTAATTTACTTTCTACTCTTCTTGTTCCCGCGAATACGATTTTAATAATGTTTTTCAATTATTACAGGATGGAATTACGTTGTGTCGTTGCTGTTATAAGACACGGCGATAGAACACCAAAGCAGAAAATGAAAGTGGAAGTCCGTCATCCTAAGTATGTTTTTAAAGACTCAGTTATGTCAAATATTTAAGAAACCCCCCATTATTTATTATTTTTCTGTTCAAACTAGATTTTTCGAGATATTTGCAAAATACGACGGTTACAAACATGGTCACATCAAGCTGAAACGGCCGAAGCAGTTACAAGAGATATTAGACACTGCTCGTAGTTTATTAACCGAGATACAACATAGAGCCGCGGGGCCAGAATTGGAGGAGAAGCAAGGAAAACTCGAGCAACTGAAAAGCGTTTTAGAAATGTAAGTGAATGTTGTACCTTTTGAATAAATATCGTTTTAATTCTGACCGATAGTGGAGTGTCTCTACGCGATGATAAAATTTTGTCGCAGGTATGGTCATTTCTCAGGAATAAACCGTAAGGTACAGATGAAATATCAGCCAAGGGGACGGCCAAGAGGGAGTTCATCGGATGATGGTACAAAGGGTTTTACTTTTGTCTTCACATTAAGCAACAGATTCTACGACTAAGTTTTTTTTATCTAGATCGACTGGGAGAACCGTCGCTTGTTCTGATCCTTAAATGGGGCGGAGAGTTAACACCTGCAGGCCGTATTCAAGCAGAGGAACTAGGAAGAATATTTCGCTGCATGTACCCCGGTGGTCAAGGTAGACACCTTAGTGGTTCGTATCTTATGTTCATATGCTTGTCATACTCATTTTTACGTTAATTCATGTGCCACGAAGGATGTTTTCTTTGATAAGTTTCATAAGTTGGCTGAAATACGACTGGGTCTGTCTCTCGCCTTTGTAGTTTAATCGAGCGTACGCATAATGTCGATATAAATCTTGCACAGCGTATCTTGTAGGTATCCATAAAATATTGTATGAGATAGAGCTGATTTGTAAATGTTGAGCGTTTGAATAATATGAAGGTTAAAGAGTATACTTTTATAATGCCAATGGAAAAGTTACGAAATTATGGGATATTTCCAACTTCATCTGGTTTAAGTTGTGATCGTCTTAGTTGAAAGGATAGTGAATAACTTATCACTTTACAAACATGTTTGATTCATAGACTATTTCAAATATTATTTCAGAGGAAGACTCAGAGATGTTACCAAACCACGGTAACTTTTTATTCTGAATCAACGCTTGTTGTTCTGTAGTTGTCTGTAGATAGTGACACAATATATGCATAGAAATAGTAATAGCGTGTTCGATTAGTTTATAATTGTTGTTACTTACAGAGAAACGTGTTCGGACAGTGTTTAGAAGGTATTAAGTGTAAAATGCTGTTTCTATGTGCACTCAACAAGTATTGCAATGAATTGCTTCACAACTCGATGGTAGTTGCTTTTATACATTTTGTAGCATTAAGTGTATCTATTTTATTTTTAAATAAGACTGTCAGTAGTGTCTCGCTACCCATACAGTATCACTCAAAGTTACACATATATATACAGTGTAAACGTATACACGTGTTTATATTCATCCACAAACAAGTTTCGGCATTTCTCTTTCATTTCGTGAGGATATAATGTAAATATAAGAATTCATTGCAAAATATCTATGGTGTGAATATAACAAAAAAAAAAAACATAATTTAACGTATAGTAATCATGACTGTATTTAACAGCACTAGAGAGAAACATCAACATATTACAATTAACTAGACCTGTCTATTAGTATGTAAGTTGATGTGTAATCTATCATTTTTTCAGTAATTAGTAATGATCTCTTTACCAGAGCATAGATCATTCGCAAAATCAGATTTGTATTTAAATGTTCATTAAAGTTCAAAGATATGTTCTAATTATATCGCGTAGTTTCATCATTTTCTTAAAGATATTTTTCCCACGAATATAGGCGATTACGCTGGTGCACAAGGCTTAGGTCTACTTCGACTTCATTCAACATTCCGTCACGACTTGAAGATCTATGCAAGTGACGAAGGAAGAGTACAGATGACCGCAGCTGCGTTTGCGAAAGGTTTGCTCGCATTGGAGGGCGAATTAACTCCTATTTTAGTGCAGATGGTTAAAAGCGCTAATACCAATGGTCTCTTGGATAACGATTGTGATAGTAGTAAATACCAAAATATGTGCGTAACAAACAAGTAATACATTATGGCATAGTGAGAGTTTCAGTAAATTATAAGAGCATTCTTTTACAGGGTGAAGACGAAACTCCACGAATTGTTGCAGCAGGATAGAGAATTTACTCGTGAAGACAGGGAACAAATAAACCCTGGAAATGCATTGAGCATTAACGCAGCTATGGATTTTGTTAAGAATCCTGTTCGTTGTTGCCAGCATGTACATATCTTAATTCAGAAATTAATGGACATTGTAAGGATCAAGAAAGATGATCCAAAAACGAAAGGTATACGCTCACATTGTACTATATGCGAATGAATACAATTTCAAGGATGTTCTATGAAGTGTTAAATCGTGAAATAATGTCTAGATGCAATTTTGTATCACGGAGAAACCTGGGAGTTAATGGGTCGTCGATGGGGAAAGATCGAAAAGGATTTCTGCACTAAGAACAAGAGATTCGATATATCAAAAATCCCTGATATTTATGACTGCATAAAGTATGATTTGCAACATAACAATCATACCTTGCAATTCGAGCATGCGGAGGAATTGTACATTTATTCGAAATATTTGGCAGATATTGTTATACCACAGGTTACCATTTTGACAACTATCTTTTCATTGAATAATTCATAAAATTCGATTACCGTTTTCTGACCTTTATATCTGCGACAGGAATACGGATTAACAGTGCAAGAGAAACTAACAATCGGACAAGGCATTTGTACTCCCCTTTTGAAGAAGATAAGGGCCGATTTGCAACGAAATATCGAAGAGTCCGGTGAAGAAACAGTTAATCGACTAAATCCAAGGTACACTTACATTTATACTATTGTTATTTTCATTTGCCAATTACACATTTACTCGAACAAATATTCCAGATATTCTCATGGTGTTTCGAGCCCTGGTCGTCACGTGCGCACAAGATTGTACTTCACAAGTGAAAGTCATGTGCACTCTTTGTTAACTGTGTTACGTTATGGAGGTTTACTCGATGTAAGCAATACTTGTGTAATTCCCTGTATCTTTCTATATTGTCGTGTGTGATACGGAAGCACTTTCGATGCATAAATTACAGGTAATGAAAGACGAGCAATGGCGCCGAGCTATGGAGTATGTTAGCATGGTGTCCGAATTGAACTACATGTCGCAAATCGTAGTCATGTTGTACGAAGACCCAACCAAGGACCCCAGTAGCGAAGAACGTTTCCACGTCGAATTGCATTTTAGTCCCGGTGTGAACTGTTGCGTGCAAAAGAATTTACCACCGGGACCAGGATTCCGGCCTCATTCGCGCAACGAAAGTAGTCATAATATCGTAAGTAAACAGCATAGTTACCTCCTTCGAGAATTATAGGAGTATTAAAATAAAGTTTTTTTTGTGTATTTTCAGGGTGAAAGTGGCGGTGGTTCTGCTCAGGATACTATATCCCAGTGCAGTGCACGGATAGAGGAAGAAGACGTTGAGTTAGGACCTTTGGAAGATGATTTCATGAGTCCAGCGTTACAATCTGTATGTGTTAATTCCTTTTGCGAACAATTTACAAGGTTTAACATGGTTATTCACATTTTTTGTGAAATTTTAAGGAGACTCCCCCACCTACGGTGGAGACTGACGTTGTAGATTCAATGATGGACAGCCCGACAACCAGCAGAGCTGTTGATATGATGGATTTGGATCCCAATATGATGGACGAACCATTTGATAGCGGTTTCTTACAGAGTTCAGCGCCCATTCCAATAAGGTACAACGAGACACACAACCCACTGGAATGGAATAACGATATGTTCAATCGTGGATAACTCGATTGATTATTTTTCAAGTGCCAGAACTGTGGCGGGTCACGAGGCAGCCAGACTCGGTAGCCAGTTAGCTGCTAGTCAACGTCAACGACGCGATGCAGAAAGGGGTGGAATCGTTGAACCACGTGCACGTAGTTACGATCATCAAAGGCAAGATAAGTCTGAGAAAGGTAAGGGTATTTTCAGCGTGAATCGGTAGTGCACACATTTTGTCCGAGCAATAACGAATCGAAGCTAATATCTTTGGACGTGCATGATAGATACCTACGAGTACTTAAACATTTCCATTTCAACGGGAAGTTGAAGCAGAACCTTTGTAAATAGCTCTTGCATATATTTTGGTCGAGTACTGCCAGAATAAGTTAGCGAAACTTTGTTACAAAGTGAACCGACTTCGATTTTTGGGGAATTCACGGTCGATCGGAATTCGCAATCCCGAGTTTTTTTTGTCACAATGTGTGGTGTTTTTCATGTCTTTTTTATAGCTGCGGACAAGCTGCAGTATCAGAGCTTGGACGCGGTCAACAAAGAAGGTACGTCACCCCGACTTCCTGTTCTAATTACAGAAGGGTAACGTTAAAAAGAATGCGTTAGCGTTGGCTTATTTTTGTCAACGGTTGTTTGCAGAATTTCTATAAGATCTAAATCTGTAAAAAATCTGAAGACCTCTATATCCTTATATCTTTGCAATTTAATAGGTTGGATTTTATAACTTCTTGGCTGTCTTCGTATGAAAATTTAGATTGTCTCAGGAAAGAACGATCTTCGCTTTCGCAGTAGCAATATATTTAGTTGCGACGTATAGACTGCTGCAATTTGCATCTTTATCTTCTCCCTCTATGAATGTAGCATCTTCACGTATATTTATTGGTATTCCAATATCTTTTTTTCTTTTTTTCTTAAGCATTTTTGTTCGGCAGTACCCTTAGAATGATGTGTACAGTACACGGTAGCACTTTAGTGTCACGCTCAATCCTTGATATTGCGATTTTCTTTTTTTTCTGTGTTACCATTTTCTTTTGTATTAATTACATTGATTTCTGTTGTGTATTATAGCGTATGACTGAAACGTATTTTTGGTTTTCAAGTACTTTAATACCAAGACATTGTTATTAGAGTGAAATTGAAGTTAGAAGTTGTTCAGTTGAAGTGCAATTTATGGGCCAGAGCTTGAATAACAGACACGTACTAATTAATGAAACGACAAAAGTGGAACACATTAAGATAAACTGATACAGGATAATTCAGTTGAAATAACTCTTTGCTCAGCGATAGTTGTGCGCGTGGAAGCCAACTAATTTATATCGGCGACTGTTTGAGTTACATACATGGACCAAGTGTGATGTGACTCATTCAGTTGTCCTCCTGAATCCTTCATTCCTAAGCTCATTGTTCCATCAGGATTCGCAATTAACAGTGCTTAGTTGTTTTCGAAGATCATGTTTGCCTGTTCTTCATATGTACTTGTTAACATACGGATATTCATATGTTCGTAATTCTTTCTCACCCTCTTCTTTTTCTTTTCTCTATCATTTGTCAGAAAATTTGGGGAAAATTATTTGAATATTATGTCCAAGCTAGTACCAATGGTTTTCGCTATTGATCTTATATTAGCCAGTTCGTTGTAACGCGTATTTACATTTTTTAAGTTTCTGTGTCATTCGTTCATTATCGATGAAAGAAGAGTGTGAATTAAGTGTTGTTGAGTGGCTAGATTAACTTCTGAGAGCAATCAAACTTTCAGATACATAGATCGAATAATTATACATACTTTTATATAGTCTACTTATTATAAGATTTTACAAGAACTTCGAAAACCTTTGATTGCTGTCAGTGTTAAAAATTCATAATCCCATGGTGACCATTTACATACTGTTTCCGTATTGATATCGGTGTTGTCTAGTTGGCTACTGGTTGCATGGCTATCGTGTGCCATGGGTGTGTAACACTAACAAAATTTTGTGCCTTCTAAACGCAAGCAGGTGAAAGTATAAGTTATTTCCTCTATACATTCAGTTACTTTAGTCCTCCCATTGGTAACGAATCTTTTCTCAGTGTACGTCGTCGTCAAATAATAGAGACCATTCGACTCGACGATCACAGTCCTCTTGATACACGATAATATTAATATTCCAAAAGAAAAAGTTTCGATTCAACGACGTAGCTAAAGGTTCTTACCAATGTTTACTTTTATTTCTTCGGTGATGGGTTTATTTAATACTCTGTTTCTCTTCTTTTCTCTTTCTTTTTTTTCTTTCCTTCCTTTGTGCCTCATTCCCGCTGCTAAATCGCCATCTCTTCATTATTAACCGCATCGTTTCACTTCACGCGAACGCGCATGGGACCACACACACACACGCCGGCCGACACAGACCATAAGCATGCGAGAAAATACCGGTTAGAGGTGTCTAGCCAGATGTTATTGCACGTGCCAACTACGGGGAAGGTGGTATTGCCGCATTCCTACAGTTCACCGGAGTTACCTGTTCCTTCGATCGATACCTCTGTGTCAACACCTCTGGTGACATTACACAATATCCCTCTAGCCTCGCCGAACAGCCGGGCCCCGGATATCACGAGTATAGTGCTTCCGGTACCCACGGTTCGTTCCTCGACATGCCGCGGTATCGATTCCGACGGGGCTGACCCGCAGCTACGCTCACAAAGTAAGAAATACTACGGACGTTCATACACAGAAACGATTGTTCCCTGTATCGCATGCGAGTTGAGCAATTCCATAAGGTCGCCACGAACGAATCCGTGGGCGAAGTCTTCGTCCCGTCTGTTCTCCTATCTCGAAAGAATCCCAGGAACGACGAGAGACAAGGCCCATACGGAGGAGAAACGAGCCTGTTCGTTGTCCCCATGTCTGCCCAGATGTCTCTGTTACAATTGTAACGTATCGGAGCTGATACTGCGAAGCAGAGACCTGCCGCCCGTGGAACGTTCAAACTTCGACACCTACTTCGCACGCTCGCTGTCGCACAAGTTCTTCAATTGTTCTTGTTACTTCAGCCTCCATCAAGACGAGTCGAATCGATCCTCTTGCAGTGTATCGTCCACCGAGAGTTACGGCAATCTAAAAGTGTCCCGACAATTAGGTAACTTCAATTCGGATCCGGGCTTATGGGTCTCCGGAACGGCGAGAGGACAATCTTCCGCGTCGTCCAGACAACCGTCCCTGTATATACGTTCAACGTCCAAGGAGAAACAGAGGTGGCGCGTCGAGAAGAAGCTTATCACACGGATCCTTACAGACGGTTCTGTCATCGATAATGCTCGACGACCAACCAGAACGATATCGTCCCCAAATCTGAGCACTTTCTTGCTTACCGATTCATCGTCCTGTTGTTCGGTCGAAAATCTATCCGGCTGTTGTCCCCTAACACGCAGGTGTTGGTCTTGCACTGATGTGAATCTCCAATGGCACACTAGTCTAATAGATGTACCCGATCGTAGTAGTACGCTTTACCATTCGTCGTCCTCTGTGCACAATAATAATGTTCACGATGATCACGATACACCCCACGGGTCTAACCATCGATCCAGATTCCCCCGTGTACCGTACTCCCGACTCCAGCCTCAGCGATCCTTCTCGTCTCCAGACACACGACCTTCGATCATTCAACCTGACCCTACCTGCACAGCAAGGCGCCACCGTCACAGTATCTCCGGACAGATGAGTTATTTCAAGCTGTTGGGCTACAATGTCAACAAGAAGCTGACAGGATCGGCGAACAGTCTGTTCAGCACCGCAGTTATCAGTGGATCCTCAAGCGCACCGAATCTAAAGGACATGGTACCCGCCCATGCGTCTGCCGTTGCCGGTGAGTGAAGAATCTCTTGGTTTCTAAATGATTATCCTTCAAAAATTCACGAATACCTCGGTGCAATATCAAATGATCGGGATTTAAGTCGCCCCCAATGTTCGATTTCGATTCCTGATTTAGCGATTGAAGGTTTTGGCGGTGTGCCACCGATAAGACCATTGGAGACTCTTCACAATGCATTGTCCCTACGTCAATTGGATTCTTTCTTGGAAATGATGACCAGCGCACCCCTGTTTCGTACGCCTGCCTCCTCGCCACCGAAGTATCCGTCACCGGGTGGATCGACCCATGGGTCAGTTAATCAGAATCTTAGTATCGGAGGAATCAATCGCGAGTACCACTCTTCCGACTTGGAAGCTGTCAGGTACCGTAAGAAATTAAGTAAACCATCCTTGTGAGTATTAAAAGCATTCTTCATTTTTTTTTTTTTTTGTTTTGTTTTGTTTTGTTTGGGTTGAGTTGTCCTTGTGTAGGTTGAGCTTTAAAATAGGCTATTCGGTCTTCGTTTGTGTCCTATTTCATTGTAACGGTGTAGACTTGGATCGAGATGAAATGTTTTTATAATTAGGTATATCACCCCGACTCCTATACAATACAAATCCACAAATGACGGTGAACCGTGCGACATAAGGAATCAACTCTCGCCGACTAGTCCCAACAGTTAGTGTTTTTCTGATTTCTACAAAGAAAAAAAAATAGTACCTTTATTATTATTAAAAGATAATGTACAATAGGTACTGGCTGGAGCAGCGAACCACAATCGTTTATATCGTCCGAACCCTCGTCTCCTGCTCCAACTTCCACAGGAGAATGCAGTATGTCCATAAGTCTCATCAGCAACGAAGGGTAAGCAGAGATCGTCGAACAACTGAACAAGATAACCACAATGAAATTACTGTTCGTCGTTACAGAGTGCAGTCCTTTAACACGGCTCCGAAATTTCCCACAACTCCTTGTCTCGATGTAGACTTCAATGAATTTTGTATGAACATCGATCAAGAACACCGAGAAAGTCGCGGTAGCGTGTCGTACACCGATTATTACAGCAACGAAGACGGACAAATACGGAAATGTACATTCGGGGCTGGCTTTGGTAGCAACTTACAGAAAATCATACGGACCGATGATCTTCCTATCGACAATATAGACGACGACGAGGATCATACGATAACATTGAAGCAAACCGAAGAGCAAAAGAAGCAGGATGTTAAGCAGATATTCGAGCAAACGGAACATTTCGGTACAAAACCGAGTAGTAGTAGTTGCAAAAAGATTGGCAGGTTAGTTTGTCATTTGTTGCAGAACGTGACGTTGAATCCAGTGAAATATACAATAAATTCCCGATAAGTGTTCCAAGGCTCCTAGGCACTGAACATTAAATATTTCATAAACTAATGGTCACATGCGGTTGAAACAGATATAATTAACCTCAGAATTCCAAGCTCTATCACTGTGCTGAACGTCATTGCTGAGGAGCCTTCGAACACTCATCGAGGATTTACTGTAAATATAATATCAACTTGTTTGTATTGCCTGTTTATGCCTAGGTTTCTCGTCGAAAGTATGGATATAGCGGACGAAGACGTCAGAATCAAAGAAACGGACGTTTCCGACAAAAGAAGACAGTCCACCTCTCAAAAAGTTGAATCTACCAACACAGAGAAAGTTCGAAGAACCAAAGACACCGGTACGGAAACGATGCAAGAGCACAAGAGGATCCATTCTTCCGACGGTTACAAGAGAAAGAATTTCTCTCGATCGCAAAGCGTTTCTACCCCGAAACCAGCTCCTGCGAAGACTGACACAAACTTCAGTTATAAATGCACATCGAAATTAAGCTCCCTGTCGAACATGTCGGACAAAGATTTGGAAAATTGGAAGCAAAACATGGTAAAATCGAAGCCTGTTTCCGCGCCCTTGGTAAACCCGGAAGAACCACTACTGACCGTGGCGAGTAGTTTGACAAGCAGCTCTAGCGTGACAATAGGTTTCAACGTCCACGAAGAAAACAAAGAATAATTAGAGGTGTCGTTCGAAACTGGTGTTTAAGTATTAGAATATTCTATTTTATTAGATAGGTAACGTTGGACGTACATTTTGCACATAGAATTGAACAGTTGTTGCTTCATATATAAGGATAAATAATCGGCTAGATAAATACAAAATTTTACGATTCCTCTAACGGACAAATCGTTTGGATTCAACGCAGCTTGTGCATTTAATTTGCAAATGACGAAATGAAAGTCATTTTTTTGTTATGAATTTGTTCCTTTGTTTTCCTTTTAAAACGCAATTACCAAAAGTATATGAACGTTCCATTGATAATCCTCGAAATGCTTTTAGTAGAATTTCTTAGTGAAAGGAAATATTTAATCTAATCGAGCAGTTGCGACATTCCTTCTCTTAATTGTTCGAATTTTGTACTTATGACCTTGTATCACGATCGATCTTTTATTTTAAATTGACGCTTGTATATACCGATATGATTGTACTTTTGTAGATAATGTTCATACTATGTTAGAAGATAAGATAAAAAGAGCCTGGTTTACGAGGAGAAATGTTAATCCAATCAATCTAATGTCAGGATAACGTTAACCTAATTGTTTAAATCCGTAGTTAATTAATAAATTAACACTATTTACTAGATATGAATCGTTAAATGTTGTTATATTCATCAAATGTAGTATTTGTGCCACCAAAGTGAACAGTACAAGATGTTCATATTACTTTTTTCTGGTTATTGAAATTCAATATACGTGTTTTATTTATTTGATATATTCTTGAACTCAAGCATATTTTAAAAAGATTATCATGAATGTACAAACGCTAACAATTATAAAACGTTGGATAATTCATATGTGCAGTATTTACATAGCAGTTGTCTTATAACAAGATATACTCGTTTGATTGTAAATATTTTGCAAAATTATCCAATGGAATAGAAGAAACACTATTTTTTTATGAATATATCGCGAAAGCTTCTTGTCAAAGATAACACAACGGTTAAAAATTGCAGATATATTATTGTGATCGTAGAAAAATCAGGTATATTTAAGGTGCTACACAAACTGAAGTTCTTAGGTTCCTAATTGACTCTTATATCCACATTGTTAACAGTACAAGTAATGCATGTGGCTGCTTTGCCTAATTTTATTGCTTGAAATAATTCCTCTGTACTTAAACCTTCAAAAAGGAAAACAACAATTTTCTTAATAGTTTTAGTAATAATAATATTTGTAGCATTCTTATAGAAAACATTATACTTTTACGCGAAGACGAAATACTTCAGGAGAATAAAATTAAGTGCAGCTTCTTACATCTCCACAATTAAGCAACTTGGAATTGTAAGCATTATTTTAATTTAGTTCTGATTGTATATCAAGTATCGTTGTTCAACGAGTCTTGTTCAAACGAAATATTATTTTGGCTAGAACTTTAGGTGACCTTCTTTCGACGTATTTTTTTTATAGACGCATCGTTTATTCTGTTTTTGTATTTAATGTTTCAATAACATTTTCGATAATGTGCAACATTGAGTTTATATACTAATATTTTAGAAAATTAACATTCCTTTTTAAATGTTACTGCAATTTTTAATGTATAGCTGTAGTTAGTACATTGAATGTTTTACACATTTTCAAATTAATTGTCCAAACTTCCGATATTGGAACATTTTTTAAAAATTGAAAATTACTATTTCGGTTTGTCACGTGAATATGTAACGCGGTAGCGATTGAGAAAATGTTAATGTTATATGTAAACCACCTTTCAAACAACTTGTAGTGTAATGTAAAATAGACTGTGGATGTTTATGTAAATTCACATTTTCCTGGATGAATTTATGAAACGAAGAATTAAATGGAATTCTAGTCACCTAACAAATGATTTTACTACATAAAGAAAAATATAAATTTTACATAACATTGTATTGCTATTTATTTTATTGTTTTACTCAGTTGCAGCTGCCATAAATACATAAAATCCGCAGTCTAAATAGTAATGAGTTCTGTCTAAACAAAAACTAGAGTGTACATGTCAGAATAAAATAAACAAATTCAAAAGCAATTGAGTCAATGCAATGTTGTTTTAATTATTGAAAGCCTAATTCTTTTAAAAGTCGTAAAAGCGCGAAAGTCAAAAATTTGAAATCAACGAACTGTGCTGGTCGAAGAGCGTCCATGAACCAAGTCTTGTGAACCCCGTAGATGTCATAACAAGTAATTCTGGCGGGAAGCATCCCTTACAAATAATTAAATAGCCTTTTATCGTAATTAAACAATAATTGTTTCATTTATTCTTTTTTCTCGATTGTTGAAACTAATTAATTTACACAACGCAGACATTATTCCACAAGGTTCACAAGTTTCGTTGGGAATTAAAAACTCATTGACTTGTCAAAGTAAGTGTTAAACAACGAATAATTGATTTATGACTTACATATTCCCCGATACTGTTCTCCATGCTTCTTCTTCAACCTCCAGCTCCCTGGACTAGTCCTTGCACACGACACAAGATAAAGAAACACCCACGACGATTCACCGAAGGTGTTACGCATTTTCGAGACATTCACAATGCCTGATTGCTACTCAGGACATGTTCACGTATTCTTATATCTGTCGAATTTGAAATTAATCATTAAGGAGATGCGAATAATTGTACATTAGATATATCAATAGTAATTCATTATTCATTTTTAAGAATGTGACAATATAGTCGCATAAATTACAAATATACGTATAAACACGCGACACTGTACCTACTCGTGACGCAGCACAAATGCTAATGAAGAAAAATTCGAACGTTGACCGTGAGGTACAAACAAACGACCGTGATTGGTCAAGAAACCAGTTACCCGTACACCCTCCCCCTCCCCAACTATTTACAAATAGCTCCTCGAAGTATCAATTAAACGCGGAATAATACAAAAATATATAAAATGTGATTTTAAGGTTAAAAGTTTTTATTGCAAATATTCGAATATTTTCTAATTATTTCAATGAATTAGAGAGGCAAAAAAAAGATAAACAGGGACAAGGAAAAGAGTCACCTAAAATATTTCTTTTCTTTCTCAATGCTTCATTATTACGGACTATAATATACTGATTTTTATTATTTTCCCTGCTATTCATACAGAATAATAGTATTTTCACTGTGCAGTACTCCAAACGAAACTGTAAAACTATATAAAGTGAAACTGATTAATCGACTGTGGATCGTTATGCAAATCTCGATTTTCGTGGACTATTTCGTCAAAGGAACATTTGTCTTGCCAATTATTTTATTAGGATTTTATTAAGTCACAGATCGAATAAAAATTATATTCATCCTTTTCAAAGCTTATGTCCCATTCTGTTTTGTATAGATGAAAGTTGTGTAAACGTATAAAATCCACAGTTCACTTATTCAGCTTTCTAATTTTATTAAAGATTCTACCGTGAACATTTACACCGCCATATGTCCGTTCAACGTAAATGCACAAAGTCGGCAGCCTTCTTTCATCCGCTTATGCTACTCGTTTGCAAGTGACAGGTTTGCAGCTGAGTTTGGGACCTATTACAGGGAAATTCCGTGACAAATCCGTGTAATAAGCGATGAACTATTGAAGAAAGGTAGAAACCCCTATGACGAAATCGCATAATTTCTGTCAGTGGCGTGACCCCGTTGCGGAAACCGAGATACAGAGGGGCCCCATTGTTAGGAACGCATCAGAATTAGATCAGACGAACACGTGCACCCCAGGGGGATGATCACTGTACTGACTTCTGACACCCTCTACGTCATCGTGGATATTTATCAACTATTTATTTCCTTCTCCTCGAATCGGCGTTTTGGAAGAGAGGATCCACTGATTCAAGTATCGTTTCCTAAGCTCCTTGATATATTTATTATACATATATAAAATATATGTATATTAAGTAGGTGTAATTATAGATGAAACAGGTGTAATTTTTTATAGGATGAAACGATGTAATAAAGAACCTTTTTTTGTAACTATTAGCTAATTGCGTCAATTCCCTTACTATACCTTATGATCGTGCGTTAGAAAAAGAACCTCTCCTATTAAAAATGTAATTTTGAATATTCTAAACTGTTAATTATCCACAAAAAGTGTCCTAAAACGCAGTTACAAAGGCGTGACAATTTTCAATACGAAATTGATTTGCAACATTTCTTGTTTTTAAACAGTTTTACTTGTGTCTTTCTATAGCAGGATTATAAAATCGATTCTTACCTTCAATATCGCGTTACACGCCGAATATCCTTCATTCTAGAAAACCTTCGAAATTCAGCCGTGAAGCATTTCAGCGCCGACGCTCGAAGCATTGATCCAAAGCGTCAGCTTGCAGTTATGGATATAGCGCATATTACTAGGCTCGAATTAAAGATCCACAGATACAGTCAGTGAATACAAACCTACGGAATATGTGCCGTACGTTAAATTAATATATTTTCTACAAAAGACTTAAATTATATAAAATAAAGGAATAATATTTAGAATATTGTCCAACATATTTCCTACCCACAGAGACTTCGTTGAACTTTCGAATATGAAAATCAAGTCTCATTTCGTCAATTTCAGATATAGTCAAATTAGTTTATAGAACATCTTTGCTAAAAAAAAAAAAAGTAAGAAACAGGAATCTCAATGGAAAACTGAAATATTAATAACTGTGTGACGCCTGGCCGTAAAAACATCAGATCCCTGTTAAGAAGAGAGTTTAGTATATTCCCTAAAATTGCCAAAGAATAGTAGATCCGTTCTACAAGCTCGAAGACTCAAACCGTATGTTTTCTCGATAGAAATCCAGAGTGGAATAACGAATATGCTAAACGTTTAACTGGAACAATAACAGAGCGACAGCGAGGAACGACGAAAAGAGGGATGATCTCAATAGGATGACTGCTCGTGGCCGAATATTAATAAGTTTATGCACCCCCGCCTCTCCAAGCGAACACAATACGATTCGACACGCGGATATTACGCGCGATGTTTATACACGTTCGAAGGGAGAAGTTTCGGCGTCAAGTGAATCGGCTAATATCTATTTAATTAATTTGGGGGAGGCCACCCTCCGCTTAACAATATGTTACCCTTCCGATGGAGACTCTGTTACAGCGTTCTGAGTGATCCTGTCACGGAGCTCAATTTATGGAGCGATTTGTCTCGAGAATGGATATCCGTCAGAGAAAAAAAGATGAAACGCGTAGAAATTAATATCCTGATTCCGAAGAAATCCGTGTCTGTCTGCGAAAAAAAAAAAAAAAAAAGAAACGATACACGAATTTGGTTTAATGTTCCATATACTGTCTACGAAATAAGAACATATCTGGACACCAGAGCCAGAGTGTATTAAGTCACACTTTTTAAATTTTAGAGGAGAGCAAATCAGAGGTGCAAGAACCTTGGAATTCTGGAACCATTCGGTGAGAATTCAACGAGAAACGATCACTACCTTTGAATTATTGAATGAACTTAAGACAAGTCGATATGTAGAAATGGTGAACATTGCATTAAGTCTCCTAATGTGATGGAATTTAGGTACCCTTAGGGCTCAAAACAATATATAGATTAATATAACTTTTAAACTATTATATTAAAAACTACCGTCGGAGAGAGTAGAAATTTTGATACGGGAAACATGAAAAATGTCATTTTTCTGAAAAGGTGGACTTAATACACTCTCGCTCTGGGATCCAGATATAGGTACTATCCAAGTACGATTATTAAAAGGAATTGGCGATAATCTATGATATGGTAACAGGATAAATTTACCAGACGATTACACTCCATCAGAGACACGTGTCCATAGTGTATCTACGAAAGGAAATAAGAGGAGTTGATCCGTAAAAATGAGCGAGGGTTGCTGAAGAGAGTGGATCTGCCTAAATCTCGGCCTAACAAATTGTTTCAAACGCCATTTCTCTTCTACCGCAGTCCAAAACAAAAACCTGTAACAGTGTCATAACAATTACCAAAACTATATAAAACAATTTTTTAGTAGAGCAATCACAGAAACAATATAGCAGATTCGTACATAAAGATAAATTAACGAAGATCCAAGATTAGCTTGAACAAGTTACTGCGCAAAAAGATTCTGTAAGTCTGGCCGGGAAGATTTCCTACAAAAGACTACGTGCTTCCAACGTCCACACAGAAGTATCGAAACAGAAGAACAATATCAACGAGATACCATCCCCGCAAAATATCAAACGAATAGTTTGTCCATCTTTAAAATACCACGGTCGATAATCCCGATATTGCAGTTGAACCCCACAGTGACAACGAGACGAGCCATGAAGGTTGTTCCGCAAGCTCCACCCAGTCCTGGCCCCCTGTCCAATGGTAATAATTCTAGGAAGCTTGGCAGGGGTGACTTCGTCGAATAAAAACGCGGGACCACGACGCAGGCGTCCGAGAGTGGCGAACAAACGTGCCTCGCTAAGGGTAGCTTTCAAAGAGGGCGGGTTTAATGGTAGAATTGAGACTCTGGGCGAAACTTTGCTTCGACATCGGCAGATCGACGGTGACACTCGTCCTGGCGACGAAATTTCATTTCCAAGTACTTCCTACACGTATACAGAGCTCTTTTTTTTTTTTCATTTTGTTTGTTAACAACAAAGTGTCCTGAACCCGTTCGCCGCTGGACAGAACGCGGGATATGAGCTACACCGAACCACTGTGGGAGATTAATGGAAATCAAGCACCAGTGGGTATAAATGATTAAATATAACTTAACGCCGGGTATTCACGGGAATGTTTAGTTCTTTATGCGTTTCACATTCGACCTATTATTGAGAAATTCCGTTACGAGGTGAATACAAACCGCGTCCTTTTAAAAAATGCTTCATAGACAAGAACTATGGTTTCGAGAGATTGTGCTGTTAACGTAAATAAACGATATTGAGTGTTTCGAGAGTAATTTACTGAAATGACTGCATGAAATTTCGATCACTACTCTGTGCAAAATAAAGTGTTCGGTGCTAGACTATACGATGTCAGATCGATCCGAGTTATACTGATTTTGAGTTATCGATAATCAAGATAAATAAAAATAAACGTGAGTAAATGAAATAGGTGATTACAGCAGACATGTCGCAATACGTCAGCGGCGAACTCGGCGGCTACCCTATGTGGGACAGTTCTGTTCTATACCAAGCACCACCGCCCTCGCACTCCCATGTGAGTGATCACGGATTATACAGACAACCCTGTGCATTATTGCATCAAAGGTACATACAATTAAATGAGTGTAATAACAATTTTGCAGTAGAAAGTATCGGTACCTGTAGCCAGCATTGTATCCTGAATAATGGATGAGCTCTCCTCTCCTTAAACAGCTTGAGCTCACTTAAATTCTTCACGGAAACGAAACTTTGTACATCAGTTATCTTTAACAAAATCAAACTTTAGTGTACGAAAATTCCATGTTTCACTTAACAAAACTGAATCGAACAAGAAGACTGTAAACTCTAGGAGTGAACAGATTGCATTCGTTTTTAGAGTGATACTTACTGTAACTCGTTCTATTTCAGTCGATATACGCCTAACGGGAGATCTCCGAATCTTCCATCATCCACAACAAAGAAACCGAGGCGTCGGGTAGCAACTGTTTCTCAGAGAAGAGCCGCAAATATTCGCGAGAGACGTAGAATGTTCAACTTGAACGAAGCGTTCGACAAACTTCGTAGAAAAGTGAGTTTTGACGATTCTTAGATGATGATATTTTTCTTTCTTTCCAATGGTATAACTATACATATGTACTATCCCTGAAACCCAGAAACATAATTATTTAAATATATAGATTACTTGAAAATTATATTATTATAGTATAATAATATTAACCGTGTAGAATGGTATTCCTTCGTGAATGTCAAATTCGAAAATTAAACCGGAACTAATTTCACTGGGGCATCACTCACCTAATAGCTCCATCTACGTGGAGGAAATTCCACTCGATTCTTGGTTCACTCGTCTGAAACGAATACACATGTTCGATAAATGAAGTTTCAGCGTGATACACATTAAAAAAAAATCTGTTTAATATTTTGCCACTCTTCATTTTCCAGGTACCAACATTCGCATACGAGAAACGATTGTCAAGGATCGAAACTCTACGTTTGGCGATCACCTACATTGCGTTCATGGGGGAACTGCTTGGAATCGAACCGGACAGTCCAAAGCCAGAATACATTCCACGGGAATATTATTTGCCAAATTGAGCCATGGATACTGAAACGATCCAGCCATTAATCTTTTAACTCCTTAAGATATTCGAAGAATATTCGCGAACAAATAATTCACGTTCGTCGATAAATAAATTATAGGATAATTAGAATCATATAAGATAATTATCCTATAATAAGCTATAGGATAATTTATTTACGCAATACATTGGTAAAAACAAATGCAATGATGCACTGATGCAGACAATGTATCTGCCTGTTTTAGGATACGGTATCCTACATATAAGTCTGTAATTGTAATCAAGTATGTATCATACATGCAACGAGTATGAAATTTTGCATGTAATTAAACGAAACGGGACAATTAAAGGAATGGTATTCAAAGCGTGGCAAAACATAATAATTCGATGTGTGTAAACGTACGCACGTATGAATATGTATTGCGATCGAGTGTTGGAACTGCAATAAGTTTCGTTAAGAACTCTTCCCCCGAAAAAAAAAACATTAAACAATACTTAATGTTTATGTGATGTTACGATGTAAGATAAAAATCCGTGTCTTCCATAAATTATATATGCGAGTCTGCGTACTATATATATATTGTCATTATATTTAAATATAAGGCGTACACTAATTTCTACTTTCAATTATTTTCCTTAACAAACCTTCTTCTGGATTTTTACGGACCAACGCAACAATTCCACGTAACTGACGGATCGATTTAAGTTGACCGTTATCTGAAATCAATCTTCAAAATTTATTATCCCATTGAAATAATTATAATCAATTGTACAGGATGTGATAGAAATAAATAATAATTTTCTGTATAAATACCTAAAGAAAGAGCACATTTATCAAGTACGTGGTGCAATACGTAACCAGTTTCATCGAATGGCGGTTACACAGTTCGTAATATGTATTGATTCGAGAATATGATTGAATCGAGTTCCATGAAGCTAACTTCAAGTCAGTGAAGAATTGCCGGTTCCAAGAACTGTGTATCAAATGTCGCTTTTATCATGTAAACCGATCTTTGGAGTGTTAATGCTTATTTGTTTTGCGAGAAGCCTTAGCGCTCAGACCTACAGAAATATGAGCAGTCTTGCAGGCATTACTTCTGTTGCTTATGTTACTGTTCCTAGCCAAGAAGTCGCTAAAAAATTAGCACAGTAAGAATTATAACATTCTGTAACATAGATTTATTTTTACATGGATTAAATAATTGTTTGTAATTATTTCTCAGTGGCTTGGTGAAGAATAAGCTGGCCGCGTGTGTTAATATCATACCAGGAGTCATATCTGTGTAAATATTACATATATAGCTACTTTATTACGACTTGTAATACAATTCGATTGCATTATTTGTGACATGAAAATAATAATGAATAAACACACTTGTAGGTACGAATGGAAGAATGAAATGAATGAAGACAATGAACTTCTAATGGTATGGGCACAAAGAATATCGAGGAATGATAATATAATAATTTTGTGAACATGTTTGTAGTGTTATTGTCATTACAGATGATAAAAACAAGAACAGATACTGTGGATGCTCTTACCAAATATGTTAAGTATGTTCAAACTTTATTATTATTATAATGCGTAAACTAATTCTAAATTCTTCTGAATAGGGAGAATCATCCGTATGAGGTCTGTGAAGTAATTTCTTTGCCAGTAAGTATTTTTGTTTTATGCAGTGCTGCATACAAAATAATTTCTATAAGAGTTGTACAATATATAATATATTTTGTAGATTCAAAATGGAAATGAAGAATACATCCAATGGGTCAGTAACATAACTGACAAAAAAAGTTCCATCAAATAACCAGAGTCTAGAAATTACAATAAAAACACGTATATCTTATATACCATTGTCTCTTGTAACTTTCCACTATTATGAAAAGTTTTATTACTTTTCAGAAAACAAATTGATTCAATTGATTCATTATTATGATTGTGTATACATATACATAAATGTAATTGTCAAGTATGTGTAAGATGAACTTATACTATGTATAAATATATGATAAAAATTATGTAAATCGACGATCAATAAAAAAAATAAGTACTACAATTATTAATTATGTATATATTGTTCCATTTTGGAGAAATTCCTATTTCCCCATTAAAGAAAATATACTTATTCTGGTATTATTATTATCAGTCAATTCATCAATAATTAATAATTCAAATAATTTATCAATAATAATAAAATTAGATACAACTATTACGGTGGACTGTATGAATTAATTTTTTGTACTAGCAAAATTTACTACATTGTATGTTATCCACTCTATTTTTGTACGATTGTAATATAACAAATTTCCTGTAGTCCAGTATATTTTATCATGAAAATGTAAATTGTACTTAGAAACATTTAATTCAGTGTAAGCGCATATTGATTCGTGTATCAATGATAATTGTTTTATAAGAAATTAACGTTATCTGCCACCCTCGTAGCCTGGGTAAAGCAATAGCAGGGCAGAAGATAAAGACTGATTAACTTCCATCTTATAATTTTTGTCTAATACATGACGGCATGATGGACAATAAAGTACACCAGACGAAAAACTTCGTTGTAAACAATTGCGACAAATATTATGTGTACAGGGCGTCGTTACTGGATCGAAAACCAGTTCCAAACAGCAGGGACATGTAAATCTGAAATTAAAAAATAATTAGGCATTGGAATCTTAATGACTATTACAATGTTTAATGATAATAATAATAAACAGTAATACCGTTCTGTCACTTTTTGCAAAAATGCAGCTTTTCCATTTGATAAAACTGAGCGACATTCGTCCCACAATTTTGTATTTTCTGGATCTTCTTCCATAAGTTTAGCAACTTTACTTTCGATTTCATAAACTTCACGCTTCTGCTTTTTCTTCGGAGGTTCTTGCTTCCTCCCAGCATTAGAATTTTCTTCTCCCTCCGTTATCTCAGTCCGTTTCTTACCTGTCTTATTCTTCGCCATTGCTTCTAAGTATCCGTCTGGATACATTGGTTTGAAACCAAGCGCAGATATTCGTGCTTTACCCTCTTTAGTCCATGGCGCGGGTGCTGGGTCATCCCTTCTCAATAGGTATCTCCACACACGAAAACCACTTTTACCTGTATCTGGATAATACTTTACCACCTTGTAAGTACCATCATACCTGAAACGAGATTTTATATGAGACATATCCATAAAATCGCTAAGCCTGACACGATAAATACGAATAATAATTCCATACCTATTGCCTTCTTCAGGCGCGTATTTACTATGTTTAGCGAGCTTGAAATTTCTGACCACTCTTACAGGTATCCCGCCCCTCCATTCTTCAGCTGTAGCGCCAACTGTTGCATTCAATTTAGCATTGCAATTTACCGCTAATGCTTTATTCATTCTAGTCAATGTCTGATCACAACTCTGTTCGGCCGTTCTCTTGTTTCCTTTAGAAGAACCATAGATTAATTAAAAATACATTATTTAACAACATATCAATTTCTAAATAGACAATCTACCTGACAGATCCCTTCCTCCAGAGCCAGTATACATGAATTCATCACCGTTGTCTATGTCATCCTCGTATCCACCGGACAACACAATAGAATACGCACAGTCTGTTTCTCGTCCATGAATGCCAGCTATGTGTGGTCTGTGCACTCCAACTTCAGACACCTACAGTTTATTTTTGATTTATGTAAACAGATAGCAATTGTTAGAATTGAACAGTATTTAGAACTTTGATTTACCTGTACTCTATACATCCAGCACATTCCAACTTCTACCCCCGGAATGGGGCCCCGATGATTAGGTGGAACAATGCTACATTCTTTGGTCCTTCCGACACACGCCATTCCCTTGCCCCAGTCTCGTTTACTACTGCTATTTTCAGTTTTTTTCTTTTTCGTCTGCTTCAATTTGTCACCTGCCTTTAAAGAAAACGATCGTTTTTACAATCATACGAATACTGCGAATATAAAGTACATATACCATATGATGATTAACCTTCACTATTTCATTTTCATCGTTTTTACATTCTGGACAGTACCAATAATCTTCTTCCGGTATTGACGTTAACGGAGGATTCAAACAACGTAGATGATACGCAGAATTACATTCGTCGCACAATAGAAGATTGTGTTCGTCCTCTCTTTTTGCGAGGATTATCCAAACATGCATTACAAGTAGCTTGTACGCGTCTTCGTTTACCGTTACTGATCATTTGTTGCTCATCTTCGGGGGTTCTTTCTTTAAGAAGCTTTGGCTCTTCTATGACAAAAATCTCACCTTTTGGATTTACTTTGCGATTCTCAAGAGGTTGATCCCTGTTCGAATAAAAATGGATGCTCAAATTATACACTGACTTAAGTTAAATACTGTTAATAGATTATAATAAAGATCTACCTTCCAATGTGCAATGTCCCAGTAAGTTTTTGTGCTCTTTTATTCTTCTCTACTTTTGATATTGTAAAGTCATACCATAATCCTGTCTCTTTGGGATCATCAACATTATGATTAATCATCACTTTCTGACCTATTTTTAATGCATCAATTTGTATAAGATGCCTAGCACGTGGCCTTACAGATAATTCAGGTACATTAAAAGATGGAGCTTTGTCGTCAAATTCCCATTGAATATGGTATATAATATTGTCTTCTTTTTTAAAAATTTTTAGTATCGTTGCTTCAAACCAAGCCCCATAAGTCTGATCAAGACAATCCACAGCATCTCCAACTTTATAATACAAACTCTCAGCCTCAATGAGCCCTTCATCTTCGTTAGAATTATCTATACTTTCTTTAGAATTAGAGCTAGTACTAGTTGTGGTACTACTACTGCTAGAGGTAGGTTTACTTTCTATATCATCAGTATTTGCTTTCACCATTAACTGAATTACATCATTTAAGTTAACATTATAATCATAAAGCTTATAACCATTTTCTAATTGTTTTCCACGGAAAAATAATCTTTGTGAATCAACTGTTACATTTAATTCTTCTTCAATTTCACGCTGAAAAATAATTCAATGTTTATTACAAACAATACACGATTACATTATATTATATATAATATATGAAACATATTAGAACTATTATCCCTCAGAGTATATATAAATTTTAATATATTAAAACAGGGTATTATTGTTGCCAAATAAAGTTCGCCATATTTAGCAAAAACTGTTAAAGATACTTCTGTTTCATGTAATACATAACATTTCAAAATGAATCAACTAGTCTTAATACTTTTTATAGAATTTTACTTCATGCATATTAAGCCTTACTAAAGAGATGTAAGTAAATTTAATAAATTTATATATATATATATATAGTTGTTTTTTCATTAGAAAACATTAAAGATCAATTCATACAGATAATATTGTCTGCAATGAATGTAAAAAATAAGAATTTAACCTTGTAAATTCCAAGATTTTTATATTATTTCTAAAAGAATATTTTCCAGTTTAACCATATGAAATTGTTAGAATAAATACCTTTAGATCTTCCACCTCCGTTAATTTAGAAATAGTCAATATCGCCTCCTGTTTACCATCAATCGTCCTTACTTTAACATACATTTTAATGCGTTTTATTGATTGAATAGTTATGGGAACCAAACGTTCTTTGTTCTTTCTTTAACGCATCAATTAATAAATAACACACGAAAGCGTATATTCAACGAAAGCTACTAACATTAACAATAGCTCAGGTCAGCTCAGGTAAAATGTAACGAGTCGTCAGCATTTATTGCTGTCACCACTAGTCTCGCCACTTGTTGGCGTCTGGTAAAACTGGAATTTTGGCGGGAAGAAATCGTGGAAACGGTGGAGATTGAGACAGAGATGGCGGGAGAATAGTGAAGTGAGTCGAGAATGTCGTGCATGCGCAAATATCCATCATTTCATTGGCGAATTGCCTTTAAAGCATTCTAAATAGACCACTCACGAAATTTTCCTATAGAAATATTAATCGCGCTATTTTAAGCCAACTATATTATTTAATGTACTTAGTTTATTAATATAGGCACATTTTTATTTTTCAGTGAATAAAATATTATTATAAAATAATTAAATTATACTCCCATTGTACTTCTTGGAAAGATATATATACATAATTGTTTTCACAATTTTAAGCTTTCCTTTATTACATTCGTCAAAATTGGAGTACAAATTGTATAAAAATGTTACAAATTTATGTGTAAACATTTGCGCGATTTTTATACTTTCTCCGTTAGCGTGTATACAATTATTGCATGAACAAAGGGTGGCGTTTTACCTTCTCCCGCTCTTTTCACGTGTATATTTTTATAAATTTCTTTGAATAGATTGATGAACTTATTTGAAATATCCGAAAAAGATTCATAAAGAAACGAAATATATTGAATTTAGTAAATCACAATTATTTAGGAACTGTACTTGTCTTTAGCTTAGGAAAGTATGCCACAAAAATTCCAATTTGAACATTTTTTGTAATCTCGACGCAATGGAAATCAAAAGATTACTGAGATTACAATTTGTATATTTAAAATAGAAATACTTTTATATATCAAGGAAATAAACAATGTAGTTCGTAAACATCTGTAGAAATGCCAAAAGTTTCAATTACTTTTCTAGTTATACATAATGTACATACAAATTACATATACATATATACTTATGTTGAAATGCAATTAATATATACCATTGTGAGCAGAACTTTAAAATTGCTAATTTGTTTCTCATATAAAAATATTAGAAAAAAGATCAATTAAACTATAAAATAAAATTACAATTTATACAAATATATAATAGTACGTAAATATATATTAAAATGTATTTATACATACATAACTGCATTTGTGCTAATTCTATCATGAAACAAAATCTTAAAGAAACCTTTGATGTGTTATTCCTAAAGAAATCACTATATCGTTGACTTACATAATTATATATTAATGATATATAATTTACATTAACTCATATATGACTATGATTACAATAGAATTAATGCATACAGCTTTAAACGGAACTTTAAAGTTGCTACTATTTTTACAAAACTAAAGTACTATTATCTTTGTAATTACATATTAACAAGTAATTCGCGTAACTTACATACATGATGATAATACGGTTCATTTGTAAACGTAAACTCACAGTTTCTGCTCTTTTAACTTACATGGTAATCGCAACTTATATAATTACATATTAATATATATAGTTTAGCGTGATTCATGTATAATTACAATCGTAATGCGGTTAACAGTTTCATCGTTAAATACAATATTTTAGTAGAAAATGTTGCTCCATTTGTGGCACAACCTATGGCTAAGCAGCACGATATGTACCGGTACAAAATTTCCATTAAAAAAAAACGGAATGCTTTGTAATTCATAAAGGAACGGCATCGATCAATAAATGACACGATCACAATTTATTCTTTTCATGTCGCTGTTATGACTAGAGAAATTAAAACGCATCGTTAGCTTGAATAAAAATAAAAACTATGCATATTTTGTGTTATATTAACAAGTGATAGTTACAACTACAAAATGTCGACAGAAGACCTTATTCGAGTTTCTTCTAAGTATGTTTTATGTAAATTATTCACGCTTTTAATACAAAACCATAAAACATTCTTTATAACAATACTACATTTTTATGCATTCAATGAAGGAACAATTCTTGAGAAATAATCCGAGTTATTAAAATATTTAGAGTATTTTGATATTTATATCCAATGCATTTTGTGTAACACATTCTTCGCTTAATATTGTGTTAAATAGAAAAACTTGTTAGCACAGAGCAAGTGTACAAAGAGTGTTATTATTTTTACACATTGCACAATATGTATCTGTGTAAAATTTAAATTTCAGTATAAATGTAAGTGGAATAATTTGACTGAATTAATTGTAACAGAAAAGTAGACATAGTAAGAATGTTTAAATATGTAGTTCTATGTAGGATTTCAAGAGGACCTCGTTCTATGTACCGGTACATAGGATAGCTGTTAAATGTAAACCTAAATTGTCAATGTAGAATTCTCCGAGTCAACATCATTGCTCATTATATTTGGAAGACCTGCGTTAAATCTCTTGATTGTCTTCTCCAGTCTCATTATCTACAAACTCGACGTGTGTGAATGGAAAATGTCCAACTTTGCCATGTAATTCACCCTCCCACTGGCCATTCATGTTAGTTTTCGTTACTTTTATCACATCTCCAACTTCCAGTTTGAGGGCAGTTTTGTCATATGCGTTCGGTACCCTCGCTTGTTTTACTTTCGCGAAAGCAGGCAATGGTCGCTGTATATTTGATCTCCGTGTGGTCCCTTGTCCACTTTCCGGGTAAGGCATTTGTGAAGTAGAAACTTGTACAGAATTTGAATTCACAGACGAACTTCCTCCACTTTCTGGACGTGAATTATTCTCCATGACCGAATGATTATCCTCTTCATATTTCTGAACATATGGAACTGGAACTGATCCTGTTTGACCGAGGCTATTTCTGGCAGTCCACCATTGCTCTTCATCTTTTGATATTATTGTGAGAATTTCACCTGTTGCAGATCAAAGATCCCATTGATTTATTGATATGTAAACAAATTTTGGAACTTCAATTACTTATAAGCTTAAATAGAAGAAACAAACTATACACACCTTTTCTAAATGGTAAGTCATCAGGATCATTGCCTTCAAAGTCATATTTTGCTACTACCCTTTGTGTCTTTTTTGGAGCAGGTCTGATTAATGGCGTTGTGTCCAAATAATGTAATTTATAAAAAGCCAAAAGGTTGGGAATATCAGGAAACATTTGATCTCCAATCCGATATCTTATCTGATCACCCTGCTGAATTTTATTTATTATGTAATGGCTAACCTTGCTATCTTCTCGTACACACAATACAAAATCTCCCTGTATCGATGTGCTGTCGCGTACTAAAAACACGCCACCTTCTTTTTCACCCATCAGTAAATCCGAGGCATCTTGACGTGACATTGCACCAAAGTACCAACTGGAATAATACAATTATAAACAATATTTCTTCCAGGGTCCAATAAATTAGTTAAAACAAGAAAAACCAGTGAAGAAACATCACTTAAATCATAGTTTGGTGTACAAAGGATTGTTACATTTCTAATGTTTAAATATTGTTAAAAACTGATCTCATACTTTTAACAACATAACATGCTTTAAGGGTTACTTGAAAAACGAACGTGAATCGATTTATATGAAAATATTATGTGATCGTTATATATACTATGTTACGATAAAATTTTAAAGGTTAATCGTTGATTGTGCGATTTATTATTTTAAGACACGTAGAGAATTAAGTCGACACATCGAAATTATATGAGGAAAGGAAATCCATTGTTATTTACCTAGACTTGTCATATTGATCGAACGTAGCGGCCATTGCTTAGCAAGTAATCGGTACTTGAATCCGTCAAAATCGGTAGTGTTGAATTTTACTTGTTGATCAATATACTGTAGGATCGGTAGCGCCTCTCCAATGTGTACGTGAAAAGGACCCGGAAAAAGTAAAAAGCGCAACAGGGCCTCGATGGCGCAGCGAATAGCGCCCTTGTCTGGGACGGAGGAGGCCCGGGTTTGAATCCCGAACAAGTCCCCAGGTCCCTCTCTTTTTCCGCAGATCCTGCAATATCAAAGAGCACCGTTCTCGAAGTGGCTTAAACGTCTGCATAGTAAGACTAAACAGCCCTCTCTCGAAGCTGCGATTACAGCTCGACTGCAGTGTTTGGAACCGTGTCTTCAAATTGGAGGAACGTGCTATCTCCCGTAAATAAAATATGTTCGAAAACCTTTCAGTCCAATAGTCATCGATCGACTTTTAAAAATCACTTGTCAAAGAGTCTCGTGTGAAGTTCCGTATCTGGTTCAATGATTGCAAACATGTTCGAAGCAAGCCCTTACTTCCTTTTTCTCTCTATTAGGTTTCACCCTCGTGTCGAATACGTTGCGGACAACTCTCCTGTTCTTTTTAAAATTATGCAAAGACCGATGTATGTCTATAGTTATCTATGTACAGATAGTTCTTGGAAAACTTTCTTCAACTTGCACTCTACCGAAAATGGTCACCAGCATATTCTACTTGAACTTATAAGACATAAAAACAGTAGCCAATGATGCTTACGGTTCTGCGTACTGGGCATAGAGTGAGCAGATGGAAATCTTTAGGAGGATCCAGGGAAAATGTTTTTTTCAGCGCTACCTAACGTACAAATTGTGAAACTACAGTATGTTATTCGTATTGTACTGAATTTCAAAAAGGTAATATATATTTTACTTCATATGCATGCTGAAATTGAATTCCTTGATGAAAATTGAATTACTGTGGTATGAAATGTTTAAACAATATATAACAATGAGGGGACTTAAGAAAAATATTCTTTCACTTTCCATGGATTTATTTTCTCTTCTCTGTTTGTACGTAATACCTTTGTGAAATTGATATTCATTTGTTTTGTTGTTCTAAACAACCCCATTATCCTAAAAACTGCATGGTATGCGTTGTAATTGAAAACAAGAAATAAAACTCAACGTCGGGTTTACTTAGCACGATTCTGGAAAATCATGATTCATATTGTGGAGCATATTCATCGAGCTAACTGCGTGATTAATGCTGCACACATTTCAAAAAATTCCATCGTATGATGACCCGTTGCTTGAGGCGGTGGAAGCGTTGGGTCTGAAACAATAATTACATTTACAAAAATAGAAAGTGGCAGCTCATCTTATAGCACTGACACCTTACCACGCCCTATTTCTTCCCCTTCTTCACTGGACAAGGACTTGAAGTCTAACAAATAACTTTTATAATCAACTTGATACAGTTGCAATGACATTTTGCTATATCTATCGGTTATTTTATTTTTCTGACGTACTCTAACGCTGTAAGCATTTATGATTTTCCACTCCTAAAGAAACAATCAGTTTAGTTAAGGATAAAGGTAAATCATTGGAAAAATGAGAGGCTCACGGTTCATGTAAAATTGAAGCTTACAAAGTTAAGAGCTTTCATAGCACGATAAACCTCATTCATGATGTCATTAGGTTTCGACTGCGAACGGATTCCTAAATGCCATTTAGCTCGCTTCACGGGAGTACCGCGATTTCCTTGTGTCTGAGATGATGTACTACCTTGAGAACTCTGTCGTTCTCGTAATGCTAAAATTAGATAATAAATACGGTGACAAATATTATAAGTGTAAATAATTGTTTTCAGGTATTTTCTAATGCTTATTACAATAAACGCACGTGCTATTCTTTCCGGATGTGGCCTCAGGGGACTACTATTGGCATCATTGGGACTAAAAGCAACGGGCGGTGGGCTAGAAGCCACATAGAAATCTTTTAACTCTGCCTTAGCAGCCTCGTCTGCGATTAATTTGTTGTCTATTATCAGGTGATAGGCAATCGCCAATTGGTCATGCGGATCTCCACCTAACAACGCAGAATGAACTTCTGCTTCCTTTACATTGAATTTCTCACAGACTTCGTTTACTGCATCTATATTTATTACAGAAGAATCCTGCTCAACAGGAGAAGGAAACAAATATGTAGGTAAATCCTTTTGGAACCATTCGTGTTTCCTAAAACAAAAACAACATTTATAATTAGTTTAAATGTTAATATATGTAGAACATAAAAATGAATTGTGTAATATCTTATGTACTTGATATCTTCTATGGTTGCCCTTTTCATAGGATCCACTTGTAACATGTGACACAAAAGACTTACTACAGTGTTATTCAGGTATTCCGGAATAGGAAAAACTCCAGCTGAAACAAATCTTTTTGTATCAGTTTCTATATAAACTATTAAAATTCAGAATTGTATAAATAATGCTCACATTTGATTTTACGAAAGAGGGTTGGTACATGTTCATCGTCGAATGGTAAGGTACCACAAAGTAAAGCATATAATATTATTCCACAAGACCAGATATCAACTTCAGGCCCCGCATACAGTTTCCCTGAAATTACTTCTGGAGCTGCATAGTTTGGAGAACCACAGGACGTACGTAAGAACTCTCCATCCATCATCATGTTTGATAAACCTAAAATTACATTAAATTATGTATACATATATGAAGTTTATTCATTCCATTTTATGTGCAAGACATTCATGAATGTGCATATTCACTGTTGTTTTAAGAATCAAATAAATTAAATATATTTCAATAAAATTTATGAATGTCTTATAGATAAGTAAAGCTTTCATTTAATGTATAATAAAATCCCAGCTATATCCAAATACCGAAATCTGCTATTTTTACATGTAGATTCTGATCTAAAAGAAGATTTTCAGGTTTTAAGTCACGATGAACTATCATGTGTCTGTGACAATAATCAACTCCAGAAATAATCTGCTGGAAAAATCTTCGTGCTTCATATTCTTTAAGCTTTCCATGTTTCACAATGTAGTCAAACAATTCTCCACCTGACACATATTCCATAATCATGAATATGTCTGTAGGTGTGCTTATAACTTGATACCTAATACAAAATATGTTACTTAATTGAGAGCTATCTGAAGCTTTAGCATGCAAAATCATTTCTTACAATTTAATGATGTGAGGATGTCTAAAAAGCTTGAGATTTTGTATCTCTCTTCTAATTTTTCCAACCACATCTAGACTCTTGATTTTCTGACGATTCAGAATTTTTACAGCAACTTTATGGTTTGTTAAAACATGTTCTCCAACTGTAAATAAATACGAATTATTATTGTTATATTTAGCAACCACATTTTCATAGAAAAGTGTGTCAAAAAATGGATCACATACTTTTTACTTTACCAAATGTCCCAACACCTAAAGTTTGTCCAAGTGTATAATGACCTATCTTAACAATAGGTTGCGGTTGATTGGATGGAATCTTCTCTGACATTTTGGATGTTACTGTAATAAAATATTGTGAGAGTTATCTCAATTTTTTCAGTCGAGTAACCTCATTTTTAAACAAAGTTTGCAAGCACTTGAATCAAAGGAAATTTTAAAAAGTTACAGCTGAAGGAATATGTATGAACTTCAATGAGAACACGAATGTCATAATTATACACTAATTTACTAGACCTGAAATCGAGTTTAAATTTATTTGCTCTATGAAAACTTCCATTGAAATCCATATAAAGTAAAAATCTTCTTACACAACTGTATATTCTATAAATGCATAAAATTCACAGTTTGTCATAACATTAATTACAGACCACTCCAAACACCACTCGATGCAACGAATTACTTACACAACACGAATCTAATAAATTTATTGCAATTTGAAGCAAGGTCAAATGGAATAAGAAATAGGATTGCAATCGTTAATTTTTTTTCCCTGTATAAGAACAAGAATTATTGCATCGAATAATATCAGAATGTAAGCACGTAAAATCGGAAAATAGGATATATGGAAAATCAGATTGCTAATAATCACAATCACCTGACACTATTTACATGTTCCTGTCACTTATTATCTCGAAGACATTCTTACACAGCCATTCAGCACAATATTTCAGTCATTTATCATATAAAACGAAGAATACGAAGCCACTGATAAATTTTCTCTATGCGAATATTTTTGATTCTTCAGAACGGTGTAGAGCGGTAGAGCTGTTGATCATTGAAATGTTTTACTACATTTATTATACACACAGCGCTGATTAAATTGGATTGGCGGCATATATGAAATTTAATTTTTCATATCTTCCATAAAATAATAAAATATCTTCAAAATTATGCCCAACTTATATTTGGCACGAATATAAAATTCTTCTAGTTTGATTCAATTCAAAAGAATATACTATATTTATATTGCTCCAGTTAATGGATCAATGTGTTAATAAAAATACTGAAACCAGCTACTCTATCTGAACTTTGTACTTTACGCTTCTTTTTTTAATGAGGCACAAGAGTCTCTAATCGCCGACCGTTTTGATTGTTAAGTCCCTTGTAAATTTTGCACTGTATTAAGTGCCACCAAAATGTCGGAAAAAGAGAGCCCGATTAAGTATTTTGTAAGTGGAGGATTTGGTGGAATTTGCACCGTAATTGCAGGACATCCCTTAGATACGATAAAAGTAAGGTTACATTATTGTTTTTAATTAGAGGAATTAATTAATAAATAACAGAAAAATTGTGGTTTTTAGACCATATAACATTCGTGAATGCTATACAGTTTTGTTTATAGAAATTATATTGCATCTTGAGGAATCAGTTATGCAGTAATAATAAAAGAGATAATAAAACTCAGTTTCTTTAATTATAAATAACAAGCAGATATTTATAAGGTAGAGGAATTATTCTTGCAAAATTTAGTGTAAAAATTATCCCCCATTTTTCAGCTATACCTAATCCAAGTACTTTTTCCTGAAGAGGACTGGCCCTCATAATGGAAATGTTAGGTAAAATAAGCATAGTGCGTGTTGATAACATTAAACCCCTTGAGAACTTTATTTCATATTATTCTTCTCATCTAAAGTTGATATAACGTCTGATTATGATTGGATTTAGTGATCATTAATTGAAAGATTAAATTGATCTGCAACTTGCTAAATTATATTTTATTAACATTAATAAGACTATCTTTTATATAATTTCATGGGTACTTATTATTGTTCTTTTTTATTATAATATAAATAATGGAAGCAAGTAATTTGAATTTAATTTCTAACTACGTGTATTTTAATAAAGCTAATGTGAAATAATATTTAAATTTCTGTTTTAGTTCTTTTTAAATTCTTGTTGAATTAAAAGTAAGTATTATCCTTATTGAAATAAATATTTAAAAAAGAAAATTTATCTTTAACAGGTTCGTCTTCAAACTATGCCTTTGCCAGGTCCAAATGAAGCAGCTTTATATACTGGAACATTAGATTGTGCTAAGAAGACAATAGCAAAAGAAGGAATACGTGGTTTATACAAAGGTATAAAAGTAGATTGACTGCATTAGTTCTTTTAAGTGATTAAAAATTGTTGGCAAACTTGAAAAGATATACAATAGGATTATATACCCGATTATTTACAATACTTCCTTCCTTAGGTATGGGTGCACCTTTATGTGGTGTAGCTCCAATATTTGCTATAAGCTTTTACGGCTTTGGTCTTGGTAAGCAATTAATAAGAAAGACTGATGATGAACAATTGACACCTTTACAATTATTTGCTGCTGGTGCATTTAGTGGCATCTTTACAACCTTCATTATGGCTCCTGGTGAAAGAATAAAATGTCTTCTACAAATTCAACAAGGCGATGCGAATCTAAAGTACAAAGGCCCTACTGATTGTGCAAAACAACTTTACAAAGAGGGAGGAATAAGAAGTATATACAAAGGTACCTGTGCAACTCTATTGAGAGGTATGTAAAATTAATTTAACAATTGTTTTTCTCATTTATTTTTATAATGAACAATGCTTCATACATTACCTTCTCACCAAATTCCACCAATTTTTACTATTTTTATCTCGAATTTTCTTGTTTCTGTATGTAACTATGCACAAGTTTACAGTATTGATTCAATTAGATTACTTCAATTATGCAAGTACCAGGAATTACGTGTTCAAAGAAATAAATTCGTAAAAAAATGGGAAAGTGTAAGAGTTTTTGTACTCTTGAATTTCCTTGTTACATACAAATATTAATTTCTTGTGAATTAGCTAACTGATTATGTTGTTATCTTCATAAGTGTTACTTCCAGTAGATGACTTTTTTAAGTGTCTTCTTTTCAAACCTCTGCACTGTAAACCTCCTTTACGTAATGCATGGAAGACTCCCCAGTTTCGCAATCTCTTTGGTGTTGAGCATCGTGGTGCCGTTTCCCGTAATCTGTTCACCTGTGTTTCAGTATAGATACAGGTAGTTTACGTGTGAATATATATTTTTGTTCCAATTACGTTTTAATGAAAAAGAGCGCCACTGAACTTACCAACTGAGGATTCCATGTAATCATGGAACAAGTACAATCCCATGGATTACCATCTAATCTTACAGTTGTTAATTGTGACTGTTTATTAGGACAACGCAGCATTTTAAAAAAATCAAAAGGTAGCAAAGTCAGTCTATTATTTGAGAGAATAATCTCTTTAAGTTTTTTCTGTTGCTGCACTCCGAAAAGACCAGGCGGAATAAACTCTAATTCGTTGTTGGATAAATCTATGCGCTTAACATTTTCTAATCCATAAAAAGCATCCATTGATATTTTATGTATATGACAATAACTTAGATCAAGATCCAGCATAGCGTTCCAATACATGGATTTTGAGATTGTATAAATGCAGGACTTGAAGTTGATGTAATCCCAGAAAGGAATTCTTTTGTAAATATAGGTTTGAATACTCTCCGCCGAGGTATAACTTTACTGTTGTATTCATTATTTCAAAAGTACTAGAAACAAAAGGTATTTCTTTAGTATTTTCTGGTGTGTGTATACATACATATATATATTAAATTATTTACTATAGACTGTAGAAACTACCTTGGGAACACAGAATCCAGAGGATTTTCACGGAAATCTGCAACTTTTAGCATTGGAAAAGGCGGCAGAGATAATTCTGATAGGAAAGTTAAATTATTTCCTCTTAAGTCAAGGTTCTCAAGTATCAGTAGACCTGCCAAGTCAACACTTTTAAGTGTTAATAATTGGTTACTTGCAAGTGAGAGCACTTTTAAATTAGGTGTACCATAAAAACAAAATTCTGGAATGAATTTCAGATTGTTCTTCTCTAAGGAAAGATGAATAAGGCTATTTAAACCATCGAACATGTGCCATGTTATATCTTGTAAGGAACAATCGTAAACTCTTAAATGAGTTAACGTTCCTAAACCAGTGAAAAGTCCAACAGTTTCTTTATAACCCTCCATTTCTTGCTTGTAGATGTCATAAGGGAGTATTTCTTTGTCGTTACTGTCATCACTATTTTGTTGACTTAAAAATATCAATCTATGCCCTGTATTTAACAACTGCTTGCTTCTGTTTTCCTCCTCTATAATAGTGTTTATTGGTTTAATTACAAGATTAGCTTTGTTTCTTTTTGTTGGGCTTAGGCTTGTTAGTTTCACTCTTTCTAAATTCAAATACAAGAGATTTAAACCTAATGGATACAGAGAATCCACAGATAATACGATTCCGCCCTGTTTTCTGCGTTTACTGTTGAAATCTTTTCGTCCAGGTTCATTATAATCAATACCTTGAATGTCTAAGGATATTAAATCTGTAAAACGCTGAAATGTTGTAGATTGCAGAAGAATATCAAAATCTCCCACACCAGACTCCAGAATTGTAAAAATCTGCAAAATGGATGCACACATTGACTATAGATCTTGATACTTGATAAAGAGATTTGTAACATATGGTGATATTCACTTGTATATCTGAGGGAAGTTTTTCTAAAAGTTCTTCATAATCTTCGGCGACGACACAGATTGCTACTTTCAAGAATTCAGTGATCATGGAGTGATCCATGTTTAAACCAAGTTCCAAATCGATATCACTGGATATAGTCTGTTGGAAAAAGATTCATTAAATCATGAAAGAGAGAGAAAAGAACGAATGATTCTCGTACCTGATCTTGACTCGTTCGGATCCAACGATGTAAAGGCAAATCGGCAAATCGTTGAACCTCGCAAGAACATCCTTGTGGACATTTCACTTCCCAAGCACCACCAATGTCGATTATTTGTCCACAGCACTCGTTCTAAATAACATGTATTTATTATCATTAATTCAACATTTAATGGCAGCACTTCTACAAGAATCTGTATTGTAAGAAGATAGATGTAGAAACAGCTAAGAGAGTTTCACAGCTTCAAATTTGCAAGGATAAAATTATCCTAAAGTAAGTAAAGGTTCTTTTAAATAGGAAGAAAAATTATATACCAGCAGAGTGATTAAAAGAATTAAAATAATCGTCATTATCCGTTCGAAAATGAAGGAACGAAGAAAAATGGATCTTAAAACCAGTGATGGTACGCTGGTTCAAAGGAAACTGAATTTTGTTAACTGTTATCTATCTGCCTTGATGTCCCGTATCAAACAGGATGTTTCCTATCTATCAGCCCACACACACACACACTATTCTTGCTTTATAATTATAAATAACGTTTCCACAAGATGCTTGGATTGTGTACATCCAGGTGGAACTTGATCCTCTTTCAATGTTATTATACTTAGTTTCCATAGTGTTTTTGTATTTTCTTTCTGCATAAAATAGTTGAAGCTAACTTTTCCTTTCTTTTTGATCAATGTAATATTTTGTTGTTGGATCTTTCAGATATTCCTGCAAGTGGAATGTATTTTATGACATACGAATGTACGAAAAAGTGGTTGTCCCCCGCAGATGAAAGTCTTGGATTATTACCTACAATATTTGCTGGTGGTTTAGCTGGTATTGCAAATTGGGTTGTTGGAATGCCACCTGATGTGTTGAAGAGTCGTCTGCAAAGTGGTATATATAATTGTTAAATTGTTGTACGAATAGTTTCCAGATATTGTACATAATATTAAAAATTAATTTGATTTTTATGAATTTTTCTAGCTCCAGAAGGGACTTACAAACGTGGAATTCGAGATGTGTTTGTAGTTTTGATGAAAGAAGAAGGACCTAAAGCCTTATACAAGGGATGCACACCTGTGATGCTTCGTGCTTTCCCAGCAAACGCAGCATGTTTTCTCGGATTTGAAATTGCCATGAATTTTTTGAATCTGGTGTTACCTAATTTATAAAAGAAATTTTTACATAAAACAACTTTTTGCACTCGCCCATCTTTGACAGCAATTGAATATTGTACTATCAGCATATATGTAAAATATTTTCTGTTATTCATTCAGGAATGTTGCAATTAACAACATATTTTTAATGGAAATTGTAAATAAAAAGTTTGTGTAATAGCATCATACTTAATAACCACATATTAAATTGAACTGTTATTGTAGATGCTATTATAATTAGTTAATTTTAAAGTTATAGTTTATGTGTAAAATCTATATTTTGCTAATTTTTAATACGAATATTTTAAATTTATAAATAAAAATGAAAATTAGAACGTTCATTTACTTGTTTTATTTTACAACAAAGATTAAGAAAATAATTAATGCAATGACTATATTTTGTATAGTTTAAATGAGTACAAAATAGATTTCTAAAGGTTGGGAATTTTGTCATATTTATATAAATATTTTATTGGGTTCATTTAATTATTATGGCAGATCTTCTCAAGGTCTACAGAAGTTAGTTATTCTGTTCCGTTCAGGAAATTATAAGTTAGTTCTTATCTTATCCTATCCATTGAACTGGAATTTATGAACTCAAAATTTCAAAGTGTTCCCAAGTGTTCCCAAACCTATCAGTCCTGGATTTTATCGTCGTGGCTTGTTTATCCCTTATATTCGTAACAAATTTTTATACATAACATGAAAATGATATTAAAGGCTGTTATATTAATTGGAGGTCCCTCGAAAGGTTTGTTTTCCTATAGTCTAGCTGTTTTTGTTAAAGATTTTATAAAAATATAAAATGATATAACCTCGAACATTATTGTAAATATATTCTATATATATATATATATATATAGGTAGATACTGGAAGCTTTACTCAATTCACAGTTACTCGTTTAACTTGATTGACAATGAAAGTAATAAAAAAAATATGCTTTTCAGGAACTAGATTTAGACCTCTTTCCTTGGACATACCAAAACCGTTGTTTCCAGTTGCTGGATTACCAGTAATACAACACCATATAGAAGCATGTTCGAAGGTAGAAAATCTTAATGAAATATTGATAATTGGGTCGTACCTTTCAAGCGATTTAACACAATTCATTCAAGAAATGATAAGAACATATAACATAGTCATCAGATACCTTCAAGAATTTACCCCATTGGGAACTGCAGGAGGGATATATCACTTTCGTGATCAAATACGATCTAGTTGTCCAACATACTTCTTTGTGATGAACGGCGATGTTTGTGCTGATTTTCCATTGCAAGAAATAGTTGAATTTCATACAGAGAAAGAAGCATTGCTCACAATTATGGCTACAGAAGCAACAAGACAGCAATCCATGAACTATGGATGCATGGTTCTTGACAAGGAAGGAAAAGTTGCGCATTATGTGGAGAAACCATCCACATTTGTTTCGATCTTGATCAACTGTGGAATTTATCTTGCTTCTCCAGATATCTTTCAAACTATGGCAGATCTTTTTCATGCTGGACAACATCAAGAGAACATTACGTAAGTTATTTTAAGACTTATTACGTGTCCGTAATCTTATAAGTCTATGAAAAATAATGTTAAAGAGTACAATAGCTTTATTAGAAGTTCCATTTGCAGGCAGTTCAATGGAAATGGCAGAGATCCAGCTCATATATCTCTGGAGCAAGACATATTAACACGATTGGCCGGCACTGGCCGCGTGTTCGCATTACCCGTGTTAAGATGGTGGTCACAAGTTAAAACTGCGGGTTCTGCGATATATGCTAATCGTCATTACCTAGCTCTTTACAAAGCAAATCATTCGAATCGTCTTGCTTCTGTAACTAACGGACCTTGCCAAATTATCGGTGATGTTTATATTCATCCTTCAGCTACAGTACACTCAACAGCAGTGGTAAAAAGAAACCTTTGTTCTGTTGGTTTCTTTTTCTTTCATTAATCATTAAACACAGATTTAATGATGTAATGCTACTTCCTTTATAGCTGGGTCCAAATGTGAGCATAGGTCCAAATGCTATTATCGCTCCGGGCGTTAGGATAAGAGAGTCAATTATATTAGCCAATGCTCACATCCAAGCACATTCCATCGTTTTACACAGCATAGTAGGGAAAAGCAGCTACGTGGGAGAATGGGCACGCATTGAAGGAACGCCATGTGATCCCAATCCAGATAAGCCGTTTGCAAAAATGGAAAACTTGCCTTTGTTTAACACCAATGGGAAGCTGAATCCCTCTATAACAATCCTCGGTAATGATCGTTAACATTTGATAATTTATGTAAAGAAAAACAGTGCATACTATACTGCCACTTACGTTTCAGGCACAAACGTACGTTTGGCGGCTGAGAAAATTTTATTAAATTCCATTGTCTTACCACACAAAGAGCTCATAAGAAACTTCAAGAATGAAATTATTCTTTAAGGTATCCTTTAAAGTTCAAATTGAAATTGGTTGAAATATTTTAAAAGGAGATACTTCTACTTAATGATTTACCAATACTTGCTTTATACTATTAAAATCGTTGATTTGTGTAACAGTTATTCGAGCACAAATGTCAGTTGTCTACTCAAAACCTGGAACTAACGCACAATGTGTAGATCTACGAAATATTTGTATGTATGTAGATGAATGTTTTTTAACGAGATTACTGTACATAACTTTTCCATGATGTTTAATTCATCTATATTTATGTTTGCACAAATTTTATTTGTAAATTATACCGATTCAGTCGTAAAAATGATTGAGTTAAAAAGATTATTATAAATATTTTTATCGTAAACGTGGAGAAATCCTTTAATACTGCTTAAAGAATATCTTGATTTTAAACAAGATAATAAATAACACAGTGTTATTATGATAAAATACGCAACATATGTATTTGAACAACAAAATATATGCAATAGATATGATAAAGAGACTGAAATATTTGAAACTCTATTTTAAATATTGTAAAAAAAAATTCCGTTATTTATTTTCCCATTATTAAATAAATATCGTTGATCCAAACAGTCCACATGTTTACATCATTCATCCTCTCACAGCAGTACGTGTAAAACAAAATAAAAAATATAAAGCAACAGTATTTCTTGTAGTCTTCAAGCTGTGTTCTTTTGAATAAAATACGGTTAAGAGAGTCAATAATTTATTAAAAAACATTCTTAAAATGCGTATAATACTAAATTCGTATCAAAATTCTGTATACTTAGTATCTAAAGATCGATTACTTAAATAAACATACCTGGTTATCCGACACGCATTAAATTTGTACAAAGAAGAGTATTTTTACCATCCTTTATAAGGAACAAATGTAATGTCGTTATTATAAATGCAGAAAGTAATGACAAATCGATTGTCAAAATTTAAAAATCCATATTCATTTCCAGCATCATACTTTTAAGACACCTCGCATATGCAAAAGAAGGAATCATTTTATAAAAATAGAAAACATATACAGTCTTTTTTTTTATCTCGAGTCTTCAATCGGCTATTATACAATCTCTGAAGGCATATCATTAAAACTGAAAGCTTCAGAGCTTCGTTTCGTGTTTAACCCTGTGTCTGAAGAGCTGACTTGGCCGTTGTAGTCCTTGCGAATTATTTAAATACGAGTTGCCGGAGATTACGACGGCTGTCGTACAGTCCGGATTGGAGTGCAAGAACTCGTTTTTACCATTGTCTTCAAATACGTATGGCTGCTGTTGCTGCTCTTGCGTTACAACATAATTATTGTGACCGTAATTATGCTTCATACGAAATTGCACTTCTGAGTCCGTCTCGTCCTCGTTATCCGCGCTATCTACATCTCCTGTTGATGTAGTCGAAATGTGACAAAAATAATTTCTTGAAATATTAATTAACAATGTAAATTTCTGTATACACTTACCGTCAGAGCTATTTGTGGAAGGTAAATAGAAACGTGAGGCTGCAACCTTACTGCTTCCTACACGTCGTTCCCTCTCCCTTGCAGTGTTATTTCGATGATTATATTTAAATTCACGGGGAAGGGTATAACTTCGAGGCAGGGACACTTGGCTACCTTCCATGTCGCTAATTTCTCCTTCCGGTTCTCCTTCGCCCTTCGAGCTTTCTTCTCCTCCGTTTTGATTCGAACGTAGTCTACAATTCATTTGTATCTAAGCGTTCTCTTCTTGTTTATTTTCAATTATTTCTTTACCTGTGATTGACGTGAGCAGACGGTGCCCAATGGGAATAATGATGAGGAAGACATCGTGGTGCAAGTAGAATTTCTGGCGTGTCCACTCTCTCCCTTTGTGTTGTTCGCCACGAATTCGAAGGATGAACATTTGGATAGTAAGAAGAAGACGGTGGCGGAGGTAAAAGGCAATGCATTTTGATTGGCGGCCACGAAGACAACGTAATTCCTCCATTTTGATCGGTCACAGACGGGGCAGATGCGAATAGAGGCGAACTAGGAGAAGTGTGCAACTTTGTGTTCGGTGGTGGTTGCTGGTTCGATGCTACTGATGATGAGAATGAGGACGCCGAAGCTGACGGTGGAGGAAACAGTTTCCCTTCTTTTATTTCTTCTTGTATGGCGCGTAATTCTCGTAATTGTTGTTGCTTTTTCTCTTGAAGTTTTTCCCTTATCAAATTAACGCTCAGGGAACCCCCAGTTCCGGCATCCGTTACAATCTTTTGCTCATTCGAGTGATCATTCTGCCTCAAGTAAAAAATAATCGAATGTAAATTGAAGAAAGAATGTACATTTGCAAGTGTGTGGCATAAATATTAGTAAAATATTTCGCTACCCGTAATGCACCAGAAGATGTCGCGGATTTTTTCCAAAACGGTATTAATTGACGCGAGCTACTGTTCATACCCAGCCACTGTTTCGCATCTCCAACTGCGTTAATAGAAGCTGCAATTGCTCCTGTTTGAGACTGCGGTGGCGGCGGAGGGACGAAGGTAGTTGGCTTCTTCTTTTTTCGATTTGGATTCACTGCAGTCGGATTGGCGAAACGGCAGTTAAATACACCTGGTATTCCACCGTTGCTTAATTTACCTCTTCTCATTCCTATATTCATATTTACTTTTTTCTCTTCTGTATATTCTATTTGTTTCTCTTCCGAATTGTCCTGCAAACATTATTTTTTTTTCATGAAAAGAACAGTACCCCTGTGTTTATTTAACACTCCTCATCATTCTGTTGAAATAATTGCTATACCTGATTCGGCAGTGTCGTCAGATTCGAAGCTGTCATTCTGCCACCAGCTTCGTATCTCAATCTTCTTACATGAAAAAACCTGAAAGCGAAGTCGATAATTAGAAAACGTGTTGTAGAAACTGAACAGATATGAGATAAATCTTTTCATAATTACCTATAATAAAGGCCCATGAAAAACATACCGCCGAAAAATAATGCTAACAATGTAAGTACTAGAGTTACAGGATTCGGATGATGTTGATGTGGAAGAAGATCACTTCTATTAACACCCACTATCCACACACCAATGAGCAAACTGTTTTCCAAAAACATTACGGTATAAAATATTACCTGTACAAATACATAGGCATTATTGGTATGAATATTATTATTGTTATTTGACAAATGATTCTTAACTTACCATTTTCTGACGATGATTCGTTTCGTGCAAATTTACATATGCAAATATATAAACGAATGCAAGGAGCGAAGCCAAAGACGTTTTTCTTAATACAGGCAAATGTTCACCACCATGAAAAAGACCGTCTGGGGTGAGCAGTAGCCACATCAACATTGATAGCCAATGGAGAGCCATGACAATTAATAGCCATTGTCCGCCATACAGTGAGGCATAAGCTACTAATACTCCTACTCTAGCGCTTACGGTTCCTAGCCTCCATGCTAGTTGTGCCAGCACACCTAGCCATGTCAGTACCAAACGTTCTAAATTACGCAGACGTGCTGCACCTTTGCTAAAACTAGCAACTGCCCAGCATACGCTCCACAGAGAGAGTCCAGCAGATACTGCAGTTAACTTTGCTAGTTTTTCACTATCTCTGTTTTCAGTTTCTTTTCCTTTTCCAATATCTGTATTTGACTCGTTACTAATTCCGATAGACAATAGATATAATTGCAAGAGCAACATTGGAGCTGCTTCACAGAATGCATGAATAAGTCGTAATACACAGAGTTCCCTTACCTAATAATACATAAAGTTTTGGAAATGAAAACTGTACATGCTTGTGTTCTAAAATTAAGAAAATAAAATTTACCTCATGCTTAACATAAGTTAAATTAACCGGAATAAATAGTTTGAAATATCTCCACAATACTCCAACTTGAGTTGAATGAAGTAATAAAACACACCATATTGCCCAATTCCCATTTTCTTTTTTTTCATTAATATTGCAATCTGCGATATTTTTACCAGTTAGTCTGCCTCTGGCACCCCATAAATACCATCGTACACTGACAATCTGAAATCAATAAAAACATGAAATGAAAAATATCTCCCGATGAAAAGAATAAAAATTTTGTATAATCCAAAAAAAAAATCACCTGAGAGATAACTAATGATGTTGCTATAAGAACAATACTTAAAGGGAAAAGGATGGGAGGAGCAACAGAATGATGTGCGAGGGCATATACCATTGCAAAATCAAAAACAACGTCGCAAAAGTATGAAGCAAGAGAAATTATGTTAAACAGTACATCACACAATGGTAAGAATTCGTGCTGATACTGTGTCTGTAGATGCTGGGCCATAATGGGCTTTTGTTATCCATTTGGATTATCCAGCACCTTTTCCTTCTGAAAACTTATGCGAAACATTCCACACAAAAAGAAAAGTTTTCTGTAAAATTAAAAAAACAAAAAATATTAGGAAAAACTGAGATAGTCTTCTGATGCAGAAATTTGACATCAATGAAATAATAGTCGCATTTAGAAAAGAAAATCTTAATAATATTGTGTATTTTAAGTTTAAAACTTTTTTTCGACAGATAATCTTAAATTAAAAATAATGAAGTTAGTATTTAATTAACAGGTGTTTGCGATCGATAAATACGAATTCAAATGAACCGACTTTTATCGATCTTCCCAATGTTACAGATTTAAAAATTTGTATTTCTATACCTAATAAATGACAACATTACAATATATGAAGATTGAACTAATATAAAAAGAACGATGTAACGCTTTTCTGTTACGTAGAAGTTAATATTCACAAATTTTGCTAAAAGAAAAATTGGTTCCTTACGGAAATCGGAAAGGGTGATGTCAGATGAACGTGTCAGTATTTTAACACTTTTCCAACCAGAAGCTTATTAATAGACTTTTTTAAGTCGATGCTTATTGAGGAAAATGCTATTAATTTTCATATAAATAAGAATAAAAAAAATTGTTGTTACACTGCGTTACTCGAGTTGTTTTACTGATTTAAAATTATCATTTAATCACGATATTAATCGATGGTTCGAAAAATCTTATTAATTCACCCTCTGATAGGTAGAGTTTTAACGGGAAAGCTGCAGGACAAAAATCGTGATAACTATGATCGTAAAAGGGTTGTACACCATAACGACGCGTAACCACCGAGAGAAAAAAATTCGTGAAGCGTAGGAGGAAGCGAATTTGCTTACCACATTCCTTGGATGTCACCGAATGAGTAATCACAAAAGTAACATTCTCATCTAGATGTTGCCTTCTGAGAGCCTGGACCAACGTTGGAATGTAAGGAATTTATCCGTATACTTGGTGGACGCTTTCGAAAATAGGAGTTTTTTCACCGGCTGACCGTGCCTTGGGTCCCTTTGCGACTGTGGCGGCACATTTTTCACGAATTCACGGTCAAAAGAAACGGTTTTATTCAATCTCGAGGATACTTTCCACGAGATACCTGTTGATTCAAAGGATAACTATACGATACAGCATAACTTCGCACTTATCGTTGCTCCACTAAGTCTAAAACGTAAGATTGTCAACCAAGTAGTCAGGAATTCCAAACAGTGATTCTCAACCGCATCTATGTATAAAAACGATTAATCAATCTTTCGCATTCTTCGTCAGTGGTACTCAAAAGCAGACGTACAAACAAGTATTTTTATAAAATAGGATTTGCTAAAACTTTAAAAAATTCCGATATTTATATACGGAATAATTTTTACAATTGTCCGAACAATATCCTTGAGTAATTCGTTCGATTATGGATGTAAAACATTTTGCATTTTTACCTTCAAATATAATCAAACAGTATAATCATATTACTAAAAACTATTGATCGTAAGTATAATCTTTCACCACATGTGTAAAAAATGAATGACATTTTATTTTACTACAAATACAATTTACAGTTATCCGAATGCAAAGTGAAATAAAAATAATTTCATTTCTTAAAATTCTACTAGACTTAGGAATAGTTACAAATGTTATCGTTTCTCAATAAATAATCAATAATTAGAATGTATACATTCCTTGGTAATTTCTTATTAGTAATTGTACAAAGATACAAAAGGTATTCCTATGTCTAATAAAATTTTAAGGTAGAAAATGTATGTACGTGCTTAGTGCAATTTTGCTGTCACAAACATGTGATCGCGCTCACAAATTTTACGAGTATTCATCGATACCGAAACAATGAGCTTAATGAAATATCCTTTGCACACCTCTCAATTTACAGTACAATAAACGCTGTTTACATGACAGGGCTTTTATACTATAAAGCTATTCAGTTACAACTAATATAAAAAGACATTCATACGCAAATGAAATGTCGATCTGTAAAATCAGTCTTACACTTTAGAAATCAGATCTGTGTTTTCCTTGCTCGTAACAATACAATAGCTGGAATACATTTAAGTACATTCATGTAAAAACAGAGAGCAACGGTAATATACAGAGACAAACTGATGAGTAGTATGAGTACCGCCAATGGAGACACTTAATACTTAATTGTTTAAATGTCAAGCGATTTGTTAAAAACGACGATAATTGTTTCTTTTGCTTTCTTTACATAAAACAATACATCAAAGCGAAGTAATTCAATGTGCTTAAGTTTCCTGATGCTTAAAAAAACTTGGCAACTCACAATTGAATTTGAGTTATTGAGGAAACGACAGTTTAACAGGAGAGGGCACTTCTTGTCACAAAATTTAAATAGTAATTTTTTGAAAGGGCATTAATAAATATTTTCTTCATTAAAATATTCATCCCTCCAATAAACATTAAACGTAAAGTGTACACTTACACAATTTACGTGGAGTATTTCGTCTAATATTTTATATGACAAATAGAATCAATGTTTTTCGGCAACCTGTATGTAATGTAAATTACAAAGTTACAAAATAAAAGACTTCGGAATGAAGAATGTATTTAAGTACCGGTTGTGTTATATCTAATATGATTTACAAACGTGTTTTCTAATTGGTTCTCAATCTATGTCTTTAATCAACTATGCATTTAAGTTCCAAAAGTTAAGCGAGAAGAACAAGTAACATGCACCTCGTCCACTTTATTCGTTATTTGATAAGACCTTATGATATGGATGAGTATTTTAATACTATGTTGCATGATAAAATCGTAATAAAACATATTAACGACTTTATGCCTAATCCCTAAGAGAAAATGGCTGCGGTAATTCTTATATTTTAAGAATTATTTTGCTTCGATAACAAGCAACGTACATTCAAAAGAAAATATCCCTCCCCTTTTCATCAGCTTAGTCCGACAGTAAGTGCGATCTTTTGAAACATCTTTGATTCATTCCTTTTATCCCGAGCGCCTCAGGAATAACGCAGCAAGTCTGAGAAGCTCGGAAGCGAAATAGTCTTCCATGGAGAGAATCGCGAGTTTCGCCAAAATCTTGGGATCTCCGTTCGATATTTAACGAAGAGGAAAATTCAATCGACTCGACCATAAGATGGGACAATGTCTTGTTCTATCCAAATGTCACAGTTCGGATAATCTTCTTTGGGAAGCGTGTCTTGCCCAACGATGAGAATTCGTTTCACACCGTTAGAATCTGCTTGAGCTACTTCGTCGTGCCAAACGAAATGATTAAACAGTTGTTGCATTGCAGATACGTGCCTTTTCTCTGCGGGTGTACGTGCAGCAAATGATCCAAGTATTGCAGCAGCATCACTATCGGGATCTGCAAATTGGCCTCGTGGTTGCGTTGCTACATAAAATGGAATGTTAGTTTTCATTCGAGCTACCGTCAACAGAGGACATACTACTCGTATGTCTGAAATCATGCTCAGCAAACCCTTCAATGTAGTATTGTAACGTCTGGAAATATATATTAAAACAAAAAATGCAATTAACACAAGTTTGATTGTTACAGTTTCTAATGTATTTGCTAATGCATCCTTACTTACTTGAGAGCTTGGGTAACCAAGCCTGAGGTTCCTAGCAAGGATTCGCTTATAATTTTTTCAACCTGCGTGGAATTGAGAGTTGCATTTGAATTAAGGTACTTCAATGGCGCTCCAGCGTGAGCCGTAGTACCCATTACGATTTTAACTGGGAATTCATCTCTTGCCCAGATCTGACCGACAGGTTCCTGAAGGATAACACGATCCAGGACAAGCCACTCGTGTCTTCTGTCTCTCGATTGTGCTTCCCTAGCCTCGGGAAGTCCAACATTTTCTAAATGCCAAGTCTCCGGGACAGAGTCCATTAGTTCCTCGGCGCTTTTGCTTCTCAAACACGCGGCATCGCTGCACCTTATAGAGTTCAAGAACTGATCGCTGAGTTTCTCTGAAACCTCCAACTCCCTACCCGGAAAAATCGCGCTACCGCTGGATATCCAGACTCTAGAAAATAAGCCTTTTGCCCTACGGGTGCCAACTAGAGTTGTGACAAGGGTACCGCCTGCTCGATGGCCCCACAGAGTTACAGATTTCTTGTTACCGCCGAAGTTCTCGATGTTAAGTTGAACCCACTGTAGCGCAGCTATGATATCCGAGAGTCCATAGTTTCCGGATGTAAGAGGATGCGTAGCTCTGGAAAGTGGCTCTGCAGCTAAGAAACCAAAGATTCCCAACCTACAACATGGGAGAAATACATTGAATCTAAATGTTCTAAATTTGCAATGAAAGCTCTATCATTTTTCGCTTCCTTCAAACAGTCCCTTAAACACACTCGTATAATTATAGAACATTTTACCGAAAGTTTGGTCGAACGAAGACCATGTCACGAACGCGCGCAAGCTTCGCAGAAGGCTGCATTACACCTGGCGATCCTCCGCTAAGGGTCTCCGCGCCAATCATAACAACCACCGGTAACGGTGAATCGTATCTGACTTCAGGCGTAAATACGTCCAGATACAAGCAATTTTCGGTCCCAATCACACCACCGGATGCTTCTCGCTGCCAACAGACGTCCGAGGAGTTATGCGCAAGGTAAGTATCCGTCCAGCAATATTCGATTCTTCGTAAAGGTTCAGCTGGTTGCCAGCGACGATTTTCTAGCGGTGGAACCGCGTAAGGGATTCCACGAAATGCAAATGCACCGTCCTCGGATATACCCTGCACGGGTCCGCAGGAGGTAACAGCTTCTACATAATTTCCGTCTTTGATTGGTTGCGTGGTTGCCTTTCTCGGACCGATACAGGCAACACAGATGATGATGATCACGGACAACAGGATACAGAGTGTCGCCACTACATTACCAAATATGTATTACGTTATGAAATGATTTTATTCTCTCTAAACGTTTGCAGTTAAAATAAAGAGAAGACATTCTCGTGTAATTGTGTATAACCGCGTACCTAATACAAACAAACTTCTCCTCGCAGCGGAGATACAAGCAACAAGGAAATGTTGTTTAGGAGATTCAATACCATCTGCGGCGTCACCGTCAAGACGAACGGTTTCCATACCATCTTCATTGCCAACCGGATTTTTTTCTCCTGCACCGTCGTCTAACGTCTCGACGCTGGCTAATCCAGCAGCTCCAGTTGTTCCTAGTTCTACCTCGCCTTCCTAAATAATTAGAAGAATTTTTATGTAAAATTCGAAAGAAAACAAGAGTAATTTGGGGTACACGTCCAACGATCGAATGTGAATTCACTCAACCATTTACCGCGTTTAAACGCGAACAATTGAGACGTAAAAAGGAAAAAAGGCGTAGGTCGACGGATTAAAGAACACTTCAACGACCGTACGTGATCGAGTGCTCTGAATCGCGTCTTAGGGTTCTGAAGGGTTTTACACGGTAAACTACACCGTCGAGCTATTGATTTATGCGTTTTACATGTAATAAAAGCAAGATAAACTTAAAAATATAATCGATCGTAGAAGATACCCTACACATCTCCATCACCTTGTTCTTTTTCCGTGGAAAGACAGAGACTAAGGGTAGCTTTATGGCATCGAGAAATCCTTTTCGTCCGTCTTTCTCTTTTAATTCTTTGCTCGGCGTGTTCGTCTTCTCCGAAGACACGTTTTGCTCGTTTTCTTTGGCATTTTTGTCGATCACTTCGGCATCGCCAGAGTCGGCTGGTTTACTCTCATCGTCCTAAGTAAAAAATACAAAGAACGAATGAGTGATCCATTAATATTTAAAGTTCATCCATTTCCGAAGAATATTATAAATAAATAGAAATCATTTCCGTGCATATTGATATTACATATTCGAAGCGTCATTATCATTATCGTAGTCGATGCTTGTCATTATTTAAAGGCGCGTGATCAATAATGCCAGGTGTACGGTTTGGCTGACGTCATCCATTGGTTTAATGTTGGAAAAAAAAATCGTTACGGGGCTATGGTCACCCCTCGCGGAACACGCTATGGTGTTCCAGGTACTTGTGCTCTTTCAGCAGTGTCGGCTTGTAGTAAACAGATGTTAATCGAGTAAAAGGAAACACCGCATTTGAACGGTTCTTGTTCATTCACATCCGTTCAGATTAACAGCTTAAACACAGCCGAAATAATTAAACGCACTGCACCATACACCCCTACTAAGATTAATACAATGCATTGTCTACGACAAAGATCGCGTGACCAACAACACGTGCACGAAAGAGTATATACGTATTGCATATTTCGTATATTTTACGTGTCCATAATAAACAGGGCGTGTCAAATTCAAGGAACAAGTTCTACAACGCGTGATAAATAACATTTCCATAAATAGTACAACATCTACAAAAATATGTAAACATTTCCGAGTAAATAATAGTCAACTTGAAATGTTTCTAATCCAACTAAACGGATCTCGTTTCCGTAAGTTTTAAAAACCAATTTTACTCTTTAAGAAATAATGTTTAGCAAAACAATCGAATGAAATGCTCAAATTAAGGATCATTGATCGCATTTGAGGTACATTGTTTTCAGATTATGGACCATTTAACCCGTGTGAAAGTAAATAGAATTGCTTGGTCGTTACTTTGCACGGTTCCTTGCTCTTTGTACGACAAAATCCAGGCATTTTAATGCCACCAATTGGGATTTTCTTCTTGGGCTTCTGTTCTTCGGATTCCGAGTCTGGCGCGGTCGATGCTACCGTATGCTTCGTATTCTCTGCATTGAGCATCTTCTCCCTTTCTTCCTCTGCGATTTCCTTCTTATCCAGACTCTTCTCTTGACCCCCTTGACTCATGGTGCGTCGCTAAAAATACCGATTAAATGCAATCACTTTAGCCCTGATAAATTTGACGGAAAAGTCAAAGTTCCAAAACAACTCATATTTGCTTAAAATCAAGTAGGAAGCATTTTTATATATTGTATTAAAATATCATCTGAAACTTGCTTCTTCGATAAATAAATAAATTGTAATTAATATACGTCGTTGGTAGGTGAAACATTCGCAAGGAAACCGCGCGGAATCCGTAATATGAATCGCCCTGTACGTATAAGCGTTGCAGCTGGCGTCGGGACGCCCAGACGTAAACCGATCGATCGGATGGCATTGCTCTCCGAGCCTATTGCTTCCAAGAGTCTAGCCGTATACATACATAGTTACCTGGTATATATTTTCCCAATATCAAACAAATTCTACGCCGTTTTTTTTTCTGTTTATATTTTGTACGCCGTTACGTACTACATATACAGAAATGTCAACTCATTGTAGAACATAAACGCAAATATGATACTTGTAAATTAATAATCAAATGAACGTCTAAAAATGGTCCAAAGTTAAACAAAAAAAAAAAAGACAACAGAATAATAATGTAACAAAAACGTAGGAATACGATTAAAATTCAAGGATTCATCCCTTTTCAGAGCGAAGAATATTGATTTTAGTATATTCGCATTTTATTATTCAAATCGAATATTTGACCAAGACATGCAACGGAAAATGAATTATAAAATTTCACATTACTTGTATCGATTTGGAATGGACACACCGAGGTAAAATACCAGAAATAAAGTGTCGTATTTGGTTCGGATTACCTGTATGTTACAAACGGCAATAAAAGAATACGCATATGTACATTAGCGGCCCTTTCTATTAAACAATGTCCAAGAAACGTTCGATTCAAATGCAGCAGGTGGCAACGGTAAACCGACGGTTGGCCGAAAAATTCGATCGGACAAATTTTACCGCCCGAAATGTGAAACGGCTCGTTTTTGTTTGTCCCCTTCCTCTAAGCTTTCTGCCCTCTTATATTGTCTCACGCATCGGCACTACAGTATATAGTATACACTTCCGAAACAAATGCGTTCAACTTTCTCTTTCGCGAACCCGCTATTCCTGTACGCTTTAACACATGTCTTTACATTATCATTCTCTTTCTCATTAATTATTTACTTTTCATAATTATGTCTGTGAAGTACAGAATAGGGCTGTTGATTACAAAGCATCTATTCCGGAATTGTTTATGCTTTCACTTTCGATTTACATTTGCTTCAGGCCCCCTCGCCCATGTGATGTTCGACAAATTCGAAAAAAGAAACATTATTTATACCACAAATATTTATAAATTGTTTCCTCAATATCTGATAAAAGGATTCTTTCTTTTGAACATCTAGCACACTCGTACACGCTTTACACACTTCCAATGATTTGTTTCTCTTCTATGGCAAATAGTCGGCTCACCTACGCGTCAGTTCGTTGTTTTCTCGTTACAGAGTTTGATTACAGACTCGTTACAATCATACCGGTTGTATTGTTGAAAACAGTACATATATACAAAGATGCGTAAATACTCACAACTTTGCGGCGAATACAATCGAGGAAGGACGCCACTGAATTTTCAGAAGGAATACCCTTCGTTCGCGTGCCCAGTGCCTCTGTGATGGTTAGCCGGTGTCGGAACGACCACGTTCACGTTGCTGATAATGATCACTTCATTAATTGTAAAACAATACACAACAAGATTTTGAATTTTACGAGGAAACGTTTGAACGAGCACAAATGTCAGCTAGTACGACGCCAAACGCGTGCCTACCTCGGACTGTCGTTCCACGATTCTACTACACAACTTACGACGACCTTTCTACCACGGTGGTAGGAGGTAGTACCATCAGAGTTTGAATGCGATGCGATCCTCCTATTGGCTGCTTTCAATCCTGCGCGGTCGATTCTTTTTAAACGCACTTTCCAACATAGCCTCTATCTGGGAAAATCGCAAAAATTGTTTAAAGTTTATCAACACATTTAATCTTTATTGTATACTAAAACAAGTATTTTGAAAGTAATTTAAGTCACGGACATGACGATTTGTTTACCTGTCTTAGGAATAAAACAATTTTTACTATATCTCTGTTCTTTGTATTCGATCATCGTGAATAAAAAAATTTTAACTGTCTCTTGTATAATTGTTACTGCTACATTTTAATTATTTATTCTTCAATGTAACTACTACTGTTGTTACTGTCAATGGTTTTGTACAAATCATTGTTTGTGATTGATCGGTTCACCGAGACAATCTTTCTGGGGTCAACCGATGTTTAAATAAATTCAGGATTTCCTAAAACATAACACCAAGTAGGTACAAGAAATTTCTAACTCTTGGAATTACACTTTCTACGAATTAAGTTAATGCACAAATTAATTGAAACTTGTAAAAGTTAAAAGAATAAAGCGAATTTCCGGAATACGTACCGGTATACTTACGTGATGTATCGTGTAGTTCGCGGTTAGTCCAACGATGCGCATGCGGATTCGGCTTAAATGATCTGCGTCGTCGCCGTTGGCAGTGTCATATTTGCGTTTGCCTCGTTTTACGGTACGTAACGTACATCGTCGTACGGTCGTGTATACGCGTCTATCTTTTGACAGTTTCAACAATTTTAACGCGCGCGTAGCGCGTACAACGACCGTTCGATCCGTTTGTGGCGTCTACTCGGATCGGAAAAGCTCATCAAGGAACAGGAGAACTTGTTCATAATTGATATGTCTCCGGTACAGATTCGGGGGTGGATTTGTGGGGAAACGCGTTCGTATCTGGAAGCATTAGACACATAAGTGTCAAGATGTGCTCGATAAATAACGAGTCTGCGTCTACTGCGTGCCTAAAGATGAGATTTCTGCATTTCTTCTGGACACCGCGGGGCTGAAAGTCCCGGCTCGACGAACGAATAGTTAGACAGATAGATAAATAGCCAAGTAGTTAGTGAAAGAAGAAAATCAAGGGGTGATAGAACCAGCGTGGAAAACGACAGAGTGTTTAATTGGTTTTCATAAGTCGAGAATCGCGGATCGCGAAAAAAAGACGGCCGATCGATGTCTTATTTGTGATGGGAGTGCCTGCGCGGGGAGCACTCGCGGCGATCGTCGCCATAACCGCATTCGTCGTTTATCTGAACAGCCTTAATTGCGGCTTCGTTTTCGATGACATTTCAGCGATCAAGGATAACCGTGATTTAAGACCTCATACACCTGTGAAAAATGTCTTTTACAATGATTTTTGGGGTACACCTATGCACAAGGTAAGTGACAGGACGAAGTTGCTTTCGATTTTCCCCCTTCCCTTTCACTCTTGTCTACCTTCTTGTGTATTGATCCGTTGCACTCTTCTCCTCCTTTTCCTCCCTTTCGATTTGGTTCGATCCAATTCAATCTTATCAAAGTTAAGTCGATCTCATTCGAATTTGCTTTTCTAAACTACTTCATGTACAATTCAGTATTTTTTTAAAAGCTTCATTTTGGTCTTGATTGGATGGCTTTGCCGCCACTTTATTTATAAATTGTATTCCGCTTCGGCATGTTTTTTTTGTTCCTAACATTATACGACAATTGAATTCAACTTTTTATTTAAATTATTCAGTTACAAGTATAGTAATAAATTCTTAACACATTTTGGCTCACTTTTTGTGTATTAATTATTATGTATTCGTATTTATATTTACATCTATTTATGTGAGAATATAAATATATTCTTTTTTTATACAGGAGCAGTCACATAAATCATACAGGCCATTGTGCGTTCTCACATTTAGATGGAATTACCTAATTCATCAGTTGGATCCTATGGGATATCATCTGCTTAATGTTATCCTACATGTTGGAGTATGCTTATTATATTTCAGGTGTGTTTTTTCCTACAATCAGCAAACATTAAATTATAGAGTTAAAAACTGATTTGCCGATAGTATATATTATTTTTAGTTCTTATTAAACGTTACAAATTATTATTTCATATTTTGGATCAATTTTGCAGGACTTGTCTGATGTTTTTGCCTGATTCAGCAACTTTTGTCTCTTCTCTCCTATTTGCCATACATCCTATACACACAGAGGCAGTAAGTTACACATGCTCGTATTTGAATCGGTCGAATCGATCGACGTTACCTTAACGTTATACATGAGAATATTATTTCATAATTATATCTACCCCTTGTTCCTCTCTTTGACGACAATCTTTCAATATTGTATCCAGATTCAAAGGGTCGACGTCGAGCGATCGATCGCGCCGTAGTTCCTAGATCGCGTTTAGATACATTATCCATGGATAATCGTGTATTCAGGTTACAGGAGTGGTGGGAAGAGCAGAAACATTGTCTTCTTTATTTTACCTGGCAGCTTTAATCACGTATACTAAATGTTGCAGAAATAAAAGATCAACAGGTGAGACGGTTATCATGCTTGTATCGTATTACATATATTTCTTACCCAAAATATTATAACTTGGATTAAAATTTTTTTACAGGATGGAAGTCTTTGATATTATCTATGTTTTTTGTTTTTACTGCTATGTTATGCAAAGAACAGGGAATTACAGCTACTGCAGTTTGTGTATTGTACGAGATTTTTGTTGTACAAAAGGTAAATGTGGACATAAAATTTTACAGAAACAACATACCGATTATCTAATATCAAGTATTTGTTTAAACTTACCGTATTATTCGTTTAGGTGCGAGCAATGGATATTTTCCTTACATTAAAGGCAGCCTTTGGTGGGAAAAAGATATCCCTTGCTTGGTCCAGTGAAGGTACAAAACGTTTGACTGCCCTTACAATTGTTACATTTAGTTTACTTATCCTTCGACTACACATAATGGGCTCAAAGTTACCTGTATTCACCAGGTATCTGCAAAAGATTACATGCAGTTTGTATGCAGAACATTTATCGATAAAAAGATCATGGTAAATGATTTTGTAATTGTTTCAGATTCGACAATCCCGCGTCAGTAGCACCAACGCCAGTAAGGCAGCTTACATACAATTACCTCGCAGCGGTTAATTTAAGGCTGCTATTTCTTCCAAACGACTTATGCTGTGATTGGACTATGGGAACGATACCGTTAATAGAAAGTTTTACTGATTCTCGCAATCTCGCTACCATAGCCACTCACACGACGGTGTTAGGATTGTTGGCAACAGCAATTTTAACACCGAATAGACAAACTTCCATCATTCTTTTAATGGTTAGAATTGAATATGCTTAACGTAGCCTATTTAGTTTATAGCGTAGTACTGTTTAACTAAAATGTGTATGTTCTGTCCATATTTACAGAGTTTGGCTATGATGGTACTACCATTCTTACCTGCTTCCAATCTCTTTTTCCCAGTTGGATTTGTCATCGCTGAAAGGGTATTATATGCACCGTCTATGGGATTTTGTATGTTGATTGGATATGGATGGAGCATTTTATGCGATAAAAGGTAAACTTATCCTATTTATACTCGTTTCGAAAAGCCAGGTCATATTTAATTGTAATGTTTTTATTTGTAGACTTAAAAAACTTATGCTATTTTTATTAATAACACTTCTGGCTGCTCATTCGACAAAGACTTTTATCAGAAATTATGATTGGTTGGATGAATATTCCATATTCATGTCAGGATTGAAAGTGAATGATCGCAACGCCAAATTATTCAATAACGTGGGACATGCATTGGAAAGTCAAGGAAGATTTAAAGAAGCACTGAATTTTTTTAATATGGCTGTGCAAGTTCAAGGTGATGATATTGGTGCGCATATAAATGTAGGCAGAACTTACAATCATCTTAAAATGTTCAAAGAAGCTGAAGATGCTTACCTGAAAGTGAGTAGTATAGTTCAATCGTATTTATTAACATAGTAATATTATATATAAATATAAGGAATTGTATTGTAACACTACTATACCGAGTGCATACTTTTTGTTTAGGCAAAATCCTTGCTACCAAAAGCAAAGCCTGGAGAGTCTTACCAAGCGCGAATAGCGCCAAATCATTTGAATGTTTTCGTAAATTTAGCAAATTTAATCGCAAAAAATGCCTCTAGATTAGAGGAAGCTGATTTGCTTTATAGGCAGGCAATTAGTATGCGCGCTGATTACACACAAGCATATATTAATCGAGGTGATGTCTTAATTAAACTTAATCGAACCAAAGAGGCCCAAGAAGTTTATGAGCGAGCTCTTTTTTACGACAGTAATAATCCAGATATTTATTATAATGTAAGTATTAAAAGTTGGGGAATAGCGTTGCAGAAAATCAAAAATTTGTGTAACATTGTTTTTCAAGCTGGGAGTTGTATTCTTGGAACAAGGAAAAGCATCCCAAGCTCTAGCATATTTAGATAAAGCATTGGAATTCGATCCAGAACACGAACAGGCATTATTAAATTCAGCTATCTTGCTTCAAGAATTGGGACGTGCAGAATTGCGAAAAGTGGCGAGAGAAAGACTGTTAAAACTTCTGAGAAAAGTATTGTTTTCTTTTTTTTTTCTTCCGAATTTATAGTAATATTAACGACTTGAAACGTAATTTCATAGAACGCACCTATTTTTAGGATTCTAATAACGAACGAGTGCATTTCAATCTTGGAATGTTAGCTATGGACGACCACGACAGCGGGAGCGCAGAACGATGGTTCCGTAATGCAGTCGCTCTGAAGGAAGACTTTCGATCTGCATTGTTCAATTTGGCTCTGTTGTTGGCAGACGAGCAACGTCCTCTCGAAGCAGCACCTTTCTTAAATCAGCTAGTTAGGTTTCACCCGGACCACGTTAAGGGATTAATTCTCTTAGGAGATATCTATATAAACAATATAAAAGATTTGGATGCTGCTGAAAATGTAAGTGAATCGTGGCTAACAACATCGCTTTACGCGTGCTGTTTAAGTGAGGAAACATTAATAGAAACTCTGGAATGTTTACAGTGTTATCGTAGAATACTGCAGTTGGACCCAACAAATATTCAGGGTCTGCATAATCTGTGTGTCGTAATGGTGGAACGTGGTAAGTTAGGTCTGGCGGCTCAATGTTTGGAGCGGGCGGCAGATTTGGCACCCCAGCAGGATTACGTGCACAGACATCTTGCTATTGTAAAGGGTCGCATCAGTCGACTACCTCCGGAACAACGCGACACAGAAGTCTTCGATGATTCTTTCTGGCAGACTGGTCCGAAGGAAAGAAATTTTAACATGGCAGACATCACGGCCAGTAACGCTGCCGGCAGTTCGACTGCTACTGGCGGACCTGGAAACATGGTTAATAGTGGTAACCAGTTCCTCGGGAAAACAGACTCTGTTTTTTCGAATCCCCACAATCACATAGGGAATAAGAAAAGCAGTATAGACCCGCTGAATAACAATATAATACACCTGAAAGGTCCGTCGAAACCCGGAAGGATTCCATTGAATGAAGTGAAAGCGGATGCGATAGAAGTATATAATGACAAAAATACACCTTTGAGTCCGAGTTCAAGTACGAAAGACATGCAAGAACTATCGTCTGAAAGAGGTTCTAGTAAGAGTACGAGCGCGGACGCGACGGAATTGACAATCGATCGGGAACGTGAAAGCAAAATGATGAATTCCGAGAAATTTGATCAAGTCGCGCCAATCGTTTCAACTGGCGGAAATAATATTAATACCACACGTCAAACAAAGGACACAGCGCTCTCATAGTACTGACGTTACAAACCGCCGAATCTTGTATAAAGTTATATATTACGTATAACAAAGGAATATGGTGGTACAGCCGTATAGAGCTAATGTGTGAATATAAAATGAATACAGAGTATTGTTTTATATGCTGTACGAATAGAATGTTTTGTAAAATATATTTAAAAAATGTGTATCTCTTCTCTTTATTTTCAACAGATTTCCCGTATGCATGGAATCCGCCTATATTTATAGAATCCTTCTCAATTCATCGAATGTTACATATGGAAGGGCGCTTTAGATTTTCATTCGGAATAATTTAAATATTCCGTTGGTATACAATCTTGAAAGTCTTTGCATACAATATTCACACCTGATTGTTGTCGAACATGTTTCGATTTACGATAATTTTATAAATTCAACGATAACTGTTTTATCGTTGATTATTTTACATTTTTCGCAGTTGATTGGTCGTGTGAGCCGACAGAAAGTGTTGTGCAATGGAGGTGTCACATTAGCTTCCTACGGGATGTACAATTTCAGAAGATGACATATGCATAATGTGCTTAATGAAGACGTCCTGGTCGTTCAATATTACTAGAGACCTGTTTGCAGCTTTATAAGGAACCCGGTAACCATTTTCAGTGACACAATCATCTCTCTCGTACACAGCGTATGACCAACTTTTCGAGCACCGGTAAGTGTTTCCTATAGCCCGCATTATCTCCTATTCCTCCGAGCAAGAGAACGTAGAAATAAAGCTTATGATATAAATATAAGAGAATTAACATATAATTAAGCAATAAAAATTCCAAAAGTGTATATACGAGAAAAGCGATACCAATAATGAAGATAATTCCAAGTTTGTAAGACATCTTGCTCGCCACTTATAGAGTTAAGACTAAACTTAGGTTTCTGTCGCTGGAAGAGGAATCCTTACCAACAGCGTGTACAACGATATTAGTAATAAGCAGTAATAATAGATAATAATGTGGAGCGATAATGTCAGGAATATAACTGCAGCTCAGTAAAAAGCAGAAAGAACCGAGCTAAGTAGAAGTAAAGCTTGTATCAAGGAGGGAGCTGGAATGCGTGTATTTTACGAGTTGTCAATTTTAAACAGCGCAGAACAGTTTCAGTCGTCGAAGGATCTAGCGTCGAACGGATGCTAATTTTTCATCGGAATATCGTTTCTTCTATTCCGTATCGCCCTCTTATCCTTTTTCCATCGTAACTAAATTACAGAAAGTGTTCAAAGTGTTTTATGCAGTGTATAAGCAAATTTTCGCAAAAATTATATTTGAAAATGCATAGAAATTTAAAGGGTGGAGAACGTTTTCGATTAACTAGATCAATATCGTTTCATTATTATTAACTATGACTGAACGAACGTTTTTAATTGTGCCAAAAGATTGAATGAAATGAAGACAAACAAGAGGAAAAAAGAACAATGTATTTTCGTAACTTTCATTACGGAAGTTTAAACATTTTCCCGTGCGAATAGAATACCCGACTCGTCGGTGAAAAGTCTGCAATATCGTCGACACGAAAATATTTTCATAGTTCGGATTCAAGAGGAAGTAGGCGCATCAGATTAAATCTTGCGTAACTAAATCAAAACTGTTCCAAATAGATAGCGTTTTTTGAATCAACGGAATATGGACGATTAAGAACTAAAACGATTGATTCGTCACACTGTGAATCGTTCCAATTCGCAAGGAAACATTCAAGAAAAAGGAATAGGGGGACTAAGAAGAAAAGTCTGATGTACTCAGAGGACAGCAAATGTTCGAGCACACGGAGGAGTTTCTTAATTGCCGGTACCATTAAACGCGGGGTAACTTTCCAAAATTATGCAAATTACTTTTTCCCCGCAGAATATGGTGATTTCTAAAAAAAACTTAATATATCGCAAGATATGCTTTTTTTTTCTTTTTTAATTTCATGCACTCGTGAAAAATAAGAATATATTTTTCATCGTTTTGGCATAATTTCCTATCGTTTATGTTATTAACTTTCTTTTATCAGTATTTATACGTATTCCTTATCTTCGTTAATACATTTCTTTTCAATTCTTGTATATAATGTAATATAAAAATAGGAGGTGCACAAAAATCAATACTTTCAATACTTTAACGTGTTTTTTTGTCTGCCATAATTATCAAGCAGATTATTGTTCATTTCGTATTACTCTTCCATTTAAATAATCATGTACAAGGGAAAAGCACATTCTGATTTATTGAATTTATATTATTGTCCTAATCTTTTGTCGAAAATTAAACTACCTGAAATGTTATTCTTCGATTAATACAATGATTAATATATAGAAAAAAGAAGACAGAAAAGTACCAGACTGTGATAGTACACATGGTGACATGTACATATAAATATAATTACATACACACATATTTTACTGATCTCTGTTTTATCGACTCGCATTAAGTAAGTGGTTTTTTTTACATTGTATTTTACTTGGTTATAAATATGTGTTTATCCAATCATATAAGTTGAACGTAACAATAACGTCGATTTTTAAAAAGTCATTCGTATTAATCAAACACGAAACTAACTATGTACTACCTGTACGGGTAGGGGAATGTTAGTTAAGAATATCCGTATTAGCAAAGGAAGTTATATTAAGGTTGTCTGTTATCATTGCTCATAAATCACACAATGGAATACTGTGAACATTACAAAGTTGAATGTATCATCGGTATCTCGTACGAGGTTTTTCACCTAAATCTCTATTTATAAATTCCCACAAAAAAGAGTAACAATTAGCGCCCCTTATCTCGCGAAGAGGGAAAACTTTTGTGTTTCCTTCTTTATCGATGCTTGTCAGTGTAAAGTATAAGGTAAACTGAATTATTGAGAGAATAGTATCGAGAAGAATAAACGTACATAATTAAGAAGAAAAAAAAGTAACGATAAAATGAAATCGATATGTTTTATCAAACTGTGTCTTGGATGCTTTAAATCTCGATGGTAAAACCAATTCCCTATGGCGATACCGTTTCTAGATACATGTCTCTGTTTAAATAAAACGCTATAAAAAAAGACTGCACATAGCAACAAGGTTGTAGAATATTTGTAAGTCGTTTCGAACTATCCCTCGTATACTCCGTGTGAAGTTACAACGCAAGGTTTATATTTGCACAAACGATATCTAAAAATAAGCTGTTAGTCGTTAAGCGGTACGCAACAGCATCAACATGGGGTATCGTTATTGATAAGTCTTGATAAAAGTTAATGAATGCGATTTACATAAACACGCTAAAGGATTCAATTGTAACAATTGATTTTCGAATTTACCTAGACAATTTTCCACGGCAAATTTAATAGATGTCGCATTAACTTGATAGTTTGAATGAGGCGCCATTATTAAATTTCCCGCTACCATACTATGACAATATATTCAATTGTCATATTATATTGTTAATAGATGTTCTTTTGGAAAATTTAATTTAACAAGACAAAATTACTGAACACAGATTGATTTGAGGATACTATTTTGATTATAGATGTTCGCATACCGATTATACGTGCTCGTGAGTTTGATACTCGTGGTAGCGATCTTAACGTCAAAAACAGAACGCGCGCAATCAGATGTGTTTCAAAGTAGACAAAATCGACAAGCTGATGTGCGTCAAGAGCCTCGTCAATATTGCGGCCGAAGTCTTTCGAGCACTTTGCAAATGATCTGTGGTGGTGTTTACAATAGTCGATTCAAGAAAAGCAATCAAGGTATTGGAATCCATTCGGTTCGAATAATTATTCATAACCGCATGTAAATGATTCGCTTTTTCTAGAAATGGTGATGGACGGTTATGCGTTTATCAATGATTTGCATCCCTATAAATCCATCGAGAACGCAAGGAAGATGTTAAGATTCCGACGAAATTCACGGGGTGTCTACGAGGAATGCTGCTTGAAAATGTGCTCTACGGAGGAACTGCGTTCTTATTGCGGTAGTCGTTGACCAATTGTTTTTCAACTTCTTCAATGCAGAAAGTGAGCTAGATTGTCGTCTCAAAAGTCTCTCCTGATGTGTATTGATAATTACAGCTTTCGTCGCGTAGTAATGTTTCTTTTCTTCAATTTGTATTTTACATAAGAATAGTAATGAGCTCTAATGATCTTGAATTAATTAAAATCATTATTTATATATTATTATATGTAATATATATATGTAATATATTTTATTTAATTTTATACAATAGAATCGTGATAAAATTAAGAAGGAAACGGCATACACCACATTGATAGTCATCCATTTTAACACTAACCGTACCGAGACATTTATATACCTATGTATACCGTATTTAAAACCGGTCATTTGACCGGCGTTCGGTACGGTTAGTGTTAATTGTGCCAGTTTATGAGTATACTCATACTCAAATTCATAATACAATTTGATCTCACTTGTACTTAATCAATATATTGCATAAGAAATGAAATTCTATGTGATCAGTTAAATATGCATGCTTTGAGCAATATTCTTTCTTATGAATATGTATGTTATATATGTATATATATATATATATATATGTACATATATACAGTTGTTTAATAGGTTAGTCAGTCCTAAAATTTTCTTTGCTATATGGTACAAAACAAATAAATTGTTGAACTTTTATGTACACAGCACATGAAAACAAAAGATTTCAAAGGTTAAATCATCGATTTTTAATATATTTTTATGAGATTTCTTTTTGTTGTTGTTACATACATATTTCAGATACATTATATACTATCATCAGAATAGGTGTAAACACCAACATGTATACAAAAATTAAAAGATCACGTCAATTCTAGTAAGCCTTTTTTATATTGTGTAAATATTGTAGATACAAATTTAAATATCAAAAAGTTTAATTTTAAGGAATAATATGATTTAAAGAAATTATATTTTAAGAATGTCAAGAGTATGAATATAAAAGAAAAGATTTTTGAATAGTTGTAATATGTGATGCAAGTGTTTTATAAACAATGGAGACAGAAGAAGTTTATAGTCTTGCAATCAGTCCACCCATTGTGTCAAGGTTCGCAGTTCAATGGTCTGATGACAATCATATATCAGTTCTTACAGAGAAAGGAATTCATACATTTGTAAGTCTAATATAATTTATTTTTTTTATTTATTTTATTTTTATATATTAGTATATACCAAATTGTTTTATAACGAAAACCTACAGAATTAAGAATATATATTTTATGTTATTATTCCATACAGGAATTTATACCTACTCCAATGTCTCCTTATTCGACCATAAAGTTTTCTAGATCATTTATTTATGTGCCATTGATTTTTCCTGTGGAAGTTATAATGAATAAAATAGAATCAAAAATTTGGAATATGCATCGTGAAGCAGTTTATTCATTTATAATGGAAGAAGGTCTGACCCCAAAGATATCTAATGTTAAGGAGATGATTCCAAAAATAGTTGACTTAGCATGGTCACCGCAGAATATAATCAGTCCTAATAATTGCCTTCTTGCAATTGTAACATCGACAGGAGCTGTTATAATTGTTCACAAAATTGCCACAGATTGGTATCCTGCATATGACTTGTGTTCCATACGTTACAATGCTGTAGAGGCTGAGATTACTACAAAGTTGAAAGATACTAAAAGTGATCTTGTTTCATTCATGACACTAAAAAATTGTATTAAAACACTACAAGCTTCTTGTATGGCTTGGAGCATGCTTTTGGCAGATTTTGCATACCTTGCTGTTGCTTATCAAAATGGAGACATAATTATTTATAAAATTCCAACTATATTACACTGTAGTGAAATACCAGACTCTAAAATTGTGGGCACAATACATTTGAATGAGTGTATAAAAATAAATGCATTGCATTGGATTAGCATTGATGCAAAAAGATATGTAATTATTGTTGCATATTTTGATGGACGTATTCATGGTCTTACAATTGAAGACTGTGAACAGGTGATTGAGTTGAAATCAGTTGATAAATATTATGATTATGTGGATCGTATATCTGTTAGTGCTATAAGAACATTTCCTCAAAATGGTACAAGCATAAAAATTCTGATTTCAAAAGGTAGTTTTCTCTTCTTATTGCATTTAACAAACGAGGGAACACTAAAAACTATGCAACACTTGCAATTAGAAGGATTCATGATATCAGGTAAAATATATTAACAGTTTTTCTTTGCATATAAAATATGGAATATACTTTGACTGACAATTAAATTAATCATTTTTAGGATTAACATTTACGAGTGTAGATTATGCATTAGTCACAACAGAAAATAATTCAATGTTTGCAATTGACCTACAAGAAAATAAGTTTCTTAATATCAAAGTAAAGAATGTATTGCAACAAGCTCAAGTGCGATACCTCGGTCTTGCTCATTCTTTAAGCTATGTAATATTTGTAACTGTAACTTCTCCAAACACTGTATATGATCATTTAATAACAAAAGAACCAAGTAAAGTTCATTTCTTTGCTTTGAAAAATAAAAATTGGGATCCAACATTCATTTTAAGTAAAAGCAAAGGAGAAAGGTTTGAATATTTGTGGGATTGTTTAGAAATAATCAGAATAAAAGCAACAAAAGCAGTAGATCCTGCAACTGTATTGCCAAAAGTGCCATCCAATTTAGAACTTTTGTCTTTGAATGAGTTACGATTAGCAATGTGGACATCAGTAATGATGAAAATTTGTGAGAAGAAGAAAGTAATAGATGGCATAGGAAGTATTGCTGGAGAAATATCAGAAGCACAGCCTTTGATCTTTGTCCACACTGCTTGTAATTATCTTGAACATCTGGAAAATCATGTCCCTTTATCCCAAGAGCAGGAACTCTCTGTACACTTACTGAAAATGTACTTTGAAGTCTATTTAGCAGGAGAGGAAAATGAAGAAGTTACTCCACTTTCCAAGCGTGTTAGAGACATTGTAAATAAAACATCTCAATACGATAGAAGTAAAATTGAATCTTGTAACTTGTGCGGCGAAGTAATACATGATCTATCTTGGAAAGTAGTGAAATGTTCACAAGGTCACATACTACCTAGGTGTGCTATTACTCTCTTGCAAATAACTAGTATGCAATACAGGATATGTCAGATATGTGGTTTAATGTTTCATCCATGCTTAGATCAAGTGTTTGATAAAACTAGGTGTCTGTTTTGTGATGTACCTGCACATCAAGAAAATCGAGTGTTGGGTTCAAAGTCTTTTGTAGCTTTGGAGAATAGCTTGTCTAAGCGAACTAATTATGTCTCAGAGACGCCAGAAGATCGAGAAACGGAGGCAGCTGTTGATGAACCTTAAAATTGAAACATTACTACATTTGTAAATATTTTGCATAAAATTCATAAATGTTAAATTAAGTTAATTCGTAAAGACAGTTTTTACAAACAAGAAATCAAACACCTCCACCCCATTGATGTATATACTCAGTATTTTTAAAGGCTTAGAAATTAAGTTAGTGAAAGTGTGAAGAAAGCCAATAAAATTATTTTATTTTATGTATGTCTAGTTTGACAAGTTCGTGTTGGCAGCAGATTAAAGGTTGGCTATGACCGAGTTTTTTTAGTATTTCTACTAGACTCTAATTTCCACCTGTTGAATGTATCCTAATAGAGTATAACTATGTACATCTATATAAATTTGCAGATTCTGTTGTAATGAAATATATCATTTGAAATTTAGCAAATTTTATGAAGTATTTCATCGTCAGGGGGCAGCAGCAAACTATGTGTTCACTGCAGTTGCGTCTACAGCGTGTATGCTTATATATAGATGGAGATGATCTGAGAGAGAGTGCTTGATTTTGGAAAATGAATCAATTCGTTGTTTGTCCACTAGAGGCATAACGATGATGGTCGAGAAGCGCCAAAGTTTCGAATGGCGGCCACAAGCGGAAGACGGTGCGCGACACCACGCGTGAATCCATTACACCTGTCAGCCATGGACAGTTAGCCGATTAGGCTTGTTGCGCATAGATGGTGTGACACGCGTCAGCACGCGCTACGACGCGATCCGCTCGCGCCGTGGAACGGGAACCGTCATCCTCTCCCCCGTTGAAACTTCTACAGAATCCCGAACATAGGGAGATGTTATGTCGAAATCAATTCAGCAAGAGTTTGTTAACATGTATAAGGAGGACACTGACTCTAGTTCTGGTAAAGAATTTCAGAAATTAAAGATTTCTCATGATAGTTCTATGCGCACAAAAAAGTTATCAATATCAAATATCATAAAACATGCAGAAGGTAAAACTTTGATCAGCAAAGCGCAAAGTTTGCATTTTAAATCTCGGATGGTTAAGATTTTAAATAGATTCAAGGAGGTTTGCTCAGAGTATGAGTTAGAGATGGAACATGTAAAATGGAAACACTTCAAAAAAAAATTAATACATCAAGAATTTGCGAATAATGTAATTTTCCGAACAATGAATGTAATTACCAAACTTAAAAAGGAGCTGGAGGAACAAGAAAATGAATTAACGAATTTTCATGATGAATGGAATAAGAAGTGTAGTCTACAAAGTGCTGGTGATGGTAGTTCTTCAACTGAAAACGAATTATTAGAGATTGTAGAACTACAAGACAAATCTGATCGATCAAAGAGTAATTCTTGTTCGGAGCAAGAAAGTAAAGTTTCAGAATGTGACAGCGAAGAAATATTTTCTGCACATGAAGCTACTAAAACAGATACGAAAAAGAATAAGGAAAATAAAATTTTAGATCCTATTGAAAGAACAGATAAATCAGTGGATAATACTAACGAAAATTCATTGTCCTCAAGGGGTAGTGAAGTTATGTCCCCTGTTTTAGGTAGCAATAAAGAAAAAGAAAAATCTGATGAAATACATTCAAAGGACAAATCTAAAGTAACTTATACAACCAAAGTAATATCTAAGGAATCTAAAGAACAAGAGATGAATGATTCTACAAAAGATATATTTGATGTATCAATAGGTGAAAATGATGAAGCTGAAAATACTTTGCAAGAAGAGGAAAGAAAACTTGAAGAGCAGGAAGAAAACATAGTAGACAATGAGGAAACACAGACAAAAATTGACTCAAATGATAATAACGATTTGCTGGAAAATCAGATATCAATTGTAGAATTTGATAATAAAGAATTGGATGCAAAAGGAGAAATAACTGTTGTGCTTGAACCAGTTCTTTCTAAAGAAACAACATCATCGAAAACAGATGATGTTGAATCTGTAGAAACAGTTATAATTGAAAAGGATGCGACAAATTTTTCGGACATACTTGATGAAGAGCAAGCCAAAAAATTATTGTTAGATTCGGATTCAGAAACTCTTTCAATTGATGAATCCATGTCTGAAAAGTCCAATAAAGCTTCTGCAGAAGGGAATACGAAAGAAAAATCTCCATCGCAATCAGGAAAAGGAAAACCTAGAAAGAAGCACAATCTAGACGATATCTCTAGGAATGAAAAACGTTCATTAAATAAAAGGGATGTTATTAAGGAACTTTGTGCTAAACACGATCGTCTTCTTAATTCTGATTCAGACATCTCTATGGATTCTCCTCCTACAAAAAAACTATCTAACGAATTTCATGAATCAGAAGATAATAGTGAGAATAGATACGCAAAGGCATTGCTATTAGCTTCTTCAAATAGTGAAAACTCAGGTTCCGAAAACAATAATAGTTCAAAAATCACAAAAGTTGGTGATTCTTCAAAGAAACAGCAAGAAAATAGTAAAGAAGATTCTTCGCAAGATGAGATTCTGTCAGATTCGCAAGGTAGTATTAGTGAAAGAACGAAGAAAAGACGAAAGACGGTAACAAATATGGACAATTTTAAGTCTGATGAAAAGTTAAGTATGGAATGTGAGGTTGTTCTTGAAAGATTGCCCAAAGAAATTCTTAAAAAATATGCAAATGCTTTAGATAAATCTCGTCAATATTTGGACAGTAAACAGATTATAAGGTATAATTCAATTGAAACAACTTTTATTGAATATTTTTTTTTCTTGTTACATCTGTTTATCGATACGTTTTTTGTTATTTTTTGCAGTCTCATTAACTTGGATACACTTCAAAGGGATTCCAAGAAAACCAATGATCCATCGCGGAACTCTTCGTTTCCGAAAAAGTCTAAAATAAGACAAGAAACAGAAGACTCACTGTTGGATCATTTGAAGAAAATAGAAAATGGAGAATTAATCGAAAACTCTAACGAAGATTCTAACGAAGATTCAGACACTAAAAGTACACTTAACACGGTGAAGTGTAAGTTTACAACTAATGAAGAACTCATGGTTGAAGCTGATAGAGCAACAAAGAATATTCTTTTAAATTCTTCGGACACCGACGTTGGTAAGTTCTTAGAATAATTATATTTAAAAAATTTTTTTGGCAAACTTGAAGATCAAAATAAGATTTAAGTCATATACCTTCAGAGAATCAGAATGTGGCTCCAAATGACAACGATAGCGACGAAGAAAACCTTAAAACTAAAGCAAGTGGTAATAAAAAGAAGTTGCGAATGGAAAAGAAAGATTCTACTAGAGATAAGGTAACTATACGGTACAAATAAGTTATTCTGTTATCTGGAATAATTAGTGGTAGTATGTATAATAGAATAATCTTTTAATATTAAATTAGGACGATTCAGACAAGCAGGAGAATAGTAGATGGAAACGGGATAAAGTATTAACAATTAAATTTTCGGACACAGATTCTGACGTAGAAAAAGAAAAGTGGAAGATAAAACAAGAAAAACTGAAGGAAAAGGAAGGAAAAAGCGATACGTAGGTTATTTGACGTTGTTACTAGTTAAGTATGAAACATAACAAGTAAACTGTCAAACTTTTTGTAAATAGAGAAAGTTCGGATGTCAATGAGAAAATTAAACCACGAAAACGGAATGTTCGTAAAAAAATTCTAAATTCCGATTCGGATACAGAGCTTGTGAAGTCTGACTCGAATTCTGATAAATCTATGACATTGGCAGATAGTGCATCTTTGGATAGCGATTCATCCGTAGAAAAAAAGCAAAGAAGGACACGTAAACGAAAGACACGTAAATCATCTGACACAGATTCGTCACTTGCAGAAAAAAAGTATATTTTTACTGTTACTTAGCAACAGAACGACACGTATGTAAACAGAGTTTTTTAACTTTATATGAATGCTGCATTGTTACGATTACAGATCAAAACCGAAAAGAAAACGCATTAAAAAAATGGACAGTGACTCTGACGATGATTCCAATAAAGAGGAAATTACTAGTTCTCAAGGAACGCCTGGTAAGACACGTCGCAGGAATATTCGGAAAGTACTGAAAGACAAACAAGTCGCAGATGACACAAAACAGGCTGCGAAGGAAGAGGAAGAACGAATTAAACGCATTGCTGAGCGACAAAGATTAGTATGTCCTTTGTTAAATACGATTGATTTAATTTTCGCTTACAAATACACAAAGAAATTACCGATGTTTTTTTTTTCAAATTAGTACAATGAGATGTATGAGGCAAGATTGGCTAGTGAAGAAAAGGTAGACAAATTGGTATTAGATTTTAATCCAGAAACAAAAGAAGAGATTGTATGCGTTCACGAAGACTTGGTGAAACGCTTGAAACCACATCAAGCTAAAGGAATCAAATTTATGTGGGATGCTTGCTTTGAATCTCTTGAACGGACAAAATCTTCACCGGGATCTGGATGCATACTCGCGCATTGTATGGGCCTTGGAAAAAGTCTTCAAGTAATTGCTTTAGCGCATACACTTTTAAGGCACGAAGAAACCGGTGTGAAGACCATTTTGATTGTTTGTCCTTTGAGTACGGTACTTAATTGGTTCAATGAATTTAAGTTATGGTTGAATGACGTTGAAGATAACAGCGACATTGATATTTATGAATTGACTAAGTAAGTTTCACCTATATATTTTCATATAAATTATGCTTATATAACACATTTACAATCGTAATATTTGATTATAAATCTGCTAAAGAATGAAGAAGAATATAGAGAGAAAATACCAAATGGAATCTTGGCAGAGGAGAGGTGGCGTCCTTATTATTGGTTATGAAATGTTCAGAAATCTGAGTGGTGCACAGAATAGAATGCGAAAAAGTATGAAAGAGGACATAAAACGTTGCTTGATAGATCCTGGTCCAGATCTAGTTGTTTGCGATGAAGGTCATCTATTGAAAAACGAAAACACTGCTCTTAGTAAATCTATGACGAGTATTAGATCATTAAGGAGAATTGTACTTACGGGAACGCCACTTCAAAACAATTTGATAGAATGTGGGTATTTACTAGTATCGAATAACAAACACATGTATGATCGAAGTAATTTTTAATCTATTTCTTATAGACCACTGTATGGTACAATTTGTGAAACCGAAACTTCTGGGAACAAAAAAAGAATTTTTGAATAGATTCGCAAATCCAATAATGAACGGTCAATTCGACGATTCTACCGAATATGATGTTAAATTAATGAAAAAACGTGCTTATGTTTTACACAAAATGTTGAAAGGCTGTGTACAGAGATTCGATTACTCAGTATTAACGCCTTTCTTGCCACCGAAGCAGGAATACGTAATTTTTGTACGCTTATCAGATGTTCAAATTAAAATGTATCGATATTACTTGGACAACTTGGCTTAGTATGTAAAACTAATTTCTTATGTTAATAAAATAATTTAGTTACAGCTTTTTATTTTTTTAACTAGTGTCATACTGTTTCTTTTTTCTTTTTAGCCGATTACGTGCTTCAACTGGCGGAGCTCTTTTCAGAGACTTTCAAACACTGCAGAGAGTATGGACGCACCCGCTAGTTTTAAAAATAATGCAGTTAAAACAGAATGAGAGGAAGCTTTCAAGCGATTCCGAGGGTTCGCTGAAAGACTTCATCGATGATGGGTTAGATTCTGAGAGTACCACCACTAGCTCGAATTCTTCCAAAGAGGATATTATCGAGAGCAACCAACCGAAGCATACCAGAAGTACAAGAAATAACGAATCTGGTACGATTCCACATTGTGTTTGTCCATTAATTTACGGTCAAATATACATTGTATAATGAACTGTAATAATCTTCAGACGTTGAAGTAGTTCCCGAATCTGAGAAAACTGAGCAGGATGATTGGTGGTCACAGTTCATTGAGCCTGAACATTTGGAGGACATGAAGGTTTCCTCCAAACTGGTGCTTCTTTTTGGTATTCTAAAAGAATGCGAGCAGATCGGTGATAAACTGTAGGTGTTTTGTATATTGCGCTAACAATCTTCGACCATTTTTAATTCTGAAAATTTTCAGTATCTATATGCCATTTACGAAATTATTTCAGGTTGATATTTTCACAATCTTTATGCTCGTTATCTATAATTGAAAACTTTCTGAACAAGATCGATGAACAGACACGAGAGGAAAAGAAACAGAAAAAAGGAAATACGGGATTCATGGAATATTCGGGTAGATGGTCATTAGGTTTGGATTATTTCCGATTGGACGGTCAAACGTCTGCCGAAAACAGGAGTAGGTGGTGCAAAATATTTAATAAATCAACGAATACAAGGGCAAGGTTGTTTTTGATATCGACACGAGCAGGTGGATTAGGAATTACATTAACCGCTGCTAATCGAGTTATTATTTTTGACGCAAGTTGGAATCCTTCCCATGATGTACAGAGTATATTCCGTATATATAGGTATGTTATCTCGAATGGTAAAAAAGAAAACAGTTCATAATTGTATTGCAACATGCATAAAATTGATAGGTTTGGCCAGAAAAAGCCGTGCTATGTTTATCGATTCTTAGCTGCTGGAACAATGGAAGAAAAAATATATAATAGACAAGTGACGAAGCTGTCGCTTTCCTGCAGAGTTGTCGACGAACAACAAATAGAACGTCATTACAGCAATCATGATTTGAATGAGCTGTACACGTTCGAACCGAATACGGATGGAGAAAAACCAACTCTAAATTTGCCCAAAGACAGATTACTAGCAGAAATATTTTTGAAATATAAGGATTATGTGGAGAACTACCACGAACATGATTCTCTTTTAGAAAATAAGGTGATCGTAAATTAATGTATTGCCTTGAAAATCTGAGTATGAAATACAAATTTATTTTGCTCATGTTGATCTTATTTCTATAGGTCGACGAAGAATTGGATGAAGAAGAAAGAAAACAAGCTTGGTTAGAGTATGAAGAGGAAAAGAAAGAAAAACCAAAGCCAGTGTACACGGTAGCAGGAGCTTATTCGAACAATATAATGATGCCTACATACTTTAATGTTAATACGGATTATGCAAAACTTCAAGAACTTATACGCAAGGACGTAAGAATATTAACAAATTTTAAACTTCATGTTTGTACAAAAAGACTTATCAATGCAACTTATCAACGTTATATTGCAGTATCCAAATGCAACACCTGAATACCAACAAATCATGACAGCTCGGGCATTAACAGATATGTATAGTTATTGGGAAAGACAAGCTTTCCACAATACGACCGCACAACGAGCACCTGACAGCATGGTATGTTGAAAACTTCATACAATTAAAAAACACGTCATTAAAAATGGATTCGTTGGAATATGTACTAATTGAAGCTTTCTGATTGGTAGCTGACTGGTCTACTACAAACCCAGATGAGACCACAGGTGCCTACTATGGTTCGAGTCCCTAACATACTAAGGAATGCTAATGTCAATGTAAATGGTCAAGGAAGAGCTGATCTTCCTGTAAGTTATATGAGTACTGACCCAAAATCCGGAAACGCCGATGACGACATAATAGAGGTAATTGATGTGCAAATAAACATTTTATAGAATTAAAATTGTTTCGATATATTACGATAAAAATGAACTACACTTTTAATTTTAGGTTACAACAACCACAAGTAGTAAAAAGAATCAAGAAGAATGAACTGTGTATAAAAAGGGACTTCAAGTGATTACGAAATTATAATGAATGTTTTGTTTTTATCCGTTGCGACAATTATACGTTCTACACGATCATTCGGTTGGACAATCGCCTGCTACATAACATTTCATGCCGGTCTGATACTGATCCGTAGCTGAAATTTTTGTATTGTAGATGACACATCACACGTATGTAACACGTGTGTTTTTTTTGTGATTTATATACATGTTATAGGAGTTGCTTGTATACCTTACTTATGAATCTTTTACAGAATTTATTGTCGCGAAAGTCACTAGGAACTGTTGTCGTACATACAAGTATCACCAGTATTAATGTAATTATAATGTAACTGTAATCTTTCCTATTATAATATTATTATTATTATTATTATTATTATTATTATTATTATTAATAGAGTACTAGTACTTGCTTAATAAATATTTACGTTTTTCTAAGTATGTGTACTTCGGAAAATAGTAAATTTATAAGTATATTGCTATTGCCAGGACGACATTAAAAGTTCATTTTTCCAGGTAAAGCATATCTCCAGCCTCGTCGCAGTAAATCTTCAAGTTCCTCTTTTTGTGCCAGGTATCCTGGAAAGCCTACCAGATTTTTATTCTCATCCTTGTCGATTTCATGATCGTACAATTCTTCTGCAATAATATCATTCCAATCTGGTACTCTTGCACGAGAATCAAATCGCAGCCAAGCTGTGTAACGATATCTGTTTGTCCTTAAAGTATATCCCATAGCTTTTATATTCTTTAAACGAGGTTCGTCGCTACTTGGGTGCACGGAAGGTTTAATACCCGGTCTTGGATATTGTCCAAAAGCTGCTTTTTTCCATGGCAAAAACTGCAAATTTTTTAACACGAGCTATATACGTTATTTTGAACGTTACATCTTTATGGTTGTTACCTCTTGTTTTAAAGCGGCTTGTAGAAGTGGCATAAGAGAAACACCTTCACTACAGGTGGTTTCTGGATGTATAAAATCTTGTTCCATACGATCAATTTCTTTTTTCTTACTTTCATCGAAACAAATTGGTATTGGAATGTTCGCCAAATCTGCGATAGTTGGAAAAACATCAACCAACTCGACTAGAGAATGTACAAGTACTGAGTTTGTTGATAGATACAATCTATTTTTTGTTAAGCCTGGAATGTATATTATTAAGGGTACTCTCAAAGTAACATCGAAATTACTATATTTCGCCCACACTGCGTGTTCGCCTAACGACCATCCTGTTCAAATATTAATATTCAATATACGAAGAATTTGGAGTACCATATTATATTTAAGTATCATAACTCACCATGATCAGATGTTAGTATTATAGTAGTGTTCTGTCGAATTGACAAAGTGTCTAATTGATTAATTAATTTACCGATTAGATCATCAATATAAGTCACAGATGCATAATATGCTTGTATAATTAATTTAGCAAAATTATCTGTAGATTAAATCACAGTGAAAGTGTAAACATTTTAATAGTAACACAAACTTTATACCTGGTATTTTCTCCCATGGGAATTTAAGATTTAATTTTTCAATGTCCTTCCTCTTTCTTAAATCTATCCAAGGATTATAAGCAATGCTACTAATATTCTTTGGCCATTTATACGGGTCAGGTACTTTAAATTTATGCAGTGGGTGATGTTCTGAAAAGTATTATCTGTAACTATATCCTGCAACGTTGAGCACAATAGTGATAAGTAGTCATACTAATAAAATTTACTTAAATATTTTCTAGGATATTTTAGAGGTATATGAGGTTTCTGAAATCCAACTGCCAGAAAGAAAGGGGTGGGATTCCTTGCATGGTTTTGTATAAAATGTTTAGCTTCCTTTAGTATTTCTATGTCTGGCAGTGTTTTATTTGGCATTGATGATACTTTAACTGGACACACCTAAAAGCAGCCTTCAAATAGTATTACTAATATACATATGTAATTTATTGTTTACAGAAATAATTGACAATCATAACCAGATTTTGTGCAGGTAGTGTTCTTAAATTCGTTTGGCAAACTGGAGCATCTTTGTACCTCTCTGTATATGGGTGAAAAGGTACTTCCGTCCACGAGTAAGGACTGTCATCAGAGTTGTTTGAACTTATTCCTGTGCAAAATTTTATAAGAATGTGTATAATAATTAACATACATTGGTATTTTGCAGATTACATACCTGGATGAAAGACTTTTCCTATAGATTTAGTAATGTATCCATTATTCTTTAGATGTTGCGGTAATGTTGTAAAATTACCAATATCTTTTCGCCAATAACTATAAAAGTCATAAAGTTGGAGTGTATCTGGTCTCCTACTTGTTAAAAATGAATTTCTACTTGGTGCGCACAAAGCTTGCTGCAAATAAGTAAATTTTGGTACATCATTTTTGCATGTTTATTTATACAATACATACTTTCTTTTACCGTTATGAGTGTATTTTAAAAGTATTCAGTGCGGCGCTAACCTGGGCAAATGCTTGTGTAAAAATGGCAGCCCCTTTTGCTAATCGGTTTATGTTCGGTGTATAAGCCTTTTCATCGCCGTAACATTCTAAAGTCGTTCTCAAGTCATCGACAATTATTAGAAGAATATTTTGTTTTTGTGCTATGCACCAAGCAATTGAAACCATAAAATATAATATAAAAAACATCCTTCATAACGTAGAACAGAATGTGTACTTATATATGTACTCTACCTAAATAGGTATTGACAAAAAAGAATTCTATTTAAAATAACAGTTTAGACTTTCGTACCTCATTAATCTTTCCCAATGGAACAAAACATTTATTGCTATACTTATAAAAGTATGCAACTTTTGTAGGAAACTTTACTACGAAATTTTAAATAGGTATAGCAGGGGCAACAAAATTAGGTGAAACACATTGTATAAAAAATATTTTTGTTTGATTTATCAAGTATTTTATAGTTCTGAATAACATGACTGAAATAGATATGTTGAACAACAAAAAGGGATAATGGAGTGGGTTGGATTTGATTGCATGCAGAAAAATTTTTTAACTCACTATTGCACTTTATTTTTCAACGTACAGACATACAAATAAAAATGCTATGTAATACTTACAATTCTACAATATCTAGTACAATAACTACAATGATATATGTAATATAAATTACATTAAAATGATACAATAATATAAAATAGTAAAAATCAGTATGGAAAGTTAAGAATTTTATATAACATGCGCAAAAATTACTGCAGCAAGTTCATTGTTTCTTTGCACATTATTTTTAAGTTTGCCAAACCAGGCTTATCAATCTACGAAATTGTATTTATGGTTGCATTCATTGAGTGTTTAATTGAGATTTAATGTTTCGAATCTGTCTGAGTTGTTTTTCATATGTTCAATATAATACAAACCATTTGACGTACAACATTTGTTGCTTTGTTTACAGTATATTTTCAATATAATATCATTACACAAAAGACAAGAATAACATAATTATTACCAAAATGTTTCACTATTAAATGTACAAAAGAATTTAACATTTGTTCAAGTAATGTGTCAAGTTAGAAAATAGCTATGTATCGTATAAAGTTTTCATTTGTATTCGGATAAGAAGTCATAGAAAAACGACTCAGCAGTTTTCTTTCTATTCTGAATCCGTAGTATTCAGAATTAGAATCGTAAAAATGTGAATATTAAACGAGGGTCGTTGCACTCAAAATAGTGTTAAAAGCGTAGTAAGGAGTGACTAGTTAGAGAGATGAAGAATACAAAAGAGCTGAATAGCTCGTAGAGAGGAAGGAACAATAATATTTTTTAAGTCGAATGCTTACGGCCCTAGTAAAATACTCCAATTTATACTGCTACAATTATTTATCATCATTGAAGATATTAGCCTGTCTCGAATCAATCTCGGGTTTCTTTCTTAACAATCGATGATAATCTTTGTTCATCGGTATTTTTCGTACAGTCATTTACATTAATATTATGCTTTCCCTTAAAGTCAGTCTTAAAATTTACTTGCGGGCTGGTAGTATCATCTTTGAACACTTCGGTATAATGAAAACTACTCCCATTTCCAGTCTTTGCGTTTGTGCTAGCATTATTGCCAGAACCATTCGAATGCATTTCATTAAAGTGTTTATACAGCATTACAGTCGTACTGAACTCTGCTTCACATCCTGGAATTTTGCATCTAAAACATGTTCTTCTTTAGAAACATGTTATAAGCTGATAATTTTATAGTTGTCTTACCGAAATACTTCATTATTCTTAGCTCCTTGAACTACTGGCAGTTTCGAGTTAGCATGATTGTCCTGGTAGTGTTTCCATAAACCAGTTACATTGCTCACTTGTGCTCCACAGCCAGGAATCTTGCATCTAATTAAGAAGTAATGAGTTAGAAATAATGAAAATAATTTTTCCTTTAAACGTAAACTAATAACTATTACTTAAAAATATTTTTAAACTTACAGGAAAAAACTGACGGTCGACGCTTTGCCTTGTTTTAGTTTCATTATTGATTTGTTAGAATTTGAACTAATTGTATTGGCTCCTAATTTATGACTGTCTTGATGATGACGATAATGGGATATGTATTTATATTTTCTCCCACAGCCATTAGTGGCACACTTGTATATTTCTTGTTTGTATCTAGACATCCGTTGTTTCTTCGGAGTATATTCTTCGTCATCGGAACAGTTGCTGTTTGTTTCTATAGCGTTCTCTTCATTTTTCGTAGCATCACGATTCAAATCATTTCGGAAGATTCTTTCAATATTATCCAACTCTATTCTGTGTTCCTGACTCCTTGAGTTCATAGTACATATCTCGTTCTTTGAATTTTTTGTAATGGTAATATCTCCGTTCACGTATACTACGTTAGCTTTTTCTTGGGAATGTTCTGCTTGCAGTTCTGAACATTTGTTCGTATTGCCCTCATACTTACAGAGGAAATTATCTGTACTTAACATTAGACTTTCAGGCATAGGAAATGCACCCACTTCATTCAATGACTCTGTGGTGGAAGAGTGATCTTCCTTCTTAGAGTTATCGTTTGGAGCATTCTGATCATGAGGGACATCTTTCTTTTTCTGCTGTATATTGTCATTTCTATGAATACTTTGTTCATTATTATCATCATATTGGTGTGCTTTTATTGCAAAAGTTTCGTTCTGTCTTTTCTCGTAGCAATCTTCTGTACTTTGTACAACTTCTTCATCCATGGCATTCTCCAGATCTTCAAAGCATATAACTTCTGGTTCAGTTGGCAGTGTTGGTGGTTGTCTGTGATAGCTTTCGATATGTTCCTCTAAATTACTACTGGTTGTATGTAAAGACCCACAATTTGTGTATGGACATATAAATACATTTGTTTCATTATTATGCCATTCTTGATAATGACGCCACATACTTCCAGGATCTGACAATTCTTCTCCACATCCTGGTTCCCGGCAGCTGGATACATGAAAACATTACACAAACACTAGATATTGTATCGCAAAAAAGTAGAAGTGATTTTTACAGTAAATTAATATTCTGGGTCAGCAAGTTAACTTACATAAATCTAATTTTTAAGGCCTCCAGAGCCTCGTGTGTTTTGTATTCATCTTGATTGGTAAATATTTTGCCACAACCTCGTTGTTTGCATGTGTATATTTCCTGAAAAATAATGATAATTCGTTATAAGAATAATCTAATGCAAAGTAGTTAGAGAAAACAAGCGAACAGTGAAGCATACGAATCAGAGTTGGGAGTAACTTTATTTAATACATGAAGAGAAATTATAGGGAGAAATTTTTTCATTTGAAAAATGGAAATTCCCACATTTCTTCAATGAAAACTCGACAGCTGGTTTCTTATCTTTTATTCGTTAGACGGGGACTCTTTATCTAGATAATAAATTTCGCCAATCCTGACGATAACTCGATGAATGCAGATAAACGCGATACGATTTGTTTTGAGTTAGGGGTCATTGAACCTGTTAAATGGCTCCGGCAGTTTTACCTTTTTTGGGGCGATTTCTTCAACAGTGCGATTCCTCGACACGAATCGGATGACGCTTACTTCGGTGGGACGGTCCGTGCAGGTGTCCGTACCCTGGCCCATCCTGGCCGATATTTGAGAAAAACGGCTAATGACGACGCGTTTCGTGGCCTCACATAACCTGCACTCACCGACGATGGTTCGGTAAGGAATCTTTCCTACAGCTTGAATGAAAGTCCCAGACGCAGGATCATTTCCACGAACGGGATACTTTGTCGGGCTACTTACCAACAAAGTGCGCTCCCGTTCGCGCCGAAATACCTGTCCTCTTGCACCTCACATTATAACTGTCGTCAATAGTATCAATCACTTGTTGTCATTTCAGTGCAACCGGACCACTGTCGCTTTTTCCGTCCACCATTAATGTTCCTCACGTTTCCAAATACGATTGAGAACCGCTGCCAGAGGATGCGCCCTTCGGAGCTCAACGGATATTACTTTCGCCTGACAAATCGGTACTAACCACAATAACGCAACTATTGTAGCTGGATATGTAAAGTGCATATTTCGACATTCGACGTTATTCATTCTCCGATCATTTTAAAATTGTTACGGTAAATGATTCCTTCAAGAAAGAAACTTTATTCGGATTGATGCATCCCCAGCGCGTGCGTAGGATGCAGGAGCACCCGTGTTTAGCAAATATTGCAGGATCGCAACAATAATGGCGTTACTTTGAAAAGTTTCACTTTCTTTCCCAGAATAATTGCTTTAACTGTTCTGAGTCACTCAATCGATTATTCTTTACAGCAAGGGAAAGAAGTTGGCAGCCAACGGGGAAATTGAATTCGATGTGTACCGATCCCCATACGTGATTGTAATGAATGTAGATAAGTTTTCTTTTTATTTCTTTCAAATTTGTACCGTCTCGTCATTTTACTAGAAAAACTGCAGTACATTACTTACGCCTCATATTATGGAATAGGTTATATTAAGTACAACAAAGTTGGACAGTGTTTTTAAAATTCGATTGATTTTTGTTGTTCACGCGATAGTATACAGGGTGGTACTATTTCAAACCACTAAATACGATACGATCAATTCGAATAACGTATTAACGTAAAAAAATGTTAATAACATTTTATATGATTCAGTCAAAGAATTATAGACGTTACGGAAATCTTCTATTGGATGATCGAATGAGAGCAATTCACCGTTTTCTGAAGACGAAATCCCGTAATGGAGGTATTATATTTTACATTATTCATTTGTTTTCGAATGAGTGTAATCTTACGCGAGCATGTACATTATAGATTATCGGTCACACTGTATACGTATGGTGTTGACGCGTCAACCGTTTCTGCGTGGATGTCAGTCGGGTCACTGTCAGCAAGGATATGCCCAGACACGTTAGTATCGATTTACCTTGGTACCTGGTTTGTTGTGTTGCTAGACAGTTTATAAATAATTTAGTCAGATCACAGTGCGGAAAACTGATGCAGTTGCAGTTTAAATCGAAGGATGCATATCCTCCACACGTTACTTATTGCAACGATTCTGCGGTCCTACCGATGCAGCAGTTACGTTAACGGTCAAGGTCAGCATGCTTTTTTTAAATTCGATCATTCACACTTATTTCTTTCGTTTACATTTTTCTAACGCTTACGTCTTTGTAGATGAGTTTCAAAGGACAACAAATGACGAAGACGAGTCTCCAGTGCCATCACACGTAACAGTCACATCCTGGAATGTAAGTTTCATTGTTTAAAAATTAAACCAATGTACAATGTGTTGCAATATGTGGTCATTAATTAAGGAATTACTGATCTCTATCATTTACGCGTACATGTTATGAAACGCTCTCTTCTACCCCAAGAGGATTCAAAGACATAAAAATGTATACCTGTCGCAGGACATGCCGTTTTCTGGAATCGCGAAGGAGAATGGGACATGGGTAGGCAAAGGATATGCGTTCAACATCTTCGATTTGATTAGTTCCAAGCTGAATTTCACGTACACCATTGTTCCGCCGAACAAGCACATCCTCGGGGACGAGAATAGCGGTATTCTTGGTCTGCTTCACGAAAAGGTGAACAATTTAGTCGAATAAGATAATCGAACATTGAACACAAGACAGAAGTAGTATGAATGATTATTATTATTATTTCAACAGAAGGTAGACGTGGCAGTCGCATTTCTTCCGGTTTTATCGGAGATGCGACACTACTGCGAATTCAGCAGCTTTTTGGATGAAACCACATTAACGGCTGTAATGAAGAGGCCACACGAGTCAGCTACTGGTTCCGGTCTTCTAGCACCGTTCGAGAAAACAGTCTGGCTTCTGGTTCTAGCATCTTTGGTCTTCGTGGGACCTGTTATTTATATCTTCGCCCATATCAGGTGCTTAAAATCCTAAAAATCTTTTCTTATGATGGCGTTCATCAGTTACTACTTTAAATGGAATGGATACTTATCAATCATTTTCATCCGTTGTTGCAGGGCAAAGCTATGGCACGCCTCGAACTCTGAGAAGTTTAGTTTATCTTCCTGCTTCTGGTTCGTTTACAGTTCTCTTCTGAAACAGGGAACAAACATTGTCGCCACGACAGGTGACACGATCGAAGATATGATTATCGTATTTGATAATAATTACGCACACTTTAAACGTCTTGGAATTAAATCGGAATCCCTTAACACGTAGATTCGACGCGGATGCTTTTCGCAACCTGGTGGATTTTTATATTAATATTAACGTCCTTCTACACGGCGAACCTTACGGCGTTCCTGACGAAGCCCCAATTTACCTTGTCCATCAGTTCTCTGGAGGATATTGTCCACAAAGGATACAATTGGGTCACTTATAGAGGACGCACCGTTGATTTTCTTCTTTCGCAAGTGAGATTCGGATGTATTCCTGCGATCGTTCCGCGTACAAATTAACGAACAGATAACCGTCTGAAAATTATTTCATGCAGGACCATTATAACGATTTAAGTTTATTGAATGTCAGCAAAGGGCAGGGAAAAGGCGATTTCAAAGATTACGAACCATCGAGGGCCATATTGAAATCTGTGAGCACGAGTATGTATTGAACACTGATGGATTAAGTAGAATGAAACTTTAATGTTAATGGATGACAGTATGTATTATAGAGGTCACATACGTGCATTTTAGTAATTGGTGGTGCAATTATTTATAGTACTGAAAACAATGGTGTATAGATACAACTGGAAGTAGTATTCTATGTTAATATTATTCTCTTTTAGGAAAACTTTTCTTAGCAGAGGCACATTATCTGCAAACATTAATATTCAGGGATTATGTAAACAAAACTCACAATAACATGGACCACAGCTTGCGTTGCACCTACGTTATAATGCCTGGAAGCATCTTAAGCATACGTCGAGCATTTGGCTTTTCTAATGGAACAGCAATTCGAAAACCCTTGAACAAAATGTAAGTTTCATTTAAAAGAGACTGAAAACAGGATTACTGTTCTGCTTGTTAAATTTGTTATGAATTTACAGGTTGATGAGACTGGTAGAGGCAGGCATTATTCAGCACAGGCACGAAGAGGATCTGCCATTAGCGGAAATTTGTCCTGTGGATCTTCGTTCGACCGAGAGACGGCTCCGAAATACCGATCTTCTTTTAACGTATAAAGTTGTCGTGGCTGGATACGCGATCGCCGCGATTCTATTTTTCTTTGAAACAATCTATGCGTTTGTAGCAAGTCGAGTGAAAAAAAGTAAGCAAACGGATACGCGTAATTCTCTTTCTCTGGTAGCAACGGCGAAAGATCGTTTGTATACAGAACTTTCTTCTAAGAAGCAAGCGAATTTCTCGAAAGGAAGTCCACAAACGATGTATAATAACGATGGTCAGAATGTCTTGGACCAGAGAAAGCAAGAATTTATCAACGGAAGAAATTACTACGTGATTACTGACAGACAAGGCGATCGCAGATTGATTCCCACTAGAACGCCTTCTGCTATTCTGTTTCAATATGCTGCTTGATTTTGCATAATGTTCACACCAGCAACCAGTTATTACTATTATGATTCAGTCTAACACGTATCTTACAATGTTCTTTTTTAATTCTGAAGATAACTGAATACTGATTATTTATGGCGTTCATATTGTCGATTAGAATCTCCTTCATTGATGTATCATTCAATGAAAATTGTTGCGTTAAAATATTATTTTTTATGTCTGAACTAAAGGTTGACCTACTACTTTAACAAACATTCCACGTGCATATGTATTTTCATCGGATTTTCTTATATTTTACTAAAGAACTTATTTTACCAACTGCTATAATTGTATTTAAATAATATTTGTAATGTTTATTTTTAATAAAAGTAAGAATTTAAACAAGTGTTCAATTAGTTTGTTCATTATTCAATCCATACAACACTAATTAGACGGTATGTATGTACTTCTATTATATTTCCTAATTTATTTGTTTTGCGTTGTTGATTAATTGTATTAATTTCAATTAATTGTAATCGTTAGACTATAAATACATAACTGAGAACGTTCACGTAACAAATTTTAAAGGGTTTCATACAAAAGTAATAAGTTATTAATAAAGTCAGAAAGTGTTGTCCTTTCTGTAATGCCTGTAATGCGCAAGACAAGGAGCGACGATATGTGCGACAAGGACAGAGATAGCATTATACGTGCCACCTACTTTGAAAACGGATTCATGACCCCCTGGTACGTATTAGGCGAACAGGATGACCGAAGAGGTATTAGACAGAGAGGGCGCTATACGAACTCCGAATGTGCGACAAGGATAGACAATTTTCAGACCAGAAGCTTTAGCAGTGGAAATAGGCAAAATTTCGGCTCCTGGTACTAGGAATACAGAATAACCGAGGAGGTCGAAGAAAGTTGTAGACAAGGACAGAAGGTCTGTAGAGTGAGAGAGAGATAGTAAATTCCCGCCAAATTCCATAACCCAACTAACGTTAGAAAATTTACAAATATCTCAATATTTAAGAACAATTCATACCTATTTGCAACCGAAGAACATAGAACAGACCCCAGGCAATATTCACAACCCAGTTTTCGGTAACTTTGCCATCGAATTAATAAGTTATTAATGATTATCTCAACCGATGTTCAAGGATCGCATAATGTAAGTGGACACTGGCCACATTAATCATTAATTTATTATTCTAAGATACGCATTTAGTATACTTTTGCAGTTGAGGAATGTAGAATGAATCGCTAGCTAATTTCCCATACCCCTTTCGAATAGTTTTGAGGTTTAATTAATATGTTACGTACAAGTTTTTACTACGTTGATCGCAGTAACCTCACGCAATTCGACAGTCGCCCGTAATATTCATTATTTTCCTAGTTTTACGTTACAATCTGTGGTTCTATCTAGTATAACAGTCTAGTCTGGACCTCTAACAATCTTGATATGACAATTTGGAATACGAATGGTTTGTTATTAGGTAGTTATTAACAATTTCAGCAAGTGATGTCTTCTCTCGAATGCCTGTAATGTGTAAGACAAGGAGCGACGATGTGTGCGACAAGGACAGGGATAGCATCATCCGTGCCACCTACTTTGAAAACGGATTCATGATCCCCTGGTACGTATTAGGATAACAGGATGGCCGAAGAGGTATTAGACAGAGAGGGCGCTATACGAACTGCGAATGTGCGACAAGGATAGACAATATTCAGACCAGAAGCCTTACCAGTGAAAATCAGCGATTTTTCGGCTCCTGGTAGTAGGAATACAGAATAACCGAGGAGGTCGAAGAAGTTGTAGACAAGGACAGAAGGTCTATAGAGCGAGACAGAGATAGTAAATTCCCGCCAAATTCCATAACTCAACTAACGTTAGAAAATTTACAAATATCTCAATATTTAAGAACAATTCATAACTATTTGCAACTGAAGAACATAGAACAGACCCCAGGCAATATTCACAACCCAGTTTTCGGTAACTTTGCCATCGAATTAATAAGTTATTAATGATTATCTGAACTGATGTTCAAGGATCGCATAATGTAAGTGGACACTGGCCACATTATTCATTAATTTAGTAATCTAAGATGCACATTTAGTATACTTTTGCAGTCGAGGAATGTAGAATGAACCTCTAGCTAATTTCCCATACCTCTTTCGAACAGTTTTGAGGTTGAATTAATTTTTATGAACAATTTTTTGTTACGTTGATCTCAGTCACGTCACGCAATTCGACAGTCTCCCGTATTATTAATTATTTTCCTAGTTTTACGTCACAATTGGTGATTCTATGTACTCAGAAAGTCTAGTATGGACCTCTAACAATCTTAATATAACAATTTGGAACACGAATGGTTTGTTATTAGGTAGTTATTAACAATTTCAGCAAGTGTTATCTTCTCTCCAATGCCTGTAATGTGTAAGACAAGGAGCGACGATGTGTGCGACAAGGACAGGGATAGCATCATCCGTGCCACCTACTTTGAAAACGGATTCATGATCCCCTGGTACGTATTAGGATAACAGGATGACCGAAGAGGTATTAGACAGAGAGGGCGCTATACGAACGCCGAACGTGCGACAAGGATAGACAATTTTTATAGTAGCAGGCCCCTGCTATGGAATTCCGTTGTTTTTCGGCCTACTGTTTACACATTATTATTACTTTACTGCCCTTTCGCGTGGGATTAGAGTAAGGCTTCCTTAGTACAAGGTACACCGCAGCTGACATGCAGACTAAACACTAAAATAAACCGATTCAAAGTAAACTAAAATTCACATATAATTTATTTATTGTTACGTGTATTGTACGACACCAGGAGCCAAACATTTTGTACAATATCAGAGACTCTGGAAAATTTATACTTACCTCTTTTTAGTATTAATAATACATAATTTCTGCGATCGTGGAATGTGTAAACAGACTTTCATCTAGATGTATTGTTGCAGGAATTATATTACGTAGGATAAACAATAGAATTGTGAACGCATTAATTGCATTCAGCTATGAATCAAATGTTGATCTCAGGTGGACAGAAGGAAGGGAATCGGTAGAGAGAAAGGGAAGTAGGGTATCGATCATTTCGATAGCCAAGCGGACACATTTGGGCTATATCCGTGACGGTATCGAAATTGAGTAAAAAGACAGGTTGTCGATGTTACGTTGGCTTTATCAGACAAAAGATTGCGTAACAAAACGGCATTGCAAATAAAATGCATTACTTAACGATCCGACGGTATTTCGAATCACGTCCTCAACAAGAACAACGAGCCACGACGCGACCGCCGTCTGTAGTAATTGGTGTGTGTGTCCGGCGAAAGATGTAACGACACACAGGTAGTTAATCCACTTAACATTTAGACTGCCGGCATTTTTTTCATAAAAAACAGGTGGTGTCTTCTTTTGACCAAATATTTACGCACGTACATAGAGTAAACCAACCAGTAATTGACTGCATACCAATGGAGGACCATTAGGCAAAGACATGTAGATTATAAATGTAAAATTATTAAATATTTATAAATAGAGCGTAGTTGCACTTTTAATATCCTACATTTTTACTGTAGCGTATTAAGCAAACATTAACAAGTACAATTCTTATTAAAAATATTTCTTACCAAGTTCTGCACATTATACACAATAAGAATAAGCAATTATTTGTATAAAAATACCAAGAAAAACAAATCTAATTGCAATTTCAACATCTGTTTGCTCGTTATAAATAAATACTACATAACACACGCACTGCGCTCTGAATTTCGAATTTTATCAATGTATCAAACGGGATATTTCCGGGCAGTCTACAAGTTGAACTTCTGCCACTCACAATCGTACACACACGAATATAATCTGCGTTTATAACGTCGTAACAGTCTCGTAACGAAAAGCGAGGGAGGGTCTCGCTGGGGGTGGAATCAGTAACGATTCACGATCTGGTGGATCCAGTCGAGGTAATGGGAGACACGAGAATAGACGCCTGGGACGCCTGGCTGTCCGCAACCGATCCCCCAGGATACGATCCCTGCCAACTGCCAGCGACCGTGTCGTTCGCAGACCATTGGACCGCCTCCGTCCCCTTTGCACGCGTCCTTCCCATCTTCGCCTCCCGCGCAGATGAAACCTGGATGAAGGTTGAACCCGGGACCGAGTCGGGTACGACGCATCTGATGCTCGCAGATCTGATTGCTCACCACTGGCACGTCCACTTCCTTCAGGATGTTCTGGTACTTGCCGAAATCACCGAAAGCGTCCTTACCCCAACCAGTGGTCCAACATCTGGGGGGGGGGGGGTGAAAAAAGAGAACGGTTAATGTTGTTCGTGTGTTTTGTTATTATCATTGATGGTGACCCAAGGGCGAAAGAAATTATCTGTGGGTGATTGAAAAAAAGGGGTTCATAAACTGTGGGCTAAAAGTCGTAATAAATATGGAGCGAATGATTAATTATATCTGGAGCCAGACTGTATTAGGGTCACACTTCTTCAATTTCAGAGAGAAAATTAAACTTGCGAAAACCTTGTGGAACCGGTTCGGTAAGAATTGAACGAGAAACAATCGTCTATCTTCGAACTATTGTATGCATTTTAGATATATTGTCCCGAACTAGGGTCTGCGCTGGGACAATAATCTTAAAGGAAGAAATTCCTCAGAACCTTTTAATATCGTTTTTTTTTGGTTATTCTAAAATGTTCAGTAACTGAATTCCTATACGGTGTTCACCTGTTCTTCGCGAAATCGTCGCGTTTTTCCGGAAGACAGGCGGGGCTGATGTGCGGGTTCTTCTGAAAATCGACTTCGTGATCGATCCGCAATATCGCGATATCGTTGTACAGAGTGCCAGCGTAGAACTCCGGGTGCACGTGGACGTTCCCCACGTCCCGTTCTATGTACGGATAGAACTCGACGTCGTGGTTCACGTCCCATTCACCGAGTCGTACACGAAGGTCGCGAGCTGCGTACGTTTTCACGCAATGGGCCGCAGTTAGGATGTGCCTCGACGAGATCAGTGTTCCACCGCAGACGTACACGCTTTCCGTTGGGTCCTTCTTCAGGATCGCCACCTGCCACGGGTATTCACCTGCGAAAACGAAATGGGGTCACAATCGTTGATCCAGGAGATAAACACTATGGAAATATTCCACTCGAAATTCGACACTTTTTGCAGTAACATTTCGGGTTCTGTCGACATTTGGATATGTTGTAGTCTTTGGTGTTATATGCAAACGTATCTCGAAGGATTTTTGAATATTTTACAAATTTTTGATTTCACAGCTGTTTGAAATATAATGTCGATGTTTCTTTAATAAATCATAACTGTTCCTGACCGAAAATCTCCAATTTTTAGGTGTTCTTATTTTTCAAAATTTACCCAGACTGGATCCTGATATTTTTCGTACGTACCGAATTCAGCGTCACCGTCGACGTTCACAGGCGTCTTGATCCTTCCATTGATGCCCTGCGTGTACCGAACACCGCATTGGCCGGGTCTTGGTTTCGCGATCTGTTGTCTTCTGCGACAGCAGACCAGTCCTGGGCTGCAGGCACGTGGACCACCGACGACGAACTGTCTCTGTCGAGAAAGAATAGAAAATCTCGTTGGACGACGAGCTTCTCGACGCATCGAAACCGAGTGAAACGGGGAAACGTCGCCCTTGGACTATAAAGGCCCATTTATACACATCCGTTCCGTGCCCGATCCGAATTGATTACATATAGGTACAAGAGGTTGATGCGACAATAAATAAACAAAATAAAAAAAAAAAAGACTTAAATTCGTCATTTCGCATTTGTGGTATTATTTGGCGTCTAGTATATAGGAGTTTATACTCATTCAGGTGTGTGTATAAATAGGCCTTAAATCAGCAAAGAAGGGGGCGTATGGGGAGGCCTGTAAAAATGGCGACCGCTACCTGTTGCGCTCGAGCTTCGTCGTTGACGATCTCTCGTCCTCCCATGGTTTCGATACTCACCTCTGTCTCCGAAACGTACCGAACGTCGCGTTTTCTTCTGTTCGGAAACGATACCTTGCCGACGGCGCTCGGTACCGTGCCAGTCGCCTTCGGTCTTTCGACACTGGCCGCACGTGCATCGGTACTGATCGGTTCGTTCGATCGCGACCGGCCGTCGTACTGGTTCGCGAACGAGCGATCCTCATAATCGTAATCGTAATCGTCTACGTCACGATAATAATCGGTGTATTCCGCGTGATTCGTGTACGATGATGGTTCGCGATGATAATGCGGATTGTGGGACGGATAGATCGGTTTCGTATAATACGGCTTCTCGTAGTATACGTTCGGCTTCGGCGGATAGTGGTAGTGGGGGGCGTAACCGGGCCCGTAATTCCCGTACAACGCCTGTTTCTTGTTGGCTAGCAGCTGACCGAGGCCCTGCACGATGTGCCGGCTCGGTGTCACGTGGAAATTGACAAACGGTTTCACCACCTTGTCGCCGTACTCGTCCTTGGTGAACTGTACGGCTAGCAGCGGGTTCACGGAAACCAGGCCTAAATTAATGCCCTGCTCGGGCTGGTAACCCCCCGGTCCGTAACCGGTGTACGGGTTTACCAGAGGATTGCCACCGTACGGATTGATCGGGTACGGGCCGCCGCCGTTGCTCTGTGGAAGACCGAAACTGATCCCCCAGGTCGGCTTCACGTTTAATTTCGACGAGTCCAGATCGCTAGCATCGAGTCTCTGCAACCAGGTAGTCACGAACGGACACGCAGATAAAGATCTCCCAGTTTCCGTATGTTTGTCGTTTACAAATTTTGTTCCGTGTCGCGCGGCGGCTACCGTAACCGGTCGATTGAACAGACCGCATGTGTATATCCGATCGCGGTATATGATTCTCGCCACTAGAAACGATAAAATTGGCCACAGACGGTACGATTTATCGTGCGATTAATTCCACAACGTGCGTTGCTTTCGATCAGGTGAAAGACAGTTGCAAACACAGACATTTATGTGTATTATACAGTGTCCGGTATTTAAATCGACACATGGAAATATCGTAAAAACAAAGCATTTAACGAGAAATTATTGTAGACGAAAGTCCTTTGGTTTTGAGGGGGGGAAAGAGAATGGCATTATTTATTTTTAGTCTGGTGAACGCTTTGAAGATCAACCTCGTTTTATAAATGGATAAAATATTGAATAAAAATTAAAATAAATAATCGTTTCAGGCTAGAATTGTGTATTTCTTTGCGTGGATTAATAATCTGTTTAAGAAGTATAGGTATCCTTTGAAAAAAACCAAGTTGCCCTCCAAATGACCTTCAAAATATTGTACCAATTGAAATACTCGACGCACGATAGATCGCGTCGTCAGTGGGCCGTTTAAATAGAACAGTTCAGCGGTCTTACCCCTTCGCTGTTCGTCTTCTTCCGTTCCTCGACGTTCGTAGCCACGTCTCTGCTGGCCTCCCTCTTCCTCCTTGCCCGGTTCTCGCTGGAAATCGGTGCGTTCGAGCCAGTGACGGTTCCATTCCCAGCGACGATCGTCTCGATTGCAGTGTCCCCAGCATTCTCAGCGTCGATGTTCTTGTTCAAATTCCTTGGATCGATCGGTAAGAAGAGATCGTCTTTGCGACCAGCCTGTTCAGCGGCGGGACACTGCTCGTACGGCACGCAGACGCAATCAGGGGCGTAATTCGAGGACGAGAAATCGTTACCAAATTCATCGTTATTATTATTATCGTTCTCGTAGTAATAATTGTTGCCAGTGTTGCTCGACCCGGCGGGATTGTACTCGTTGTTAGCAGCGTGAACGGTGTTCGGGGAGAGATAGTTCCCAGGACCGTAGTATTTGCCTGTCTTCTGACCGTCCGATTTACCGTAGGTGAAATCACGCGGTGGTTTCTCGTAGACGGGATACCGTTCGGCGTAGCTGTTCGCCGAGGCGGAACCACCGGAACCTGAGAGACCGTTGTTCCCGTCGTTGTTCGACGGGGCTTTCACTTTGAACGCTTTCTTGTAATCGTCCGACTCTTGGAAACCACCGGCGTAGATCCCTTGACCGGGTGGATCGTAGCTGGTGCCCGGCGAACCGTAACCGATCGACGGACTGCCGACGAAACCGGTAGTTTGACCGTTCTCACCGTGATGATAGTGATGATGAACGTGTTGTTGTATCGGGTCGCCGCCTACCAAGGACGTTGGACGTAACGATATCTGCTTTTTGTCGATGTATCGATCGTTTCCATCGTAATCGAATCCGTCCGGGGTGGCTCCAAGTTCGTAGACCGGCTTCGAGGCGGCGAACGATGACACGACCGGTCCTGGTTTCTTGAAACCAGGGTAAGAACCGATGTAACCGGGGCTGGGTGGAGGGAAATGAGAAATCGACGGAGGTGGTCCACCGCCGAGGCCGTAAACAACGTCCGAAGTTAGCCCTGGTGAACCGAAACCGAGGCCTCCTGGCGGTTTCGGGGGTCCGTACGGTCTTTTTACTGGAATCGCTGGTAACGGTCTTCCGACTGGCTTTATCGTCACCGGTTGGGCGTAGATTATGTCTTGGGGATGGATCCCACGATGAGGGGAGTAATACGGACGACGTCCTTCGACGTTCTCGCACTGTGGACCGTGTATGTTGGATTGTTAAGACAGTGTTGCTTTGGTAACGTTGTAATCATAATTATAAAGACACTCTAAAATTTTCAATTCTTATGTGTTGTGGTTCGAAATAGAAACGAACCAATGACATGTCTGAAATCGTGGTGACAATAATGTTTCTCTGGCAAAGGATACATTATATTCCATAGAAAAAAGTGGTTCGTTTTGTAGATTATCCAGAATACATAAGGATTGAATATTTTAGGGTAATATATATACAAGGTGTCCCAAAATCGTTGTAAGTCCTTGAAAGGGGCAATTCCTGGGGTGATTCGAAACAAAGCCTCGGAGAACTTTTTGGCTAAGGACAAAGTTGTTTCAAGTTACTTTCAAGGATTTACACCTATTTTGGGACACCCTGCATAGAACGATTGTACGTTTATACTTACGTTCATCAAACCAAGGGTGCACAGTTTATCCCTGATGTAGCTCCTAGCGACCGTGTCGTTGCCCAGCTGAAGAGCGTTCTTCACGTTCGGATCGGCGTACACCTGGTCGAAACCTTCGATGTTGCGACCCTGCCGGTTAGAAACCAGAATTTCTTCAACCACGGATTCCACCTACAGCAGAGGAGCAGATTCGTTACAATTCTGAAAGATATAGGGATGAACCGATCCAGGTAAATACAGGCAGACGATTGATACCAAGTATTTTACAATATACTCAGTATCGAAAAAAAGCAGTCATATCGAATGGAGTGAGTAATCGATATGAAAGCTAACGAATATGAAGAGATATGGAGTTTCGAATAACAAATACAAGATGAAAATGTACTTCGTCATTTTTAATCCTTTAAACGTGGAAGTTCGGTTTATCTGAAAAAAAGATATATCGATCTTTGTGATTAATACCCTTACCGTTCGTTGTTCCCCGGTTCCATCGTCGAAGAAGTCGACGTTCGTTTCCGACTCTGGCACAGCTCTTTTCTCGGTCCCGTCTTCTTGCGATGCATTCGTTTGTTCTGCGTTCTCCGGGTCCCCGTTCTGCCAGGACCAGTCCCGTGGGGACGGTTCGATCGGTACTTGGGTAGCGAGGCTGCTCGCGGCCAAACCGCAGCAAACCACCAAAATCAGCCACAGTCTCATCCTGTGGTGAATTAGTTGGCAATTAATGACACGGCAACAATAACACGACTCTACGACTATCGACAGTGGCAAGGAGAAAAGAAAGGCTCTCGCCGTAGAATGGTATCAACGGTTGACCGAGAAATCGTGCGGCCAACGAAAGCGAGAGGATGTCGGGAGAAAGTCTGGCCTTCGCTGTGATACCCGTCGTCTTCGTTTTACCTTCGTCCCACGCAGCTCTTTCTCGACTCTTTCGAAAATTTTCGAACGCGGTGAAAGTCGTTGCGTAATACAGACTCCCCTTGATTATCGTCCAGAACTCGGGTCCGCGGCGGGACAATAATCTTGAAGGGAAAAATGCTTCACACCCTCTTAAATTTGTCTTTTGCCCGAAGCCCGAGCCTGGGAAACAAAGCGCGACAGGTTTCACTCCCTCTCAGTAGTGAGGGTAACGTTTGGACAATAATCGTGTAGAACAAACCAGACAATAATCGAGAGGAGTCTGTATATCCTCGGTACACATAAAGAAATCGTGTGCTTTAATCGATCGACGAAAACCGAGAAGAAATCGAAAGAAAATCAAGAGTGGATGTAGATCTCAAAAGTACAGTCGACTTTAAAGAGATCCGTGAAATGGGAAATCGATTTTGTTTCGTTTATTCTTTTTTATTTTAAATATAGGGACACATGTATGTCCAAAGAGGCGTTTCGAGAAGTTTTACACTGCCGAACCAAGGGAAATCGATTTTTGAAACAGTATCGGAGAACGGTACCTTAAGTCTCGGACGCGTCGAGTATCTTGCGGTCCCGATCAAAATTTCTCCTCGTAAGGAAAGGACCCTTCTGCGAGCTACGGCTGTCGGCGAACGTCTGCGATGCGTCGAGGAGTTTTCGCTCTTTAACCAAACACTTTCTCCATGAACGAGGTTACACTGCGCGTTCACCGATGCCATTCCTATCTTATATAGACGTCCCTTTCGGAGATGCTGGAACCGTGCACGAACTTACGGTGGGGCACCGTTCGTGACTCATCGGACATCCGTCTTCGAATAGGTTCCTCGAACCGCATCGTGTCGTTCCCCACAACACTGTTGCGTGTGTGTGTTGTATTTGCTAAATCGACGGAACACGATCGTGTCTTGAATTCTGTTACCCGCCACCTGTTCGATCGCAATAATAGAAATTTTCTTCGGTTAGCGACTTCAGCCTGTATTTTTTGGTTCGATCGATCGTTTATCCATTGTGATGAAGCTTCTCAGGCATTTCTGTCTCGATCTAGCATCATTCGCCTTGAATATAATAATAATCATCATCGTTATAATCAAATAAAAATAATGTCAATAATAAATCATTCATGCAAACAAGCATCCAGAAAGTTATTAATATTATTAAGTTAATTACCTATGTAACATTTATTTTTAGTATTGTTATGTCTAATCTCAATTACATTGGATTATTTGTCGCATCTGTATGCCGGAACGATTTCAATCGTATATTGTGAAATAGGATTTTTCAATATTATTCAATAAATTCTTTAACAATATATATTCTGAAATGTTTATCAATAGGGATATGTCGTGCAATAATTCAGCTTGCTAATGATGCGTCGTTTATTGAAAAATTACTAGGGTACGAATACTCCTGTGACTTACTGTAGTTGAACAACATCTGTCTTTTTCAACTACCGCAAAAATGGCATAAATTAAATAGAATACGGACTACGAAGAGCTTCTTCAAGGAATAAACATATGCATATCGGTCCAATGTAACAAGCGCATCGTGGAGTAATAGATGTCCAGTTGTCATTTCCATTATTAGGACATCCAAGTATGGCTGACTCGACATCAGCTACGTTGGCCGCGTGTGCGACCGTACGCAAGCGAATTGTGCAACACTGAATTTTAGATAATGGGGTTACGCAACGGGCGCCAAGAAACGTCGTGGCGTCGTAGAATTCGGGTGTGTTTCTCCAAGGAAACACGGTTCCCCGAATCGAAGTGCCTCTTTTCAGGTTGCTCGAACCCAGTGTGTCAAGTACTTATTGTCCCGTCGAAGGTTCCATGCTTTCGCGTGCTAGCAATTGATCCAGTTAATTAATCGTCTCGACAGTATTTGCCTAAAAAAAAAAAAAAATGGTCAAGACTCTTATCCTGGCAAATGAATAAGTTAATCTAGAGTTCCCCAAAACATTACATATAATAATATATGAATAATTAATATGTACGTATTTTAGTAGTTAATAAAAATTATTATTAAATTACGTTCTGGCCTTTTAATTCTACGATTACCGCGAAGAATTTGGAAAATTATAGGTGGCCCTAATTTTTTCGTCAAAGACTGTGTATTATTTCGTGAACAAGGCTGGTCGTCGTAAGCTGCGAGACATTGACGCCTATTACGATCGAATTAGCATAGAGTAGACGATCAATATTGTCGCCAGTATGAAAGTTTCTCCGTCTCGTTCGCGCTCAGTGGGTGGGGAAAGCGAACACCGTCACACACGATTGTTCCCTGCCGCTCCAAGAGTCTTTTTCCAATTTTGGAAACGAACGACACACAGGTTCGTCGCGAAAATACGCGGGCGAGGTGTGAACCCGCGATGAAACGAAGTCATGGTCGAGACGGGATGGTACACAGCTCTCGAAACACCTTTATTCCGTGATCCTCTTCGGTCTTTCGAGTTCCGGGAGAAAGTGCTCCTCGATGGTGACGGAAACACCGTGTCGATCCGCAAATACGAGCGGAACCAAAGCATTGTTACGATTCGTCGACCTTAAAGTTGGGTTCGAGGGGATCGTGAAAGTATACATTATACAGTGAATCATCGATGAGTGCTCGAAGGCTCCCCTCGGCACTGAGAAGAGGTCCCCAAGGTGTATGACTTTTTAACCCTTTAACGTCCAGAATCTTAAATTGTTATATAAAATTATGAGACTGATATACAGGGTGTTCCGCTTAACACAGACCACCTAAATATCTTCTCTATCTGTGATCATACCAGACATATTTTTTACATGAGTTGTAAAAGTGTTCAGAACTAAATTAAATTGAATTAAACACTGTACGTTAATATAGCTTGGTATTCTGAAGCGATCAATATTTCTTTATCCAGCATATGGCCATTAGTTTATGAAATATTTAACGTTCAGTACCAAGGATCCCTTCGAACAATCATCGATATTTCGCTGTATTCGTTTGGGATTTTCGAGGCCCAGTTCCAGGCGAAGCGAACGCACGGCCCCGAAACATTTGTGAACCGAAACGAGGCGTTTCAATTGCTCACCGACGATTGTGCAACCCGGGTTTTCCACCCTGTCTCGTAACCCTCTGGGGTTTTACGCGGAATAACTTACGTGACCCGGTTCGATCGCGTCCGGCGAGCGAGGTGATCGTTATCGAACTCCGTTCCCCATACGGAAGGTGCATCATACCAACCTTTATTATAGCACGAATTACGGAACGAACAACACACAGATGTTCCGCTGTTATATACCAGAGGCGACGATTCGGATAAATTTATCAAATGCTTATGCACGGTTTATCTAACGCATCAGTAATAGCCTTTGTACGTGCGGAGAAAGCAGAGAATCTATTTTCACTTTCCGTTTCGATTTACGTGCGACCACGGCGAAGGGAGGAAGGAGGGAGTGAACAGGTATACGGTTGCAGGTAACGATATACGGCGATGTGGCGAACGTGGTGAGGTCATAGACAGAAGTTTCGTTCGTTGCTTAGCTGGTTAAAGTATTGGGCATAGGACCAACGAAAAAAATCATTTCGAACATTTCAAGATGCTTCGTATTCAGAATCTGTAAAATTCTATTCTTTGTTCACCGTTGGACCGAAATGTTTACAATTTATCTGTACTAGACCTCACTGCAGAGCTACGGACAAATGGGATTCGTATGTTTTCGGGGCAACCTTCGTCCCTGTATATCTATTACAGTTATTAATCCTTTGCACTTAATTGTCCTCGTTGAAAGGACAAAAATTACACGGGGAATTAGGAAATTCTGTGTGCAAACGGTTAATGTAGCAAAGCTATTTTCGCTTCCATATTTTCAGTCCACGAATATCTTTTAACCCATCCTGCACAGTATATCGTTACCTTCAAGTACAGTCGAACTGGAGGCTCTATCTCGTTTCACAGAAAGTACATGTATTTCAGGTTAGACCGGTAGTCCATGGACGCCGACGGATTTATCGATGAAGGGTACAAGAAGACGACCAAGGTGAACAGAGAAGCCGTAGTCCGCAGATACGCCAGGTATGGATGATTGACGCCAGGTGTGCGTGCGGTGTTACCGGGCGAAGCGAAAGTGATCGGAGATCGTTGACGATTCGTTAAGTCAGTAGGTAATGCGATAGCCGTGTTGTTCGATGGAGTAGCTGGAAGGTGCCGCTGCCAGTTCCAGGGTGGCGATAGCCGGGGCAGCGTACGCGTATGGCGTGGGCTAGAAAGTCAACGCGTGTTTTCGTCATATAACAAACAGAAGAAATGATCGTTGACTCGACCCGTCGCTGTGAAGTACCCATTTAGTGATGGGACGTAACAAAGGGTCTATTTCAGTGATCAGACTATATCGTTATCCAACGACTTTCGGTCGAGCAGTATATAACTACGCCGTTTCGAGGCACAGCAGAGTTGGGTGATATGTAATCTAATTACAAAATCTAAATCACAGTTACAATTTAATTGCAATGTAATTGGAAGACCATTATAAGGACAATTACATTTTGATTAACTATACTAAATTTACAATAAAAATTACTATTCAATTGTAAAATTGTAACGTGATTGTAATTATAAATGGTATTTCGTAAGTAGATTAAATTTTGCCCAACTCTGCTCGACTGCAGACTTGTCCGTAGAAACATGCTCTATGCTTATATTCTCTTTTTATTATCATTTTTCAATTCTGTATTTTTCTATACTCCTATTTCTTAATTCATGTCCTGTACCGCCATGATTTTATATTATTTTTCAATTGTTATTAACTTATAAATTCTTTGTGTATATATATATAAATTCCGTTCATAATTATCGAAATTGATCTTCATTTCGGAATTCACGTCTAATAAAAATAAACGCTAAATAGACGCTAATTTAAATATTTCTACCGCTACAAAAGGCTAAAATGAAAAATCAATATGCTGAAATTAAATGCTAAAAATACTTGTCACTTCATAAGCATTGTACTTATTCATTATATCGATCCTTGCCCGTCAAATTTATATAAATAATAATAACAAATAAGGACAGAGACTGTTTCGTATAATAGATACGAACCTGAAGAGGCAACAGAAGAGGTGCATTGCTCAACGGAGTGATCAGAGGCGCCAGTTTCGTGGTGGATGCCGGTGATATGAGTGTGAGGGCTTTTGCAGAGGCGGCAGATCTGGCCGGGGCTGGTACCGGTTCCAAAGCGGCTGCAGGTGCAGCTGCTAATGGCATCGCTGCTAACGGCGTTGCTACTGCTGGCGCAGCGGCCAACGGCGCTGCTGCTATGGGTGCAGCGACCAACGGCGCCACTACTGCAGGTGCAGGGGACAACAACTTCGTCACCGGTTGCGGAGCTGCAGGGGCCAACGGCGCCGGTGCAAGCTCCAACGCCGATTTCAGCGACGGTGCTGACGGCAGATTGGCTAGCGGAATGGATGCTACTTCCTTCGCCTCCGGTTGGGGTATCAACGGCGATGTTGGAGCGGCGCTAACAGTGCCGAGCACAACCGCAAAAAGGATCTATGGAGGAAAGAGTTTTTGTTGTTGTTTTTTTTAGTTTGTAAGTGCGTAAAGAGAATGGGAATCTCGTTGGGGAGAAATTCGATGAGTGATAGTCTGCAATAGATAGTGTTTGTATAGTCGTTCCGACCTTTAAACCGTTGACGAGATTAAATAGTTATGTGCCCAGTGTTTAGACTCTCAAGACAGTATAAACTTGGTTTTCGAAAGAGTTTACAGAGAGAATTCGCTGTTTGACAAATGCGATTAATGGGATCGGAGACAGAAAATTTTGAGTTTTATCTTTGTAACAGATACAACTGCATAGGGCTCAGCGGCCTTGTAGGTGCATATAATCTGATTGGACCAAGAAGCTTGTGTTTCTAAACCAAGACATTGTTAATGAAAACAAAATAATACAAAATATGTGAAATAGTCTTAAATGACTATTGTCCCTTGATTTCATGGAAAAAAAATGTTTGTACAAGACACGAAAAAGGTGCTAGCTACGTCTTTATCTTATGCTTTTTCGTTATTTGATTACTTTTGATCTAGATAATGAATTTGCTCGTCTCTGGTCTGTACTCACGTATGCCTGCATGATGAAGTAGGTTTCAGGGATTCTGCGAGCACCTCTCGAATCAGCACCTCCAGTCTCTGGTCGAGGATCCTGCCGGACCGCCCGTACTTATAGAGATTCCCGGGGGTGCCGTAAAAAGGAAACTCGTCTTGGATACGCGGGACCACACCGGTCCCTGCGCATCGTTGCATGCTTCTTCGGGGGATCAGGGGCGGGACTTATCTTACCATATCTTTGCTCCACCCTGAATCGTCCTCGAAGCAGAAAGGCTTCAAAGGAGTTTTATCGAGTATCCGGATATTCTTGGAGCATTCGAACGGTCCCAGGGATCACGGAACTTTCATCATGATTTAGTTACCATTTTCCTTTCTGCAACAAAAATGTTTGCATTGAAAATTGTTTTATTTTCTTGCGATAATTTTCGGCGAATTCGAAGGGTTTTATTTTAATTTAACCCTTCAGGAACATTTTCAGGAGGTTATTTTAGAAATGCTAGTTGTATTGTTTTCCATCGGTTAAAATAATAATTTCGAGGGGAACTTTGTAAATGGATATCTAACGATGGGAATAGTCTAACCGGATGTTGTTTGGCAAGTTTTGCTCGCTGATTGTTTTATAGTTAATATATTATGAACTGCAAACAGGGAAAATGTTGTCGGTGCTGTTCCCCGCGAAACCTGGAATCGGTGATCCAACCAGAAGAGGAGGCAAGGGCGTACCTGTTCGGACGACAAAAATCGAGTCGAAGATTATAACCGGTTTCCGAACCTACTAAGTACTTTGTCCCTCTCTCTGGACTCCCAAGCTCGTGCAGATTTTCCTTCGAGGCAAATTCTTCGTCCTTTACAGGAATTTTCATCTCAGCGATCTTTCCTTTAGAATCGAGAAATACTAGGAGATTTAGAGAATTATCGGCCTATTCCAACGAACCTACAAGCGAAGGAAACGATGGCTCTAGGATCATTCTGGCCGAGAACAATGCTTCATGACCATCTATCCACAGAATAGAACAACCAGAAGCCAGACAAATTATAACCACCGACGAGGTTTAAGAATATAGACCTTTCGTCGAATATATTTCTTTGGCCCACTTTTCTAGGACAACTGTGCTCCATTTCCATTTCAATGTCACTACCCATCGTTCCCATAACGTAGAGGTCACTAAACCTGAAAGTTTATGATAGCTCCTCCTGTACTCTCCACCAGAGGACTTCGAAGTTACATTACCTTTCCAGCTTTAACTCAAACCTATCATCTAGATTATAGATACTAGTCTACATGACGCCCACTGACGCTTTGAAGACGGCTTAAAGATGCCTTAGACCTAAAATAGCCGTAAAATGGGCATCTTCAAGACGTCATATACTATCTGGGTTGTCTACATCGTCTTCAAACGTCAATCATCATCCCCATGTCTAAGACAAGGTCTTCCAGGTAGTTATACTGATGAGTCCAGCTAGCAGGCCTTAGAACGAAACGATATCCTCCTTTTCTCATAACCTTCATTAACACTTTGACTGCCACGTCACCCAAACATCGGTGATAAGTACATTGCAAAGAGGCTGTAACAGCCTCTAGTAACTATACGCATATATTTTCGGCGATTTATGACCAAAAAACGAGACGAAGTGTGTCTGGCTACGTACGGCCATTTTCACTGTGGTAAACAATGTGTTAAAGCCACCGCAGGGTTTTTAAAGTACTACGGATTAGATGAACCATCAACTCCCATAAGATGGTTTATTCTTGTACCTAGTCGGTACTCTAACAAAATATCGCAAAACACCCAAAAACAACGTTACCAGGGATACCCAAAGGAAAAAGGGTTGGTAAGCAGCATAGACATCGAAAAATAGACTGCCCGTCAGGCCGGCGTCCAAACATTAGAAACAGACGGGATACTTTCGAAGGACTAGCTATCTCTTCCTAACATAACTGGGTCAACCACTCAAGTCCCAGAACCTAAGCCCTACTATTTAGACTTAAAAATAAATACCAAATGCTCCGAAAGCTATCTATCTCCCTCTAAACTCGATACGCCCGTTTCATTCGGATGCGCAGTCTATACTTCTATGGTAAACAAAGGTGTGAACAAAGAAAAAAAAAAAATAACAGTAAATTTGAAATTCAGAATGGATAAAATTTATTGTCGAGATGACCGTTACACGACAGCACAGTGCCGTCGCGATGCTCGTCCATCATGGTTGGCAAACAAGGTGTCCGTGGAGGCTGGGTCGACTAGAAGTACGGTTCAGACGTCGTTCAGAGATGGTATGCAACCGGTGCTGCATGTGCGTAGACCGGTGCTGCATGTGCGTAGACCGCTGGCGCTGCAGCGACGATCGGAGCTGACTTCAAGATCGTAGGGGCGGCCACGTGGGCGATCGGTGCGGCGACATGGGCGACCGGTGCGGCGATGTAGGGAGCCGTGGCAACCAGAGGGCTCTTCAGGCTGACTTTGTAGGTGTTTGCGTAGCTGGTGGCGACCGGCACGGAATGGGCGACGGCAACCGGAGCTGCGACGATCGACGATGTATGGAGGGTTGCCGGTGCAGATGCGAGGAAGCCTGGCTCGGGTGCTGGTGCAGCGACAGCGCAGGCAACGAGGACGGTCAGAACGATGAACTTGTACATGGTGTTTGAGATTGGTTTCGTCGTCGACGTAACAAAAGGAGACTTGAGTACTCGGAGCAGCTGTGATCGCTGAGAGACGAATGATGCTCTACCGTCAGACTAGCTGGGCTTTTATTCCGACGCTGTGACCTCTCCCACCCGAAACCCTTGCGTACGTGTGCGTGTTGAAGACAAGGCTCCTGCCTGAATCGCGTGTTTCGTTTCGCCACCGCAACGGTGTGTTCCATTCGAAACGGCCCCGATTCCTCTCGTTCTGGGTACCACATCAGGGCTACGCAACGTTTACCACTTCCCTGGTAGCGACTGTATATACAGTGGGTGAGAAAAGTATTCGTATACCATTTAAAACAGAACGAATCTTTTAAAATTGAACCGAATGACTGGAGTTTCTTTGTGACGTTAGAAGGATTAGTGTAGTAAATGATGCGTTGATGAAATGTTGGAAAAGTTGCAGTTGCTCGGAATCGCGAAGAAAATTGTGAAGGTCGCTTTTTGCGATTTTTTTTACTGAGATTGGAATGAAAATTTAACGAATACAATTATATGCGTGATGAAAATTTCATAGAAAATCGGTTAACGTTGTTATGAATCTACAAACGGTTAAAAATTGCAGTTTTTCGTGACTTTTAACTATAGTATATCTAAAGAATTCTTACATTTTTCGATGCCTGTTACTCGTTTCTGTATTAAACGATTTCAATAAAGACAAAAAAGTTGTAAAAAACGACATTTACTATTTTCTTCAAAATTTGTTTAACTTCACAAAGAAACACAAGTCACTTGATTCAATTTAGAAATAGTTGTTCTGTTTTAAAGGGTGTACGAATACTTTTTCGACCCACTGTACATGTGGATGGTGTTCAAGGTCCGGCGTTCCTTTCGTTTCGTTGTTCGTCCATGCGGAGTACATTGTCAAGGACAATGAACCGATCGACGACGGTTCGGATCCGCGTGCAATGTACTCGAAAGGCCCTTCGGGTCCAGCCCCTCCTTCCTCTCCTCTTTGTCGTCACCGATCACCCTGGCCTTCCTTGCTATGTGTTTCACACGTCTTGTTTTCGGTATGGAACCGAACGACCTTTATCCGTATCGTTCGCCGTGATCCAATTCGGTACGATGTGCGTACCGTGTGTGTTATTCGGGTTACTCTTAACGACAGTCATTTCATCGACGACGTTTACTACTTGATGTCGATAGTTATCTATCATATAATGATTGTTATTTTAATAAACATAGTCGGTGAAATGGTGGTCGTTGATCTAAACGTGCCGGTGAGTCAATATTGTTGATATGATTGTCGGTGAAGTAAGAGTAACTCGTGTTATTCTCGTACTAAACTGTTGTCGCTGACACTGGTCTCTGCCCCCTCGAATTCGAGAAATTTGTCCTTAGATAACGAAACGAATCCCGCGGGCGAGTCGGGCCACCCAGAGTCTATAACGGGCGAACAACCCTCGCATTTAGATAGGTAACACCACTTAGTTAACGTATTGACTGTGCACGTTAATTAATAAACGCAACTCTCCCCCGTCATCGCCGATAATCCGGTCCCTATTTCCACGATAACATAACGTAACGGCCAGCCTGTTCTCCTCCCCTCTGATGGGTCGATGTTAATGCCGATAACGTTACGCTACACCGTCGCGTTTACTTCGAGCGGCTGACACGGGATTGCGCAACAATTAGTAAACTGTATCGACGCCCACCTCGTCACTTCGAGACGCGCTGCATACAGACAAGCCCGGTGGATATTAGAAAAGGTGAACGGGAGGATGATCGCAGGGGGGGAGTTGTTGTAGTAATATTGTTTTGCGAAACTTACCCGTTCGAGCTCTTTGTCGGCCATCCTTCGCGAGGGCGATTTCGCAGTCGGCACGCGACGATCCACAGGATTGCTCGTTCTTGAACCTGTCCACCTCGTCTGCAATCGCGGGCTGAAAAATTAATTCCATGGATATAATATTCCAAATTTCTTGTGGTAATTGTAGACGTATGTCAGCACGTGATTTAGTAATAAATTTTGTTAATTACTCAAGTACGTACGTGTATATATATATATATTAGATACATACATATTAACAGTTTATTTGACCGGTAGCCTATTAATAGACTTCTAAGTTTCAATGCTTATAGATAAGAAGCCTATTAATTCACCCTTAGATCAGGATTAAAGAAGAAATTGTTATGTTATCCTATTAGAGATTTTGCTATTTTTCATGAATATAATTTGCTACTGTGATTGAATTGTCTAATAATAGTTCCATGGTTGCTGATCGTTGACTCTACTAAACCTATTAATAATTTATATGGGGGAGACCGGGGTTAAAAGTAATTGGGGCAGGTTGTACCAGGGCTTATAATTTTTTAAATAAAAGAGACAGCGCTATGGTAACAAATGGTCAATAAATTATAATTGTCCTCACATGTCTACCAATATTCTACGCTTACCGTGAAAAATTTGGAAAATTACAGTTCTTTCCCTTCACCCAGCCACCACGCTGTCCCTCTTTTCTTCGTTGTTCTTTCTTTTCATCGACGGATTGCTCGAACATTTCGTCGCAAGGTCGCGGTTTCGTAAACTCGAATGTCCTCCCACGAGGATCTATCGTTTCCATCGTCTCGAGACACTCAAGAGCTCGTGTCTTTTTGCTTCTTGCTCGGTGTATGCTGTACGGGTGCTGCTGGACCATGTTGATGGACGATGATCGATGAAAAAAAAAAAAAAATGAAAATCAGAGATCCGGTTCGGAGATCCGTGAGCCTAAAGCTACGCCCAAATCCGGAAGACCTTGGCCTGTCAAGACGTCAAGCAAGACAGTTTCGGGTTACGACGAGGGGCACGGAAAGTTAACCAGTTTTTTGCAAGTAGGGGGCACACACAGGCAAGTGGACTATAAAAGAACCCGTGATTGTCGAGCCACGGATCACTGGAGGTTTATCAGAGCTCCGAGTATCGTCGACGTACGAAAGCTTTCGCGCGATTCCTGCCTCGTCCGTTAGTGTTGCCCTCGTCGATTATGGTCTGATATTTCGTGGCGAGGTGTGTAACAATCGGATACGGTTTCTCGACCGTTTCGGTACTTTTGTCGAATCGGTAATAGTCGAAACTAGTATATTCACACGTATAGAGGTTTTTCGGTGGAGACACGGAATCGGTATGAATGCTGTTTTGGTATAGGGGTGTATGTGGGCTAATTCCCTCTAACTATTGTATTATAGAATAAACAGTGCTTTTGTTCGCGATATTGACAGACATGAATGACTATCTCGAGATTTAATGTGTCACCGTGACAGAAACTATGTATGTACAAAAAATAGATCATTCCGTTAAAAAACATCAAGGTGACCTTGAAATCTCTGAAATGCCTCCACCCACAAAAGAATCACATACCTTATAATATGTGCCCCTTGATGCCATTTAACTTTCACGTCTCAAAATTTTCATAAAGTATATTATTCGAGGTGATCAAAGCCAAAGGGTTAAATTAAATGAAACTAAAAGTATCGAATCGGTCGAAAAACCGTACTATCTGGAATGGCTGTAACGACGGATTCACGTCTCCTGTTATCACGACAGAACATCTCTACTGTATTTTGAAACGAACAACAGCGTACGGTTCGTTCCGGCCTGAACGTAAGCCACGGATTATTATTGCGACGTGTTACGCAGAGGTTCGCGTATCCAGCCACGAGCCTTGAAACGCGAACTCGAGATATATCTTCGGAGGACAAAAGTGTCCAAGAGTTCTCGATCGATCGAGAATAACGTTTTATTGTCTTACACCGTGAGAAAAATCTCTGTGTCCGTTTTCCCCCGTGATCCTTGAGAAACACACACGGGCGTGTCGCGTGTTTAGCATAGACCGTATGGAAGGAATCTCGTTTCCGTTTGATATCAGTGCGATTCCCGTGTCTTCGATCTATGTCGGTTCCGCGCCCCGTCGACGTGCACACACAGTTATCTTCGCGCTGCGCGACCTCGAACGGAGAACGTGGTGTCACGGCTGGAGGAGGAATCGCGAATCATTTCTACCGTAACGATGCCATCGAGCTAGCTCCATTCTCGTTCCGGTCGTACGATTGATAACCCTTTCAAGAGAATAGGATTTTTAGTCCGTTTCGAAAGGAACAGAAACAGAGCTAACTTGTTAGTGTTTAAAAATTGAACACCGGTTTGAGATTTAAAATTAAGACAGTTTTTAAATTAAACACCCACGAGCAAACTCGGCTTCTACTATAAAAGCTGGCGTAGATGGGCCTCCTATAACTTGGTAAATTTATTTTAAATACTGATACGATTTATCATAAATTTCATTAATTCCCGAGACCAAGCGATGGGAGGACCTTCCCCTAGAATCTAGGGCCTAGAAGCGGAAAAGATCTTCCGATTCAAAACACCAGAGTTTTCTTAAGTTTTTCACACAGTGTATTATGACAAGTCTCGTGACGAGAAAACAAGAAAGAATTAAGTTTCGAACGCAATGGTGGCGCGCGTTTAACGCTGCTGAAACGGGCAACTAGATTAAGTATACGGGGATTGGCGCGTCAGGGAAAGCCGCGAGTCGTATACATACTTGGTACACGCGCGTTAACAATGAATACGTGTCTCTATAGAGTACGTGGTTAGAGGCGACGGACAGTTGAATGGGGGTATGCAAACGGTTCCATTGGGCAAACAAAATGACGGGATTCTAATCGGGACGAGTGATCGTGACGTGTGGTCGTCAGAACGGGGGTTGTCTGGTATCCAGGAAGAACGAACATTCGCGGTGATAATTTTCATCGGATCGATCGATATCACTGGTTCTCGCCCTCGCCTTCCTCCTCCTCGTCGAATTCGCCCTCCTCCTCGGCGGTCGCCTCTTGATACTGTTGATACTCCGAGACCAAATCGTTCATGTTGCTCTCGGCCTCCGTGAACTCCATCTCGTCCATCCCCTCGCCGGTGTACCAATGCAGGAACGCTTTCCGCCTGAACATCGCCGTGAATTGTTCCGACACTCTCTTGAACAGTTCCTGAAGTCGGTTCAATTTATATTTACCGTACGTTCTAGTCACAACATTTATTTCAATACCAGTTTTAAATTTACCAAGCGGTATACGACCCTTAAAACTACGCTACCTTTTCCTCTAATAGAAGCTGTGTTTGCACGTCAGTGTAAAATCGTTTCTACGACTATCGAACCGTTTTACCTGGATAGCTGTCGAATTCCCGATGAAGGTCGCCGACATCTTCAATCCTCGTGGTGGGATATCGCAGACGGCGGTTTTAACGTTACTCGGTATCCACTCGACGAAGTAACTGCTGTTCTTGTTCTGAATGTTCAACATCTGTTCGTCCACCTCCTTCATCGACATTCTGCCACGAAAAACGGCCGCCACTGTCAGATAACGACCGTGACGAGGATCGCAGGCGGCCATCATGTTCTTCGCGTCGAACATTTGCTGCGTGAGTTCCGGGACCGTCAGAGCTCTGTACTGCTGCGAGCCTCTGGTCGAATAGAATACCAATAACGTTAATTTTTATTAACATATTAAAAAACATAGTATCGAAAAGAAATTTCTGTGCAATTGTATTTTTTTATTAGCCACTGAAATTGTAAATTTACATAAACATCCGCTGTCTATTCATGACTGTAAATCATATCTTGATGAATTAAATTTAATTACACTTGAGACCAGAAGAAAAATATCAGATTTACCGTTTTCATTTAAAATCGTTAACTTTCGCGTAATATTTAATATTGCAGTATAATTTGAAATACAACCAACAGATTTATGACTTTAAAAACAGAATAAAGTGTGTCTGGCTACGTACAGCCTTTTTCACTGCGGCGATATCTAGAAGCAACTTTGTATTTTTATGCATTTAAAAATTAAAATATTCTTCACTTTTCCATAGGGGCCTCTAGTGTTACATTGCATGTATAATTGTGTGTGGAATTCGGGACAATAATCGAGACGAGTCTGTAGTTAATTCGATCTCGTACCTGGACGTCAACGGCGCGAAACCGGGGATGAAGAAGTGCAGTCGTGGAAACGGCACCATGTTTACAGCGAGTTTCCGGAGATCGGCGTTCAATTGACCTGGGAACCTCAGACACGTAGTCACGCCGCTTAGGGTCGCGCTAACCAGGTGATTCAAGTCACCGTAGGTCGGAGTGGTTAACTTTAACGTGCGGAAGCAAATGTCGTAGAGGGCTTCGTTGTCGATGCAATAGGATTCGTCCGTGTTCTCGACCAGTTGGTGCACCGATAGTGTACAATTGTACGGCTCGACCACGGTGTCGGATACCTACCAGAACGAGCATGTGATTACAATAATAATGATTAAGTTTACGGATTTTATGCATTTATAGCCTACAGGAATCTGTAAAATACAGTACAAGGACAAAATTTTCATTGGATCCAATGAGTTTTCTAGTTTATTCTGAACCCAATATGATTCTTAACCCTTTGTTTTATAACATCGCACTTTTTTAGGAAAACATCTGCCATTTCGTTGAAAAGACTGAGCATGACCCCTTAATTCAAATAATACAAAAAACAGTTTCTTTCGGTACTGTATCTCGCCTCTGACGGGGGTCACCCGTACAGAAACACGGAACAAAGGTGTAGAGAGCAGCCTGTTTACCTTGGGAGAGGGAACCACGCTGAAGGTCATCATGATCCTATCCGGGTATTCCTCACGGATCTTCGAGATCAACAAGGTGCCCATACCGGCACCGGTTCCGCCGCCCAGAGAATGGGTCAGCTGAAAGCCCTGCAGACAGTCGCAGCTCTCCGCTTCTTTTCGTACAACGTCCAACACGGAATCGACCAATTCCGCGCCTTCTGTGTAATGGCCCTTCGCCCAATTGTTCCCAGCGCCGCTCTGACCGAACACAAAGTTGTCTGGACGGAATATCTGACCAAACGGTCCGGATCGGACCGCGTCCATGGTGCCCGGTTCTAGGTCGACCAGAATCGCTCTCGGCACGTACTTTCCCCCTGACGCCTCGTTGTAATAGACGTTGATCCGTTCCAGCTGGAGATCCGAGTCCCCGTGGTACGTACCGGTCGGATCAATCCCATGCTCGTCGGAAATCACCTCCCAAAACTGCAATTATTGTTGTCATTAAAAAATTACAAAAGATCGATCGAATTGAAGTAATATCACAGACGGCTGAAATGGAGCGCCATCATCGGTAGTTTTTCGATGTGTGGACATCTCCAAATAGACGGTATACACACACCAAAATAAACAATTTGTTCAAGGAGGTCATTTAGAAAATATATCGAGTATGGTCGGCCTAAGAAGACAGGATTTGATTATTTACCGAACTACCGACGATAAATGTGAAAAACTTTTGAACATTCAGAAATTTAGAAATTGACTAATCTCTTCGCTTTCATAGGTCGGTTTAATATCGATATTTCTGACTTCAGAATACCAAGATACAACATATATTATCAGTCTGATAATTTTGAAATAACGATTTAGAGGTCTGGGCGTTAAAGGGTCATTTTATGTCTATGATTTTACCTTTGCACCGATCTGATTACCGCATTGGCCGGCTTGCAGATGAGCGATTTCACGCATGTTTCCGACCGTTCACTCTTTTCTCTCGCCGTCCAATGTTTAACGCGTTGATCTTCCCACCCTTCGATCTCTTGTTCTTCCCGAATCGATTTCCGACAGCCCAGACGTTATTCTCTGTTCGAATTCGACCAACGAAGGACGAGAATCTATTTCCGAAACGAGGGCTTTGTCCGGATCTGTACGCACGAAAACGGAAAGGCTCGACCTCGAGCAACGCCGATCAACCAGTCGTCATTTGTTCCACTCGGTCGCCATGGCTATTTTGTTTTCCCACGACTGATCTCCGACCGAGCTGCTCTCTATACATCGGTGTTTCCCAACGTGGGACGCAGGCCTCACCTAAGGAGGCAATTTCAATATTTTGGGGGGCAATCAGTAAAATCATTAATATTTGTCAGTTCATCAATTTTACCAGTATGTGCCTTTTTTATTTGCAGCACCTCTTAAGGGATACTGGCACGTATGTGTACGTTTAGCTTTACTTTTGTTCATCGTTCTACAATTGTGAATACAATAAATAGTCAGTAAAAAATTCCCCAACAAAAAGGGATATTCTACCAATTGATTGTCAATAATATTTATGTATATATTTTAATTAAATACAGCTGAAAAATAAAAGACATATTTTTTCTGGTCTTCATACATTCGTCCTTAAAGGGGTTACACTTCTTCAAGTACAGTTCACCTCCACTGAACGTATCCAAACAAAAAAAAAAAAAGATAGGGAAAAATCAAATAAAAACAGAATCAATTAGACAAGACAAAGGGTTTTTTTATTACTCTGTCCAATGTGACGGAATGAATACCAAATAAATGAAAATTAAAAAAAAAAAAACAATTTGACAAAGAAAGAACGACGACCGCTGGACCATCCAACTGCAGCGTTGTTCTGGTGAAATCAGGAACAGATGTATGGATCGATTCTGCAATTACTCCGTCGTTCCACGTCTGAGATGGCGGTTGCGTTTCAAGTTTGATGGCCAGTCGGATGTATCCATGATGATCGTCTTAAAACGGTGTAACGGGGACTATGGAGCACGGAGGAGCCTCAGCGTCTGCCGGCGATCAGTGCCGCTGCTGGATAACCGGAATAGGCGTACGGCGCGATCGGCGCGATCGGTGCTGCGTGGGCGACCACGGGGCTGGCGATGTACGGGGCGGCATAAGCGTGATTAATCGCGTGCGCGTTGTAGCTGCTCGCGTAGGTGCCGACCGTCAAAGCAGCTGGAATCGGTGCGGCGATCGCAGCTGGGACCGCTGCGTGCAATACACCAGCCGAGCAGACGGCGATCAAACCGGCGAAAAGAACCTTTCGCAAAAAAAAAAAATAAAGAATTAATTTCAGTAGGTATGTGTATCACCCACGAGCAGATTTGGTTTCCAGGGGGAAACTGCGGTTCTTTGGGTACTTAAGGTGGTTCCCGAGAATTTTTAATAATCAATTGATAATTTCATAGAACATTGTAAAACGATGAAATTTTCGATTGCTACCAAAAAATTGCAAGGTCAACGAAAAAGTTATTGAAAGGGAAATGTTATAAAAATTGAAAGAGGAATAAAAATAAAAATTTTTTATAGAAACTTCGAGGGGTGGTTTCACCCCTTAAAGTCGCGTCTCAGCCGATACAAAAAAAATACGTATCCATTATTTTTGACCGTTTAACAGACATACGAAGTTTCATCAAAATCGGAGGGGGACACTTTCATGCCTTTCCTTCAGTTTTTATTTAGTTAGAAAACATTAGCTCGTGAGGGTACCAGAGAGTCAAGAAAATGGTCCTTTTCTTGATCAACTTACCAGGAATTGCGTGGCCTTCATGTTTGGTTGTTAGAGAGTGCTCGAGAAGTGGTTCGAGTGATCACTGATGGGACTGTGCTACCACGACGATTAGGCAGACGTCTTTTATAGGTGGTTTTGAACCGTATTGCTCCCACTACGGGCAACGAACGGCGACGCAACGGTGGTTGGACGCACGATGCGACCAGGAACACGGTCCTGCATACCAAATCACTTTTGTTCGTTTCGTAGCGACACGCCTGGGCTCGATACTTTCATCGATTACCACCGACCTCTAAGGCCGTACCAATCCGTTCTTTTTTTTTTTTTCGTTTTGTTTCGTTGTGACCTTTATCGTCACGAGGAGGAAATCGATCAACGACCGACAGCGATCGTTTCCGTCGGGTTTTTTTACGAATAGGTTCTCTTCGTGACTGTGTACTGTAAAATTTTCAATTCTTACGTAGGGGAGACCAGGAACAAACGAAACAGTTTGTCTTTTTGAATCTGTAGCCTCTGAATTTTGTAAAATTTTTTAAAAATTCATACACGATGACAGAGCTCGATTATTGGAAAACATAATCAAACAATCGTTTACTGCTGCGTGTTGTCGACAACTAAAATCGAGGACAAATGGTGTTGGTGTATAGAGATGGAAGAAGACGATTTTTCGTCGATTGGCATTCGTTTTACAACAATTGTTCGTTCGAGGTTAAAAAAAAACCAAGTATGCTATGTCTGAAATCGCGTTGAGAAATAATATTTCTCCGAACAAAGGATAGATAATATTTCCCAGAAAAAAATTCATTCATTTTCACTTTAACCACAATACATAAGGGTGGAAAATTTTCCCCTAACTTCGTATTGTGGGTTACTGTTTACTTTTTCTTTCGTTCAAGCATCATTCCGAAATTATAATTAAACATTCACCAGGAAGTTCCTCCACAAAACAGTGTACTGTACTAATTAATTGTTCTTAATATTTATAAACATATTTTAATTCAATAAACCTGAAAAATAAAAACTATTTCTACTGGTCTGAATAAATTCGTCCGTTTACGGAAAACGCTCTTTAGATCCGAGTAAACGTGTACAAGAAAGGGGCAATGTTAATAAAACCACCAATAAATGTATTTATTGGCTATCATATCGACTCGAGGCATCGGTTATCCCTTAGGTGACATAATCCTCGGAACGACTAGACTCGTTTCACATGAACCAGTGATACATATTGGGCGCGGCTCCGTGCACGTTCTAAATACGAAAAACGGACGGTACGTTCTACGGTTGTGACATCGTAAGTTTCGAAGATCGTTCCAACGAGCGTGACTCGAATTCCTTCGGAACACGGCTAGTGGCGTCTCGTTCACGGACTCTGTTCTCCATTCGACGGGACGTTAAGACTTTCCCTCGGTTTAGGTTCCCTGGTTCGACAAAATAAAAAAAAAAACAATCACGTCTGAAAATCTGTAATTGTTTTTCATTCGACATTTCCCTACGAGTGTTGTACCTTGCGACACGTAAAGGAATTTACGCCGATTGGTCGGATCTTCGGTTAGATTTTTGGCGATTAACGAAATGGTCACATAGGTAGATTTATAACAGACACGATGCAATGTCGATCGGTCATAAATACGTGCGTTTAATTGCCAGTGACCGTGTTCGGTGAAGTGACAAGGTGAACCAAGATATTTTGGGCTGATACAGTGTTTCCACGGTGTACATGTAATAAACCGTGAATAAATCACCGCGACAATACGAGACACCTCATTAAGGTTGATCGTTAATCCGCGATTGCGTATGCAAACTTAATTCCTCGACTTTCACTGAAAAGCCCACTTGTTAATTTCGCCGCGTAATTTCGATGTCTTATCTGGGCTGGTTTTCGCATGTTGGCCAAGTGCTCGTCGACTAGTCGTGCGACCTCTGTTGGAATTCCGAAATTCAACAGAAATGTCTCGAGAAACGAGATCGTAACGTCTCGTCCTTCACTTTACACGCGTAACCGTTCTTTAACGTCACATTTGTGCCGTGTAACGATCACGGTAACGTACAATTTCTTATCCACAAAACGCTCTTTAATTTCGAGTTCCTAGAACCATAAGAAGGATCGTACATTGCGCAAGGAATAATAGCATAATCGTCAAAATCATCCTAGAAGCATGGTACGTATGGCGTAAAGAATAATAGAATAACTGTCACATACGTTGTGGAAGAATAGGAAGGATCGTGCCCTGTCTAAACAATACCAGAATAATCGTCACGATCGGACAAAGCACCCAGAGGGAGTGTTACAGGGAAATAACTGTGGGCTGACCGTACAGACAAGGAAGACAAAAGTGTTCAATGGACAATTAAATTCTGCACAATACCATACGAGAACAAAGGAAAGAAAGAACTGTCGAAATCCGTAGATCGCTGGACGATAGAAAACAAAAATCCACTTGTGCGTTTGGAGTTACAGTTTATTCAATGATAAAAAAAAAAACAAACAAACAAACGAACAAAAGAACGAAAATGCCAGGGAACAAACAGTTTTCGTTTAAGGGAGAACGTATGGAGCCGCGTATGGCGACGCGTATGTGAGTGGAGCGTAGGGCAGCGACGCTGCGGCTGGTGCAGCGGCGTAAGCGTACGGTGCAGCGGCGAGCGTGTACGGTGCAGCGGGCGCGTGGATCAGCGGTGCAGCGGCGGGCGCATGGATCAGCGGTGCAGCTGCGAGGGGCGCGGCAGCCAGGGTGTTATAATTTCTGGCGACAACTTGACTGCTTCTGGCGGTTATAATCGGTGCTGGAAGTGCAGCTAGCGGTGCTGGGGCAGCTAGCAACGGGGCGGCTGGCAGTACGCCGGCCGACGCCATAGCTGCGACTGCGAGGACGATGCACTAGAAAACCAGAACAGTTCGATTAAAATCGCCATCTATGAGCTAGAGATGTTTAGAAGTTATCACAGATGACTTTGATTTGTTGATTCTTATAATTAGAGTTTTATGGAAAATAACATATTTCACAGTAATATACAAAAGTAGATTTGAAAAGGAAGACGTATTTCTGATCCTTGGAAATTGGTTGCGTTCAGAATACCATGGGAAATATATTAACATTGGAATTATTAAACCAGTCAAAATGACTGGTCAATACACTCTTACAACGACGATTAAAATGTTATGACAATAGATTTGCACCTTTTATTACGATACGAGAGTGAAGAAATTGGGCAATTTCGAAATTTCTAAAATTTCAATAGTTTTCCGTCGGTAGTTCTACTGTCAAACTTCTCTTCTATTGCGTTTCACATGTGACACGGGCGGGTTTATAAGAATCAACGAATTAAACTCATGTATCTCTACCCATCTCGGCTATACGATCATAAGGAAAACTCGAGTTGAACGGTTTAGGAATCAGTTCATCTCGAATTTCCCAATCGATCAACAGATACTTACCACTGACTTGATCATGGTGAGACCTGCGATTGAATCGGTAACTCCTGGACGAGTGTAGAGATCCTCGGAGGCGTCCTCACTTTATACCGATTCACTGGCCACCTGGTTGGCGAGCGTCGCTTACGAAAAAGCGCGGGGCTTGCGAAAGCCTCGACCTCCGCACGTATAGCCGCGTTCCTATCGATTTCGTTCGTTGTGTTCGCCATTGTAATGCCGGCCGCGCGGAACCGGCGACGGCGCGTTTTCGTGGCGTTCACCACCTCCTTCCCCGTTTCCACAGAGCATTTTCAATCCGTTCGCGTACCATCGAGTTCGATCCCCCCTTTCCCTCGACAATGCCATCGCGTATGCCTTGTCGATCGATCGATTTTTAGATGACCTTGATCGAAAGGGGGACAACCTAGCGATGGACACTTACACGGGATATATGGTTTGAATTATGTAAGCAACTATGCCGCGAAATTGTATAACACCCTGCCAGGACCTATGTGCCCCCCGTTCCGTCCGTCCGATTGAAAAGCATAACAAGGCTGTAACGTTGCAACGCTCTCGCGACCGGATTACGGGAACGGGTACGACTACCCACACGATTTCTGGGCTTTGAATACTTTTTATTTACTTTCTACTATCTTTGATGTATATTTTATTTCCCTTGGGAGGAGGGGCAGGCTACTTGCGTGCCTGGTATTTTTAGCGATAGCGAGGGTAATGAGTTTATTAGATGTCGATGAAAGTATATCGAATGGTAAAATATTTAACCCTCGAATGGTAGGGTGAGTTTTAAGGTCGTACTTGGTAACGTGCGGTCGGATTCGATCCGAGCTCTTTTTTTTTTTGATATTTTTAGATGGGTGAAAAAAGAATTAGTATCTTGAACTATGTAACATATCGCAACTCCCACCCCTGAGGAAAATGTCACAAGTAAAAAAATAGTCAGTTTTCAGTTTTTCATGTAAAATATCTTCCAATACGTGGTTTCGGTATCCATAAAAATGTCACAGGTTGAAGCTCGATAGTTCAAGCGACATTGTGCTAGTTTGATTTAACACTAGAACTACCAAAACCCGTCAAAATGATTTTAAGATTTCTGAAATTATAGCGTATATTACTATTTTATACAATTTAATTTAGTATGCATTCAATGCTGGTAGTTCTAGCGTTAATAACGAAGTGCTATGTAAATGAATCGGTTCCTTTTCGATCTCCTGAAAAATTACACGTTTTCGATTTGCGGCAATCTTCTTGCAGGGGTCCGATATAATAATAGTAATGACAAACCGTGTTGTTGTCGACTTGTTATGTTCGTTAGAGCGGACTCCGAAGAAGCAGGTATTTTTTCTGGATTTCATCGTGCACGCACATCGAAATGCCGGAATTACCCCCTTTCGCAAAAATACGAGTCACACCCATTGGAAGAACAAATGCCGTTCTCCCGATCGGGACTCGACGAACTTGAACTTGAGAAAAAACCAGGTGCTTTGCCTTGAAGTTGCACGGATTTGCGAAAGCGGATGGGAAAGAGAAACTGAGGCAGAACGAGAGAGAAGGGCTGCGAATCACCGACTGCGCCATCCGGGACGAGAAGAGAGAGAGAGAGAAAGATGGTCGATTAAAATTAAATGCTGGAACAGGAATGTTTCTAAAAAAAGACCACGGACCACTGAGAAATTCATAGATGTATAATTAACATATAATTCACAGCCATAACATACAAATTAGAAGATCATCCTTTTTGTATTCTTTCACTACTTAACCCTCCAATGGTAAGGTCCGGGTCGTACAATAGTTCCTCCTGTGCTGTCTCCAGTCTACATTTTTGTTACTCTCGTGTTAAAACATATTTTATTATTTATGACACTTTTCCCGCGGGGTTTCGGCTTACAAAGAAGATCGTAAACCACCTGAATATTATTTATATCAATTCATTACACTCACATCCAAATCAACGTTCATCTATCTCGAACATTTACCCTCGCAATCAATGCCCTCCGTTCGATAGCTGAATGAACGAACGCGTGGAAAAGCACCGGCAACCGGTTGCACCGCGCAGGCAAGACTTTTCTCTATGAATTAGCAGCAAACCAAGCTGATTGTTCGACTGTTCCCTACCGTCTTCTCGATCGCCTAGCATTTTTCCAAAAGCCTCACAAGGACGTGTCGTCGTTCGAACGAATCGCGAAAAGGGGGAAAACCAGTTCGCGTATTCGCCGGGGAGGGGGGAGGGGGAGGGGCAATAAAAGCGAAAAAAACTGGTCCGAAGCCCGTGAAAAAAAAAATGGAAATTACGCGCATTGTCGGAGCCACGCCTGAATCCCGCGGTAACCTTGAAGAAATCCGCGGTTTCTTCGTACCTGAGCATAGTTCGCTGAACCACCGCGAAAACCCCTGTTCCCCCGTTGCGTACCCGTGGCTACGGGTGACGTCGATTGGTCGAGCATGGCGAGAAAAATCCCTGGCAACATGAGAACTAAGAAACATGGGGGGATATTCTCGTTCGTCGGGCTGCTCGGAGAAAACTGGCTCCGTGTTGCCCTTCGGGGAACGACTGAAAAATCGGGTAAAACGACCTGAACCTCTGGAATAGAAGAAGGGGGATGCGGCGATACGAGGATCTTCGTCGTGGTCACCCCTATATAAACGGCGAATCCTCGGGATTTCAAGCACGATCATATCGAGTCTCTAGTGCATCCGTTCGATCCACACCTAGCCGCCATGTTCAAGACCGTGAGTGTGAACGTATTACAAACTCCTCTCGATTATCGTCCAGGCGTTATCCCCACCACTGAGGAGGGGTGGAACCTGTCAAACTTTGTTACCCTTTTGTTTTTGTTGCCTAGACTCGGTTTCTGGCAAAAAAAAAAAAAAAAAAAAAAAAACTAATTTATTGGGGTTTGAAACGTTTCTACCTATAGGATTATTGTCTTCGGGACGATAATCGAGAGGAGTCTGTACCATTATCTTCCGAGGACAGTTTCTCCGTTCGAAAGCTTGCAACACGTATTTAACTCGTAGGATCTACTAATTGAATGTTTACTGGGTTTATGTACACAGCTGTTATTCGCTGGATTGTTGGCGATCGCCGCCGCCGCACCATCACCGAAACCAGCCCCGGCTCCAGCCCCTGCTCCAGGCAGTTCGTACATCAGCGGCCCGTTGATCACCCCGATAGCACCATCGCTGCTCCCGAAACTGACTCCGACGCTGTACGTGAATCAGTACCCGTACCCGATCCTGGGCTACCCATACGGCTTGCCTCCTGTGGTACTTAAAGACTACGTCTACTAAGGGACACCCGAGTCGATCGACCGAACCGAACCGAATCGTATCGAAACATTTATCCGAAGCAATCTGTAACGATCGACCACCACCCCATCTTCGTTTATCGCGACACAGTTGAAATAAATCAATTAATATCGCCCTTTTGAGCGATGACGTATGTCTCTCTGTCTCTCTTTCTGTCTCGTCTTTCTCTGATTGAGAAATGGAATTTTGTAGCTACTTGAAATTCGGCGTGAATAAAACCGCTTGAAAGCACGAAACAGATCGTTTTCATCACCACCACGCGACCCACCCTCCGATCCCTTCCGATTTCTGGCCGTTTAATGGTTGTTCGCTTACCCGTTAATGAGAAGCACACAGCCTGGTTACGCGACGCCTCCCCCCCCCCCTCTTCTCGGTCGCTTTATAAATCCGATTATGTAACCGGCCGAACGTAGGCGTGATCACACTTCAAATGATCGCTCTCCACCCACCTGCATTGTGTGTACATACCTAGGTATCTGCGGCAACGGTTACCCAGTGGAGGAGGGGAAGTGTATACGCGCACAATTAACGGCGCGCGTGCCATCGCTGGCGAATACCCAACTGTCCCGAGGGATCGACGAAGATTTTCACTTCGGGCTGCAGCGATCTACACTCGGAATAGGGTAAATGTTACAATTACTGCCAGTGTCCCTAATACAGACTCCTCATTATTGTTTATAAATACTAGATATTTCTTTAAGGTTAACAATAAAAAGCACTAAATATTAAATTTTCCGGTTTAAAACTCGGTGTACAAGGTTATATTTTGCAGAAAACAATATATATTTAAAACTGTAATAATGATTTATAATATAGGACCGCTCAAGCCCAAACGATATATGAAAGGCATAATGTAGACTGCTCTCGATTATTGTCCTGAACACGAGTCCGCGCCAGGACAATAATCTTGTAGGGAGAAATGCTTCAGACCCTCGTAAAATTCGGTTTTTGCCCGAAGCCCGAGCCTCGTCCACAAGACCAGAAGCCCAAAAAACAGGGATAAAGTCGAAGTGCTATTTTTCGTACTAAAAAAACCCACTAATTCCGTAACTTTCCAAACTTTACCGTTTCCCCTATTTCTCGGGCTCCTTCCCCACCATGGCGACCGAACTAAAATCGTAAAACTGAACGTGGTCGGTAAGAAGATTGTAGGCTGATTAGGTACCCTCTGTCCAGCACGTCTGCATCCCCCAGCCTTTGTTCCCGGACGAATGGCCAGTTAATTATGCAATGAACGAAACCTGCAGAATCCGTTACGTAAAGGTAAATAACAATGTCCTCGAGGGGGCTGCTGTGCGCGGCACAAAGGGTTGCGAACAACAGAGAGGAATACGCGGATTCTCGTCGGTCGGTTTATCGTTCTGAAACCCAAGAATTCTCTATCCCTGCCGATCGGTGGCTGGTGCAATTACGTCCCCCCCCCCCCCCGGTTTTGTTGTCGACGTCCATTAATTCATAACGGACAGAACAGATCATTTCTCGACGTGAATTCGACGGGGGCATTCTTCTGACGCTCTGTTCCCGCGCCTACGCCCCGATTCTCTCTCTCTCTCTCTCTCTCTCTCTCTCTCTCTCTCTTTGTGCGCTGTTTACGAAATTATTGATTGTACGGATGCATCCTATGTAGCTCCACGATGCGATCAGCTCGGGGGCTGGTGCAACCACCCCTTGGGCATCGATCGCTGCCGCCGTTGTCGGAGTTCAACGACCTCCTTCGGCTTCTCTTCTCACGGAGACGTTACAATCTTTCATCCCCCCCACCCCACCCCTTTTCTCCTGTTATCAGGAAAGTTCTCTATCATTGATCTAATCCGTCGTGTCAGTCTTTTGAATCTTCTCACTCTCTTCTTCAATCAGTGTGGGTCGTTATATATTTGATGAACCCGTGTGGTGTCACGGAATGCGTCAGATCTACTGGGTGTCTGAAGTAACGTGATCACCTGGAATAATGACTTAAAGGTATGCTTTATGAAAATATTTGGGCGTGGATCTTAAATGGCATCAAGAGGCGTATGTTATAAAGTACGTGCTCTTTTGGGTGGAAGAATTTTTGAGATTTCAAGGAGTCGGGGAAAGACAGAAAGAGGAATTATTCGTGGATTCCGTTCGTTCCTGAAACGGAGCCATCGGGTTAAATGACCGTACGACCCCGTATTCTTGGTCGTTGAGGAACGTCTGTAATGTCGCTGGTGTGAGAGATGTAGCGGCGGGGGTCGTAAAATCGACCGAGAAGTTGAAGTTTTAGTGTTTCGGGGGTGGGGACGGGGACAAAAGAAGCGGTGGAAATGTGGGGTGGGCGAAGTGTCTGGGGGTTTCACTCGGTGACAAGCTTGTATGAAAGATAGAGATGAAATACTCGTTCGAAAGTTAAAAACGGATGTAATAATAAAAATAGGGGATGGACTAAAAGCGTATAAGAATCGATCGACTGGGATTGTACGCGGGGATATGAAAAGTTGACGGAAGAATGAGACTGCCATTTTGTTTTACGAAGTCACAGCGTGGAGACGACGAGTTTTCGGGGTAAAGCGAAGTGGTCTTCATTGAATTCCAGAATTTTATTTTACTACTCGATTTTGTACCGTTCAATTGTGATTGTTTTTTAAGTTACGAAAAATTTGAATTTCGACTACTGAAAAAAAAAATTAAGGATAATTCACTGGGAAGTAACTAAAGCTGTAAAACAGGATGTTGTAAACTTCAGTTCGAAGGATACTTCCTTCTATAGGCAAAATTTCGAGAGGTGGAAATATAGGATGCAAAAGTGATCACACGTGGAAAATTAAATTTCCTCTGATGCATAGATCGTCTTTTATTAAAATTTTCCGCGAACTTTTTGATATCCTAGAAGTTGCAGGGACTCGGCTTGATATGAATTACCAATATTATACCTTTGAGGTGCTCGTCAAGGATCTAAGAAGTCACTGAGTATATTACAAAAAAGGTCCACGTTACTTGCCGAGTTAACCCATTAAGGACCAATATTGTATTAACGCAATAATTTCATTCAAAATTTGTTTCAGTCTCACAAAACGTAATAATAATCAACTTAAGTTACACGGAAATAATTCTATAACAATACATATTCTGAAATGTTTATCAATACGGGAATGTGTATTGCGATAACTAAGTTTTCCAACGATGAGTCGTTTATTGAAAAATAACAATTCATAGTAATGTAAATAAATAAAATAAATAGGTATGCCTAATATCGATACTTTCGACTTCAAAAGAATAATATTTGAGGTGCAAACGTCAGTCTCGTAATTTTGAAATAACGATTTAAAATTCTGGACGTTAAAGGGTTAAACAGGCTGTACCGATATACATACAGTCCCCGTCGATCGGTTAGTTGCTGCCGATTCCCGTCGACCGAAGAACGCATCGGTCGCGATGTGTCACCGTTCCTCGAGGACACGATCATCCGTACCCTCTCACGTGGAGTGGAGGACATGCGCGCAACCCTCCGGCGTGCCGCGACTATATAAGGGAGGGCCGTGAATCACCGAGTCTCAGTCCACCCTCGCGAACAAACCGTCAAATATCTAACGGCGACTAACCACGAGAGGGCGAAATAACAAAGTTTCACTAAACAACAGTGTGCGTTTATTCCGGCTGAAACCGGCAACCACACAGGAGTCAGTTAACGACTCTCGCTAGAAAGATCGACCAAACTTTTGAAACTGAACGTGCGACTGGAAGAAATAAAAAGCAAAACACTAAGAAAGTAGAAACACCAACGACTGTCAGAAACGATCTGGGACAGTGATCGAGTGTGACGAAGGTGAACCAAAGAGTGTGTCGTCGTACCCAATTTGTGTTAACCCGAGTGGCGTGTGCATTTACTCCGCGTGCTTGGTGACCATATACACACAAGTGGGCTCCGAACAGACACGTAAAATCTCTTTCGAACTGGCGAAAACTACGCAGCGTTTCGACCACGACATCGTTCGTCGTGGTCCGTCGATGATGGAGGACGCGACGAAGCTGACCGATTCCGAGGAGGATCGTCGTCGCGGCAGCCCAAGCGGGAAGAACGACACGAAACGGGGCCACGCTGGGGGGCCGGTCGAGTCGTCGAGACGACGACGACGTGAATTCGGGGACGACGAGTGCAGCACGGACAGCGGTTGCAGCAGCGGCGGAAGTATCGATAGCGCGGAAAGATTGTCACGTCGCGGTAGCAGCGAACGTCTGTGCCGTGCCACAAGATCCCCGAAGAGCCATTGTTATCTGGATCGACTTCGGGGTCGTCCGACCCGTTCCCAGGAACGATTGTCCAGCGTCCAGAGAAGCTCTGAGCGTGTACGCGCGAAATCATCCCGTTCGTGGAGCCCAGGCGACGTCAGAGGTATCGCAAGAACCACCGAATCGCTCTCCTATTCGCCGAGCCCGTCAGACGTGCAGAGCAGCAGCGACAGCGATTCGTTCAGGAAATCGTTCACAGCTGACACGCTTCGCAGAGCGTTCCAAACGTTGAAGATCACCTCGAAACGGGAGGGTAAGGAGAACAAACACGCGAAGAAGAGCCCCAAGAGGATTCTACGGAGCCCCGTTTCGTACACCTATGTTCGAGGGCTTTCGGGTCTGCCGACCCAAAGAGTCCCGAGGAACGTGGCCCAGCAGCTGTCGATGCCGTGCTCCTGTCAAGACGGATCCGTGGGACTGTATCGATAGAGACGCCGATGGTCAGAAGAGGATCGATCGTTTCTTCGATCCTGTCCACAGCCGATCCTGCCCGTTCGTTTTTTTATTTCAATTTCATCTGATTTACTATGAGGTGTACCTCGTAGGTACAAAAAAAAAAGAAACTCGAATCGTCGTGAGATCTCGCGATCGAGATCTGTTATTGTCTAATCCCCCCCCGTTAGTCTTCTATTCGACGCCTTATGTTACGCGAAACGGAGAACACTGCGTCCTCCGCCCACCCCTCAAAACTTCGAACTGATTATTCTTTCGGAATCTTGACCAACCGTGTGGACCGAGAGAAATATGGCGAACCACGAAATACAGTGTATACGGTCGGAGAAGATTAATAAGACACGTTGGCCGCGTTTCTCCGGGAAGAGTGTATGTGTGTGTGTTTTATTCTTAAGAGACGCGGCACAGAGAAACAATATAGGCCGTAGGTTATTCGCTAACTATTCGTGAAAACGGGAATAGATCACGTAGAGAGAGAGAGAGAGAGAAGTATAGTCGTTCCAGCGTATAAATAATGTACCTTTCGTAGGGAACGGTTTAGTTACATCCATAACAAAGTATGTAAATCGGAGAATACAATTAGTTAAATACACACGATCTCCGAGTGTGATTCACGATCGACTCGCGGTTTGGCTCGTATCGATTGTGAATACAGTGGACTCTTACTATATTGCCGCGGCCGGGGACTGCAGGTGAATAATATTATCGGAAACTGCAATGCGTCGAGAGCTTCCTTCGAGAATGTGCGTGAAATTACGCGTGCAGGGGAAGTGGCTCGCGTGGCAATAGGCCAAGCGGCAATATCGTAAGAGTCCACTGTATATATGTATATACAGAAAAAGGAGACAAAGGAATGGAGGAATGAGATAAAGAGATCGATGGGATGGAAAAGAACCGAGCAGTGAACCGCATACCGTAGAGACTAATTATTGACGATCCATTTCGTGAATCGTCTTTCTCGAATAACAACGAGAATTATATTATCGGCGCTAACGGAACAATATAAGTCAATTATGTGGACACATTGAAATCGCGCGACAATTAATTACGCGTCTTCTATCAAACAGGGTGGAAACGATCGAGAAGTCCGTGGTTGCGGTCTCGATCGACCTTTTTCTGGGGACCGTGGCACGCTGACTTCCGGTCGTGTGTACTCCATTTAGAGAGTAGAATTATCTCGTTCGAATTAAGGGTAAATTTAACAAACATATCACGATTCGATGATCCGTAACGCGTTTTCGCTCGACGCAACCCCTTGGCGGAGCTTTCGTGATTTGCCAACGAAGTTTGGATCTGTGAGTGTGTCTGTGCGTGATCGTGATCTCCGGGGACCGATGTGTTTATCGTTTTCCGATCGAAACTCGCGAGACGAACGGCGAAACGATAACGGCGGCGCCGGAGGAAAATGTGTTTGTGTGTGTGTGTGTGTGTGTGTGTGTGTGTGTCTCCGAGCGGTTGCAATCGAATGAAACGCGGCGAAGATTCCTTTTATCTTGTCATCTGAGCTATATAATATCTCTCACCAAGAAATTCTCATTGAAACAAAAAGAAACGAGAAAAAAAAAAGAAAAAAAAAAAAGAAACAGAAAAAAATAAAGACGAAATGTTAGCGCGATTCGTACACACGCGGAACACATTATGCGAACTTCCAGTGCCTTGTACATAATTCGCCGCGTGATCGCACGCGTTAACTATATAAGGCGGTAAAGCAATTGGCATTATACGATTTTATCGAGCATCACCGTGATACAATTGTCCACGAGTAAAAACGCGATGGGAAAGAGGATCACGACACGTACGTCTCGTCGACGTTTCTACGAATTGTTATCCGGCTGCGAGCGGGCGCGTAATACAGTAAATCATCGATGAATGCTCGAACGCTGCTTCGACGAGTGTCCCCCGAGGTGTAACGTTGACTTTTTAACAGGAGGTTTAGCACAGTGATAGAGCTTGGAATTCTGAACCCAATGATATTTCGTTCATCCACATACGGCCATTAGTTTATGAAATATTTAATGTTCCGTGAGGAGCCTTCGGACACTCATCGTGGATCTACTGTATGATCCTTTTGCGTCCGAGAATGCCCGGAATCTCAGGACTGAATGTTTTATATTAAGTATTACCTATGTCGATACTCGTAGTTTACGTATATCAAATAAAGATTTTTCATTCAAACCGTGTGTCTATATTTGTGTTATTACATAAAAAAAAAAATCCATCGCTCCCTTTGAGCATTGTCTTCCAGCCGTTTACGATCGTTCATCGAACGAGCTGTCGGTCTTCACCGATTCGTTCGAAGCTCGAAATAGGGGAATCTCGAGAATAATGCCCGGAAAAGGTCTGTTGGGATCGACTGGAGGGTTGGGGGTGGGGGCAATCTGTGCCGACGTCGTCGCGTTTCTACCGGAAAACGGTCCGCGGGGACACGCGAAAACGAGGAAGGACGCCGCGGCGCTGGTCCGTTTATAGCCACGGCCATGACAGCATCAACGAGTGACCCACTTGCAGGGGTTTGCACGCGACACCCCGTGACGTCACTCGAGCAAAGCGACGCCATTCACGACCCTTCTTTGACCTAGATCGAACGACGCTTGGCCCATCCCCATGAAATACCATAGTTCATTCAAAGATCGGCGCTAACCGAACGGGTCGACGTTGATTCTTTCATAGGGGTGGGTTAATCGGGGCTCCAGGATCGCGAGTACACTCTTACTGCGACCTTTGCCATCCGGAATGAAATCCATCGTCAGTGGCCTGCAGCGATTTCTCTTTTGGGAATGTATCAGTCATCTCTCCCAAGTTTGAATTTAGATTTTTCGTGACCCAGGACTATCAAACCTTCCAAAGGTAGGGGGAGGAGGGCAAGAATGTCTCTAATGGAACTTACAGTAAAATACATATATCTTCAAAAATTGAAATTTACGTTCGGCTGTAACGAACAATGCTTCGATATATTTAAATAATTATGGTCCGATTTATTACTACATTTAGTGCGATTTTTAATTATTTCAAAGGGGTGAACAGTTAAGAAAATTTCATTCAATAATTTTTTTTAGATAAATAGAAGGTTTAGATTGAGGCCCCTGTGAAGTGAGGTCCAATGCTACAGCCCCCCTAGTCCCCCTTGATCGTTGAGAACGCGACGTTAGATCGTGGAAAATCGCTCCATCGACATACTTATTATACCGAACGATCGGTCGGAAATCGTATGTATGTACGCATACATATGTGTACAGGATAGGCCGATGATCGCTCCCTCCCCCAACCGAACGCGTTTCTTTTTCTCTCATCGTTTGCCCCAGTTTTCCTTTCAAACAGGTGACGTCATCGACGTCATTGAGAAGACCGCCGACAACGCGCCCTAATTCCGAGGCTCGCGATTGAATAAACTCGGTTCCCAGCACTGCTCTGCTATCCTTCGATTACTCGGCGTCATTGCGCGCACGTACGCACACGTGCATCGAGCTATCCGGGGCCCCGTCTTCCTTCCTTCCTACCCTCGATTCGTGATTCATGCGTCAAGATATCTCACGTCGATGCTGCACGGCCTTTTTTCGTTTGCGTGTTACAGTAAATCCTCGATGACTGCTCGAAGGCTCCTTGGCACTGAATATTAAATATTTCGTAAACTAACTTTCGTAACTAAGCTCCATCATTGTGTTAAACCTTATTACAAAGTCAGCGTTACTACCTGGGGAGATCAACTTATATGAGGCTTCGAACACTCATCGAGGATTTACTGTTAGATAGGCTGAGAAATTGGTTATACGACGAAGACGTGGGTACGTATAGTTAATAAGGGAAGTTTGGTGTACCCCGGAAAATTTGGGATTTTTTCTTGAACTCCACAGATTTTCAGGGGACCTTGATAGAAGCATCGGGAAATTTTGCGTTTCCGATGACATTTGGCTCTTCGAGGTGAAACTATCCCATGAAAGGTCAACGTGGGTTTTCCTATTTCCTTGTAGATCTTGGAAATGATAGTATAATTCTTAACAGTTTTTTATCCTCTATAAGACCATGCAATGAAATTGTTAAAAGTTTGTTTGTTTATTTATTCATTTAAGGAAGAAATATTTAATAGTCCTGTTGCAGATGTTCATAGAGTATAAGTAACCATTGAATTTTCAGATTTATAAGAAAAATATCGATCTGCTATGGGTTTGTGTGAAATATTGTAAGAAACTTACACAAATATGATCACCAGGTCCCAAAGAGTTAAGAAAAAGGTCGGTATTTTCGGGGTATCGAAGTTCCCTCGAGAGTGTCGCATAAAAAATGTATAAATACATGATCAAGACGTATTTAAAGAATACAGAAGCCAATCTATCACTGTCCCCGATTGATTACATTCCGCGAGTAGCGAGTAAACTGAACGGTTTGTCGAAAGGGTTGCAGCTGAAGGGTTAAACGAAAGCTGCGTCTGTACCGTGGTCTCCTATTCCTATATTCTTATAGGTCGAAACAATCGAAAGATATTACAGTCGATCCATATTCGAAGGACAGAGAAAACGACGCAAGGATTCAATCGGTTCGAGGATAATCGCGAATTCGTTGCAACGGCCCATTCAAGCTCCTGGCGTAGCCGCGATGCGAAAACGTACGGTCGGGTCGTTGCGCTTTCTCGATGACGTGGTCGTTACGTCACGTCGTCATGGATACCTCGTTGTTCCGTCGTCGACGATCTCCCCCGAAACCCCCCTCGCAGCCGCGGCAAACTCGATGAAAATTGGGGCTTCGACCTCGAATTAGGTCGGCGCGTTGCTCCACTTTCGCGAGCCGAATCCGAGGCTCCGAACGGCCCCGAGGCTCGCTCCTTCTCCACCCCCTCCGCCCCTACGATGCGCCAACTTTGATCTCTGTTTACCGAACGACGACGTGGTTCCTCGTCGCGATGCATATACAGAATGTACACTTTTGTCACGATTATTCTAATATTTTGTCGCAATATTTTCTTATTCTTTTCGCTACGGAGAAGTAATTTTTGGTCATTCAGGTCTTTTGTAGAAGTAGGGTCCCTGGTCGAAAAATTAGGGCCATCCATAATTTTCCAAATTTCTCGCTGTAATCGTTGAATTAGAAGGCCACATTGAGGTGTATATACTGTATGTACGTACTTTAGTAGTTTATAAAAATTATTATTAAATGACGTTCTGGCCGTTTAATTCTATGATGATATAAAATTTGGAAAGTTATGGGTGGTCCTAACTTTTTGGCCAGGGACTGTATTTTGTCATCATAGTCGATGTTCAATCTTATAGTCTGTTTATTGACAGGACAAATTTGTACCTGAATGCAGGTATATATCACCAAAATTCTGGGCAATACGGGTAACCTGACCCTTCCTCTACGACGCTTTGTAGGTAAACTCTCAGTTATTCTACAACCTTCGTGAGGACACGACGTTTTCAAGTGCTCTGTACTTGACTCGTTTCGAAGCAGTATTCGTGAGTAAGAACGTTTAGGCATACTAAAATTAGAGTTCTCCTTAAGAAGCAGAACATCCCGTGTTTTTCATTTTGTGAAATTCCAAATATGGAATAGGCCGAATGTGCTGGTGCAGAGTTTGATAATTCCAAAAAACTTTTCCTCGAAAAGTCCCACAATAAATTATCTCAAATAGTCATTTCCTATTTTCATTTCAAATCAAATTTTCTCAAGTCTGCTGGACAGACTGCATTTCGGAGCAATATGGACACCGGAAGCGGAAACAGGGGGGCGGAGGGAGGGGTGTAATAACGTACGAACAACATAGAATCATAATGTAATATATTATTCCTCTTATTATATAACACAATTATTGCTATCGTTATCATAAATCGTAACAACTCCTTCATGCCTTTCTCTCCGAAATTCCATTTCTTCGTCGATGTCGTTGAACGCGAACCTCTCCGCGATCGATTCGGCTTCTCTCATCCATGTAGCAATAATAAATAGATCGTCGCGATCATAAATTTATTTCTTTAGTCGAAAATTACAAGCTTTCGCGCGGTTACAGGCACTATCGTTGGACACGTTTTTCTTCTTTTTTTTTTCTTTTGTATTTTTGTATTTCACCGGTTTTGCCGCGTTTCTCGGCCGTGTGCCAGTCTTTCTCAGTGTTCGTCCGTCGTCGCCGTTTCTCATACGTCGCGCGTGACGAACGGTAGAAGAAACGGTATCAACGGAAATTTGGGGGAAAAGAGGACGCGCCGAGATACCGTGGCCCCTCGAGAGCGTGGAAGCTTGGAATCGATAGAAAATCTGGACCTTAAGATATAGAATGGAAAAGTAGATACGTTCGTTTAAGCGTAAAAAAAATTGCATTGAAAAACTCGAATGAGAACTAGAGAACGGACCGAGCATTTTTGGATCGCTGGTCCTCTACACTTTCGACATTTTTGCTAGTCCGGTGGATGAGGAATATACATGTAAAAATATGATTATCTCGTTTATCGGGAGTGGATAATATCGGTAATATCTGCGTGGTTCTCTTCCATTCTGTGGTTCGCTCATTTTTCGTTTCGGGTTTTCGTTTCGTTTTTGATTCTTGCTTTCGTTTTGCATTCGTTTCTGTGTGCCGGTTAACAAGCGCTATGAATGATGTGCTTATTTCGTACGTTGAAGCGCGATTTTTTGCCTTTCTTTTATATATGTATATGTGTGTATTACGAATGATTATCAACGAAGCGATTCGAACAATATACTTTTTCCGGGGTAAAATGATTCGCTCGTTGCAGACGCTTGCTGGATCGGCTGGGGAACGCTGCCGCCGTTTTACGAACACGGTCGGTTCTCGTTTCGGTCAGCAGAGATGATGGCTGGATGGTTTTCGATCTAGTTGTGGAACCTTTATGTATGTTCTGGAAAAGATCGGACCCCGTTTCAATTTGAACGGACAACGATGATCGTATCAGAATTTTGATTTGTTAGAAGCAGACTGACGGCACAAAACAAAACCACTAATCGTCTAAACTACGAGCAATGGACCGAACAATTATTAACACATTGTAGGCGGGCTATCTTGCGCGTTTCACTTAGCGTGGGTCATTTTTGACGACTTAATAATCTTTTTTTTTTTTACTATTGTTTATAACTATTACATATTTCTTTAAAGTTAACAATAAAAGGCACTAAAAATTCAATTTTTCGGTTTAGAAATCGGTTTACAAGGTTATATTTTGCACAAAACAATATATGTTTAAAACTTTAATAATATTTTATAATGTGGTACCGTTCAATCCCAAACGATAATATGAAAGACATAATGCAGACTCCTCTCGATTATTGTCCCGAACTCGGGTCCACGCCGGGACAATAATCTTGTACGAAGAAATGCTTCAGACCTTCGTAAATTCGTTTTTCCTCCCAAGCCCTAGCCTCGACAACAAAAACGGAAAGACAACGAATGGTGGGGATCACGCCTGGACAATAATCGAGCAGAACGAGCCAGACGATAATCGAAAGGAGTCTGTGAAAACGTAGGAATACGTGTCCCGCGTACAATGTGTGAATATTTCGAGCACAAGCGAATAACTAGGAAAGGAAACGAAACTGCAACGCGTCAATCTCGGTGGAGAAAAATGTTGCTGGAACGAAAGAATAAACGAACAAACTACGAATCATGCGCAGCTACGCGTGTCTGATAGGACGCTCGGTTCAAAACAGAAATCGCTCGTGTCGTCGAGAACTTACCCGTCCTATTCACTGAGCACCGGCAGTAGGGACCTTATGCGCGAGAAACGAATCAAAAGAAAAACATGATTAGCTCGTCGTCTTCGCGTACGTGAAGTTCACATAACGTTGCTATCATCGTACGCACGTTCGTTTTATATGAAACGATCGGTATGATCTGAAACGAACATTGAGATTGTCGCGATAAATCGGGAGGACGTTTACTTACAGTTCGATGCTCTGAATGGTCGACGTAGGACAGGTCGTGTCCACTTTCACGTGACAGTGTTTGTGGCACTTCATCTGACAGTCCCTGCACTCGTAGCCCTGCTTACCCAAACGTCTCGCGAGCGTTCGTTTGCAGACTTCGCACACGGTCCCACTAAAACTGGAAACAATTCATTGGTAAAATGAATCCACGGATTTATCGAATTTTGCTATTCCCTCGGGACAGCAGTAGGAGTGTACGATAACTCAAAAAATCTTAATCCAGGCCTGACTTACCCTGCCATGTGTTTCGCGATGAAGGTGTGATCGTTGAATATGTGCAGCTTCGTGCCTTTTTTCCTCCATTTGCTCTTCTGTGCGAGCGACAACGGCACCAAATAGTGCCTGTAAGAAGAAGTACAAACGCGTGTGTGTATCAGTGAGCTGGTCATCATAGGACCTAGACTGTAAACGAGACCAAAATTGTGACGTTACTCACTTTTTGATGCCATTCTCGACTGTCTCGAGAACCAACGTGGAAGCCTCGTTTATGTACGTTCTGGTCGACGCTCCGCTTATACCGGACGCCTCGCTCAGACTGGACCGTCGCGAGTGTTCTTCTCTTCCTGGTATCGATAAACGAGCTATAAAATTCAAGCAAAACGACCGTTTTGCACTTTGTTATGTTAGTCACGCGTCAGAGATTAATAGTGGGAGGCATTAGGACCAGCAATGGGATCAAGTTCAGTATATATTCACGAATTTAAGTCAATTTCCATAACCAAGTTCCATTTCATAGGTCCTGATCGCCACTCAAAAGCAATAAAGTTTCAATGAGTATACTTGAAATGTAATGTATAATTTTGATTACTTAGATATAATTTTTTGCTAAACTACATACAATTGCAAAGAACAGAAAACTTCTGATCTAAGTACACATAAAAGGTTCGAATCTATTGGGCCAGGGTTTGGGTACACTTGGTTCGAACATCTTTCATCTGGGATCCAGTCTACTTAAAAGTATTGCTTTCCTTATTCGAAGTATTTATGAAACGTTCAAAACTATCCTACTTCTAGTGTACTTTATCCCATCTCTAAATTAGACTTGCGTGTCGGATTTTGGAATCTAAACGCAGCTGAACGTCGCTGCATTCTTTGCTACATGTGAATCAGTACTCACCAACGTCGCGTCCCATGTCGCAGGGGATTCGCACGCAAAACAAACGAACACACAACTTTACGCTAACAACGGTGAACTATCAATGCGGCGACCGTTAATTCTAATCTACGGGGACTAACGAGTTAATCGCGATTAAGGGGTGAGCCTGGTGTAAACAGCTAAAAATGAACGAATTTTGGGGAATTTATCATGAAAAAAGTATTGAAACCAATCTCTTTCAAACTTTTAGAATACTTTATTGTACAAATAAACTGAAAACAAAAGTCTTTATTTTCACGACAAATTCATAAATATTATTGTTATAAGGACTTATGTGCAGCTCCTAAGCAAATGCTTATAACTATAATATTTATGGATTTGTCGTGAAAATAAAAATTGTTGTATTCAGTTTAATTGTACAATAAAATATTCTCAAAGTTTCAAAGAGATTGGTTTACTAATTTCTTCACAAGAAATTCCCAAAAATTCATTCATTTTTAACCCGTTCACACCAGGCTCCCCCCTTAATTGGTACAATTTCTACATAGTTATTCATGGTATTTTTTTTACGATCGGACAAATTAACAAGGAACAAACGTACCAGATCCAGGATCACGTGCCCTGTCCGCGGATATAGATCTAGAGTGGGCATCCTCGTGATTCGCGTCACCTTCCGGCCCGACAGATCTGCTTCTCGTTTTCGATCGTGTCAGTCGTTTCTTTATGGTCCCGAAGAAGTCCCGTCGTTTTCTTCGAGTCCTCCCTCTTTCTGCGATAAGACAAGAATCATTGAATACATACATGAAAAGTACATTGAACACACGACACGAAATAATGTCTACCTTCGGAATTGGAGGAGTTTGGTGTGCTTTCTGGTCCCGATGTCAGGCTGGTGTCTTTCGGTCCATGCTAAAACGACACGTGTACACAATTAACGATACAATTCAACAAACTGCCATTATATGCGATCTAATCGACCGATTTTTAATGATATTGTTAATGTATATCTACAGAAAAAACACGTGCAATACATAGCACCGACAACTAGTGATCGGACTGATACCGTATCGATACCTAACCCAGACCTGTAGGTATCAAATATAATCGATACCAGTTTGATACTTCTACGCAAGGATCGATACCTGTTTGATACTTCTACGGAAGTATCGATACGCATTTGATACCTAATGAAATTATTAATACCCATTTGATACTTTACGAAATTGTCAATTGTCAATATTCATTTGATATTTCACCAAAACATTGACGTCTGTCTGATATAACCTCGAAGGTTTCGAAGTATGGATACTATGTACAAGAAATGCGTTACCTTTTTTAGTACTTTTTTTACTTTTTTACTTTACTGCTTTCCAAAGAGGTACGATTTAGGAAACCAGAACGTTTCAAACGTACCTTCTGCACTATGTTGGAAAAACTCTTATAAAACATTAATTCCTTGTTGGTAAAGGGTTAAGGTGTCGATAATTGATACCAAGTATCTAAAACTTTGGTACCTTTTGATACCTCCCATTGATTACTTTCGAATCGAATTGTTCGAGCATCATCGACACGTATCCGTATCAGTCCGATCACTACCGACAACAAGCATAATTACCTCCGGGGATATTTCTTGCCAGCTGCCGCTCTCTGTCAGGGCGACCTGTCGAATTAGTAAAACACACCTCACTCAGCTGACGATTATTAGTTTTCTCGTTGCACAAAGAGTTCGTTTCCTTCGGTAACAGAAACGGATAAGGAACACGACTACGAGGGACAAAAACGCGACAAAAATTACTAGCTATGCTAAAGTTCACGGACACAGCCATTTCTGCGACAACCGAATGGGTGTCGACTTCCGGTTTCATCCGTCTACAGCGAGTGTGCATCGACTAGTGATGGGCATCGACTAATGACTATTTAGTCGCAACATACTATCGACTATTTAGTCGATAGTTTTTAGTCAACTGAAATTTTGCTTTATAGGTTATGTATAGATTATGTCATCAAGTGACAGAGTCGAATTCTGAGATAATACGTTCTAGTTGGTTCGTCTTCTTTCTTACTAATACTTACAATTTCTTATTAATGTAAAAGAGGCACGAAAGTATTCGTGCACTCTAAACAATTAAATGAACTTTTTAAAATTAACGATCTGACTTTTTCGGAGAAGTTTAAACGATTAGTTCACAAGGTAATGCATAAAAAAATATATGGAAAAATTACAATTGGTGTGCATCGCGAAGAAAATAATCAAGATCCAGTCAATAGCGATCAATAGCTCGATAGTTCAAGCGACTAAATTTAGTCGACTGAAGGAGTTGCTTCAAGCAACTAAATTAATCGACTGAAAGTAGTCGTTGATTACTATCGACTTAGTCGATAGGTTTTAGTCGATGGTGCCCATTACTAGCTTCGACATACGACTTGTTAACCGGCCAAAGCCCGCGAACCTCAATATAGCTTTGACTTTACAGCAGCGACAACGGAAAATAACGTAACGATCGATGGAAGACGCTTTCGGTCCGTTCCGATCGAAGCGGAAGATCGTAAAACAGGTAGGATGTGTGCGATTATTGTCGTCGTGGATGATGCCATGCAGTGTAAACGGGGTTACCTTAACTACTTGCCGCTCCAGGTACTGCAAAAGAGAATGCACAAAAAAAGAGACGCAACAGTTAGTGAGCTCGAGTTAGAAAAGTAACAGAATAGATATTTTCACCGATTCAGGTTAACTTTAATCAATAATGATAATAATAAAAAAACTTTCCATTGGAAGTTTGGAGATTCTAATGTGAAACGTACCCTCTGTTGGCTGTGCACGATTAGTGTCCCCTTGTTACCATTGGACTGACCGGTTCTGTAGGGCGAATCCACTGCGTTCCCATTGGTCAGGTAATCTGCGGATCATGTTTCAATAACAGTCGATCAGAATTCCGTGTGCTGTCCGTTTCATTCGCGCGAATGCTCGAAAAAAAATCCTCTCGGTAAATAACTTCTATAATGACGCCTATACATATATGTATATATATATATATATATACTTCCATTGTCTTCTACGAAGCATCGGCCATTTCGTTTACCAGATAAATTTCTCGCGCTTGTTTGGCTACTGTTTCGATGGTTACGTAAAACGTGTGATTTACCGTCACACCCGTTGCTCGTCAAGAATCTGTTCTCTGGTAGCCGAAATAACTCTGAGGGACTGTGAACCGGGAAACATCTCGATCGGGTAGGCGAGCGGTGAAAAACCATTACATTTAAAATCGTGCTGGTGGCGGAGGAACGTTAAACCGCGAGACGTTAACGCAGGGCCGTTCCTGACGGGGGTGCAACAGGTGCCACCACACCTGGGCGACCGCTGATGTAGATATAAAAGTAAACGCTGCATATCGAATTCTTAATTAAATAACATTAAATTAATAAGGACCACGATACTGTTTTTGCACCCGAGTGGCGAACAACCTAGGAACGGGCCTGCATTAGGGGCTCTACACCGGAAGGGGGAGAGTCAGGAGCACAGAATAGGTGAGAGCGGGGATAGTTTACAAAAAAGAATCTACGCGCTACACGTGAATAATGTTTCTCATGCGAATTACTATTGCGCGTACACGACCTGCCGCCACGGTACGACGAGGTGACGTATAAACAGTATGTTCGTTTTAAGTGTACTCGTGCAATTAGTTCTGTAAGTAGCAAATATATGAAAAATATATGAATTAATTATTTCATCTTGAGATAACGCTGGAGAGTTCTCTGAAGGTCACATTCAAATTTTTAAAGGGAATCCTGTATGTTTTATTACGTATTCTTACAGCCAATGTTGAAACGTAGGACAGGATTCTATTTAAAAATTTGAATCTGATTTTCACAGGACTGCCCAGTGTTCTCTCAAGGTGAAATTGTTATCATCATGGTATCACACAACTTTCATCTGAAAGATTTTTTCATAGTTTTGCTACTCACAGAAATAATCGCACAAGTACACTTAAAACAGACATATTGTGTGCATATTTGCAGGGTAAGTCAATAAGAACTATCTAAAATAACTCGGTACCTATTGGTTGTATCAGAAAACATTTTACTGAACTGTGTAACATTTACGGGACACATCGAGCGGATGCAATTTGATTGTTTTATATCTAATTTCCATTGATTGTAGTAAAAAAAGAGATGCATAAACCTTGAAAAAGTTCAAGGTCACCTTGATATTTCCAAAAATAAAAATAACATATAGAAACTCTGAATCCAATAAGATACTTAAGAGGGGAAATAAATTTCTACGTTTGCTCCTATCTTTATAAATTACTTTAGAAACTTTCGCATAAAAATCCGCACCTAATGGGTTATTTTAAATAGTATTTCTTAATAACTGACCCTGTATATGCATACGAGCGATCCGACTCGTTCTACGTGAATCGTTTTCAGGAGGGTAGTGCGTGTCCGTGTGCGTGTGATTGTGTGTAATTCAAATCCTGCGGTAAGCAGGCGGCAGAATGTGGGCGTTCGATAATGGTAACTCGCAAGAAACGCGGAACGTTCGCCGGGTCCGGTTGTGCGTCTCGCAGAAAGGAAGAGTGTACGGGCGACAACTAATCACTATATATAAATTCTCTCAACACTCGTGGAAATACGAACGCACGCAATGCCTTTCAGATAATCAATTGGTAATTACCCCCTTCGGACTGAACGGTAGAGTCGTACAAGATAAGTGTGCTGTTACCATTGTTGTAATTTAGACTATTGTCGCTGATGAGATTTGTCGGATTGTAGGTACGAGGAGCAGTCGGTGACACCGGCTTTATCGTCTCCTTCACCTTGTAAGGTTTGCTCCCAATCTGAGGCACCTCTGCACCCTCGATGAACAGAAACTGAGAAAAAGAGAGACAGAAAAGAGAGAGAGAGAGAGAGAGAGAGAGAGAGAGAGAGAGAGGGGGGCGACGAGTGGGTGGACAGAAAGGAGGTGAAAAAAAAATAGAACAACGGCGAGGCGCGCGACACACGCGATTAAACGTTTTGTTTTTTGTTTTACCTTCTATTTGCAAAACGTTTTCTCGCGTGTGATCGGATTCAGTATGCTGGTGTTAACTTACCTCGACGGTCAGGGTGCCGGTGATATCGTCTTCCTCGTACGGTCGGCCTTGAAGTGGTATGATCTGCCTCTGACTGGGATTAGCGAGAAGCTCGTCGACCCCGACGATTCCCAAGCCCAGGAAACGTTGCGTCTTGTTCACGCGATCGTATACCTCCAATAATACCTCGGTGGTGTTACGAGTCACGTCGCTGCGATTTATTCAAGCATACATCCGATTAAATCGGAACGGCGACGGTAAAACCAGATTCACAGTAGCTGTCACGGTACGGTCAGATCACGTCAAATTTAGCAGCGGTATTTATCGCTCACATGTAATCCAATGGGAGAAATATAGTCTGTATTCAGATTGAGCGTGATCTGAGCGTGGTTTTATTCGCTATTGGGAATCTGACGTAATTTGGGAATCGATTTCATCTGTATACAAGGTGAAACAACCTAAAGGTGGCCACCTAAATATCAACACTTTTGTTACACCCTGTATAATCACAACTGAAGGAGATATTTAAGTGTCTACCTTTCAGTGGAGTACCTGTATACGATCATCCACGGGCGACTTACAACAAGAACGCTTCGTCCCACAGTGGATTCCGTGTGTCCTTTTTGACAGAGGTCTGATTCTTTTGCGAGGGTTCATCGAGCTCGACCACGCAATACGGTTCCACGGCACCTTGTTCGCCGCCCAGTTCCGTAGCTCTGACCACTTTCACCAGCAATCGTTTCTCACCGGTCATGTACTGTGTCTGTACCGGAGTTGGACTCTGCGTTCGCATTTGTTGGCGTGGTGGTTGCTGCGAACCGCTGGACGTACTCTGGGAACAAATGGATGCGCGATTAAATCGATCCTCCGTCGCCATTTTTTTTTATTTCCGTTGAAACTTCACTTGTACCTTGTTTGTCTTCGTTTTCTTTAATTACACCACAAAGACAATATATTATTCTTACCATTATTGATCTTTTCGTGGGCTATCGATCGAAAAAGAAAACGGAGAACAGCCGAGCAATCTTACCATGCTGTCGTAGTGCATTGGCAACGAGAAGCCAGGCTGGTTCGTCGCCTGTTCCCTCCATAAACGCGGGCAACTCGGATATTGAAAGAGATTCAAATGAACACTGGTCCCCCTCAACGCACCCACCACAATCTCCGTCACAACATCCTGCAAGTGACTTTCGTCGAGGTCCTTCTTTATCGTGCCCACCGGAGCCAACGACACTTTCACCTAATGCACGAATGGAATACCATCGATTTATTAGAACACAGAGGGTCCATACGATTACATAGACAGTAATAAAATCACTGTGCAGTGCGTCTATTTTAAGTGTACTCTTGCGATTGTTTCTATAAGTAACAAAAATATGGAAAAATCTTTCAGATAAACATTGTGTGATATCATGGGGGACATATGATCATGATAACTATTTGACCTTGCGATAACGTTGGACAGTTCTCTAAAGGTCACATTCAAATTTTTAAATGGAGCCCTATATTTTTTATTGCATATTCTTTTAGCCTATGTTGAAACGTATTCACAACACTACCTACACATATATGTTCTATAAGCCGTCGTGCAGTTTCATTTGAAACATTGTTTAAAAAATAATTAAAATAGCCACAGTGTACATACAAGAGCAACGATGAACCATTTTTGCAAAAAAGACAGGTACCTCTGGCCAACCGTCGCATTTCAAGTCCAGAAGAAGTTTCTCGGTGATGGATATGACATTTAAACGGGCGCGAAATCGGTTTACGTTGACACGGTAGTGGCTGACTTCCAGCTTATCCGCCTTTCGACGGAACGCTTTCAGTTGCAACGCAGGCGTAGCTTCGCAATCGCACGTGATCGTCTGGAACCGAAACACAGCAAGCGGTAAAACAGCTGCTGGAAAAGAGCGTGTAGGGTGAACCAACCAGTTGAAATTGCAATTACACTTATTTTTCTTGAAATTCTTATAAAAATATTTCCTTATTATCATCATAATTTAAACAAAATTATTTATAAAGTGCAGAAAACGTGTAAAAGCCCAGTAAATGACTGCTACATTACTGAAATATTTTTAATAAGAATTGTACTTATTAATGTTTCCTTAATACGGGATATTAACAGTGCAACTACACTCCATAAAAATTTTTAATTTACATTTCTTGCCTAATGGTCAGTTCACCCTAGTACAGTTTGATCGAAATGGGACTTTCAAATACGTACCACGTCATCCTTCGAGTCACATTCGCAGAATATATTGGAGAGATTCGGTGGATAAGTCTCTGGTAGAACCCGAACAAATTCCACTCCGACGCCGTTCTGCAATATCCAATCGTGGATTAAATCATCGATCGATGGACAACTGACTAAATATGCATACACACCGTTTAATGGTTTCGTCGAGTCGTTTCGCTTGCTCATCGCGGATCAGATTAACCGAAACGACAGAAAAGAAGGAAAGAACGATTCGAGGTCGCGTGAAATGTATATTCCAGTCGACGCCTTAAAACGCCGTCGTAAAACTCGCGTCTCCCGTTCGTGGACGATAGTCCAGTCAAATTATACTTCAAGAATCCCATTTTAAAAAACAATTCTAATTAGCTATGTTTAATGAAATTTTTTAACAATGTTCCCCAACAATTCACGAATCCCAAACGTAAACGTTTCATTTCTAATGAACTTCCGAACATTTCCATGCAAAAACATAATTGATTAGAATTATTTCGGAAAAAAAGGCTAATACAACTGAACTACGAACAAGGGAGGAGGGTGTAGGGCGGTGCGTCTGTCAGAGCGTAAAGTCGAACCTCTCGGCGTTCGAAAAGTAAAATTGTCCGGCGTCGAGTAGTGGTTACGACCGAACGACGTTTCCGTTCCCCGAGAAACACCCACGCGCTACGAAAAACATCTCGCCTTGCCTTATCTAGCCTGGCCGGGTTGGAAATACAGACTCCTCTCGATTATCGTCCCGAACTCGAGTCCATTCCGGGACAATAATCTTATAGGTAGAAATGCTTCAGACCCTCGTAAATTTGTTTTTTTTTTTTGAAAAATATGCGCTTGACAGATTCCACCCCACTCCCCAGTGGTGGGGATAATGTCTGGACAATAATCGTGTAGAACAAATCAGACGATGTATGTTTCGAATTGATTCTTGCCACTCAATTCGATCATTCGATGACTGAATCCTCTCTTCACATGGTAGAGTAGCTATCAAACCTAACGGAATCTAGACACTCACCTCGTCGACGGACTTGGCGGTGAACGAGTTGAGAGACGTGACCCAAACAGCGAGTAATTCGTCGAGAATCGCTGGGTCCGAGTACATCCAAACGATGATCTCGTTTACCCAACGCACAGCATCAGGATCGGCACCAGTCGCGGTGGGCAGATGCAAGCTTCTGGAGCTTCTTGCGGGGCTGATCAGCGCACCGGAAGTTTTCCTGGCGGTCAACCGTTTACGAACGGGTGGAGTCGGTGGAACGTAGGATTGTGGTGAACCACCACCGATTCCAGACGGTGTAGCGACGCTACCGGACGGATGAGCGGCACCAATCAACGACGATCCGGAACCGGAACCGGAACCGGCGCCACCACCACCACCTGCACCGCCCGATGTCGGTGTCTTTCCACCACCACCACTACCCGTGGGACTCGAGCTTGGAGTTTTTTGTTTTCCCAACGAAAGCAACTTGCTGCCGCCAAAGATACCACCACCACCACCACCACCACCACCACTACCACTACCACCACCGACGCTATCACTGTGAACGATATGGCCGTCCTTGGCGGCAATTATCGTCCCGTAGACGGCACCGTTTAACACGAACCGATTGTATACGTATTTGCCGACGCACAACACCACCAACCCGAATACCATCCAACCGAATATTAACATCGATAACGTATCCATGGTTGTGTCACCAGCCGAGTCGAAACTGCATATCAGATCGTCCACCCGCTCGGCCAAGTCGGCCATATTGCCCCATCGTTCGACCAACCAAGTCCAATTGGATTCCAAAAACATTCTTTTCTATTTTCACCCGCGAGCGAGCACCGCTTCTCCCCACCACCGACACACGTTATGCAGAGGCTATTAATACACCGCGGTTAGACCCTGGGCCCCCAGGACTACGGCACTGCCTTCTGCTTCCCGTCTTCTTGATTTCGCCCTCGTGCACGCCTGCCGGCGTTCGGTTGTTCGTAGAACGTCTCTCCTCGCCGGTTCCGCCAGTTGACGTTCACGATCGACGATTTTTCGACGTCTGACGTCCACAAACTCGTTGGTATCCTTGGATGAACCTCGTGGATCCTGCGAAACGCGTCTATCGCGCACACCCTCCGATCCTAAATCAATCGATCATTTTAAACACATCAGCGCTACGTGCAACCCTCGCGGCCGTATCGAATCGGCACGCGATTCCGCAATAAAGCTGGCACCCACACCCAGTGTTACCACCTTTGCAGGCTTTTCCGTAGATCTACGGATTATTTTAGCGCCCCCGACGAATCTCACACGGAAAATCTACGGATTTCTGTTGAAATATAACGCAGGATCGGATGGGATCTTGCGATGAAACTCGTGTCTACTGAATCTTAACACTAGAACTACCAAACCAGTAAAAATGACTAGTCAATGCACTCTTACGAGGGTTAAAATGTTATGACAATACATTTTCTCGGATCTTTTGCACCTTTTATTACGATACGAGAGTGAAAAAAATTAATCAAACTCCGAATTTTCAAAAGTTTTCCAAGTTCATCCAGCGATCGAAGCAAATACGCGTTTATCGTCGGTAGTTCTAGTGTTAAATAAAGACCTTGTGACTTAGAATGATAAAAGAAAACCGTAGACAAAGCAAGTTCAACAGAATTCAACGAAATTTTGAACTCTTATCTGTAGATTTTCAAAAATCAAAGGTGGCAACACGGCCCTCACGTACCTCCTCTTCCCGTTCGATACTCGACGCATCGGTGACGGTTCCACTATAGCAGCGATCAATGTGTTCCAGTAGTAATACACGGTCTAACTTCGATTGCTATTCGTCGATGAGCTCATCGTCAATAAACGGCTCCGATCGTGTGTTCTCGCTTTGTCCAGCCATACGATTGTCCGACGGTCTCATTATCGCTCCGTGAAACTGAAACAACAAATCGTCTATCAACGGGAACGCACGCTTTGGTACCGCGATCGATTTATCGTGGTTTATCTGGCCGAAACAGCGGGTCGATCAGAAAAATCAATAAATTACACGCGGAAACGGACCGTGTCCACCAGAGAGTGAACCTTGTACGTACATACGTGTAAGAAAAACAAGAACGCCGTGGAACCGGGCGATAAGGCTTCGCTGCGGCAAGTTATCGTACCTTTCACCTTGTGTCCGCGACGCGTGCTTCGAACCGCGTGGCGGCGCGATACATCCTATTTGAACCTGCAGTTTGGACCCGCACGTGGTGGTGGATCGTGTTGACCACGTGAATCCTCCGTGTGACACTCTCGGCTGAACGCCAGCCGTAAATAGGGATTATTATTAGTATTATTGTTCTTATTATTATTTATTGAACGGGCAATAAGCCCTTATATACGTATACAGATAAGATATACAGTAAATCCTCGATGAGCGATCGAAGGCTCCTGGGCACTGACAAGGAAAGGTCTCAAGGTTTAGGATTCTGAAGCCAACCGATCTTTGTTTCAGCCGCATATGACTATTAGTTTATGAGATATTTAATAAACAGTGCCGTGGAGTCTTAGAACAATCATCGAGAATTTACTGTAAGTAGCAAAATGATGTCAGGTCTGAAAATTCCGTAAACATTAATGAACATCGCACATCCCTAGCTGTAATTGCCCGTGATATCTTACCGATTCCCTCGGATCGTCTGGCGCGCGCGCGTCAACCGTCGTACACCGTGTGTCGCCGTCGCGTCATCTTCTATTCGTGGAAACCTCCTCGACTTTCTCGCTTGTCAGTTTCCTGCGCGACTCGCGTTACAATCGCTCGATTCCCGGTCGTTGTGGTCCAATTGGCGAGTTTCACCTGGCTCACTCTCGGTGTTCACATTTTCCACGTTGTCTCCGACTATATCGCACTGCACCTCTGAAATACGAAACGGTTTTGTTCCCGTTTCCGTGCACAAAATTACACGGACAAATAGTACATATGTATAATCCAATTCGCCCGCTGGTAGACGAATAAACGACGCGCCCCAAACTTGATCTAGTTCGACGAACCCCTTGGATACGCCACGGTTCGGAGCGACGCCGGCTCGGCTGAGGCCGCGCGTATCAACGCACGGAATCTGTACGAGCGCGTGGTATATTCGAGACCGTGTGACCCATCGTATCGCAGAGATCGATCGATTCGTTTCAAATCCCCGACCGAAGGCACACCACCGCCCCGAACTGCTGTGAGAAAACGATTCACCACCAGGGGTTGTTTTTGCTGACTCCCCTAAATCCACATAGAAGCCATGTTTGTTCGCCACGCGTGTCGGTTCGGTCCACCCGTCGTAGCAGTTTCCCAATTGATAGTAAGTCGCGTCGCAAGTCACTGCGGTTCCTCCGTATTTTCTAACGCTCTTCCACCACCGTGTGTCGCATGCTGGACCGTCGTTCCCCCTCCTCCCAGGGGCGCAAGCGCCGACGGACTTACGGGTTGCTGCATTTACCTCTTCGACATTCGATTTCGCCGTGTTTCTGCTCGACGAGGCTAGAACGTAGTCGACCAGGAGAGCTGACCTCGTTTTCTTCACGCCGCGCGAGACCAGTTCAAATAGCGGGTCTTTCAGGGTCGCGCTGGCTACCGCGTCCTCGTCGACTTCCGCTCTCCAGGCGTGTCAGTTTGGCGGAACTGTTCGGAACGGCGTGGATCGCGTACAGTCGATGCGAGCCGGCCGGCAGTGATGCCAGAATCGTGGG